CTCTCTAATGAGGCAATCTTTTTATTTGCCTGTTCTCGTTCTTCCCGAGTCTTTCGCTGTAATGTTGCTAATTCCGCTTTAAGTCTGTCGACTTCTTCTCCAGCTGTATCTTTCTCATGTTTTGCCTGTTCTAACAGTTCCTCTGTTCGTTCTTTAGTTACCCACAACGCCTGGAATAACACAGCCTTCCGCTGTTTCCTCTGGATTTTTTTTTCTCCTCACTAAGTTGTTGATATCTGGACTCGCATTCCTCCCAAGGGCAGAAATTTGCGCTTCTTCAAACCACGTTTCTCCTTTACTCTTTTTCTCAATATATTCTTTAACTAAATCCTCCATTTTTAAAATTTACCAACAAAGCCGGTCAATCAGGATAGAATCTCCAACTCTTTTCTGACTCGAAGGCTTCCCTTAACTTCACAAATAGGCCTTTTCTACTATCTCCAACAACTAACTGGGCTTCCAGACTCCCAATTTTGGTTAGTTCAAATGGTTAGTACTTAACACTGCATATTACATTCGTGATTAAAAGAGAATTATATGTTTTTTTTGTTCTCAAGTCCCTGTTCGGGCACCAACTTGTAAGTTTTCATTTCTTCACAATATAATACAAAGAGACTGACGAGCAGGATCTCAAATTGATGTTGCTACTTTATTCAATCAAAGCGACAGCTTTAAGCAGTTATACTATATATACAACCAAGACGAGGAGTTCAGATTCCGGGCCGATCACGTCCTTCCTCCGGCAGAGATGGTGTCCGCTTAGCGGGTGTTGATTTATGTGTTAACGGATGATCTTCTTCCACAGTGTGACGGTCGGTGTCTTGCTCTCCTTCTGATGTATCAAGCTCACTACTTTGATTTCGTCATCGCATCCCTATCCCTGACCAGCTCTTGTTTTTCCAGAGACTGCTCCTGGCCAGTTCATGCTGGTTTCTTATCTTTAATTTTTAACAATTTATATTCATTCAGACCTGATCATTCAATGTTTTGCATCCCCTTAACAAAGCTCCTTGCTCATCTGGGCTCCAGGCGCCAGCTGTGTCTGGCACAATAACAAGGAATTCTTCTTTCTCAAGGCTGAATAAGCGCAGAGACCGCAGAACAACATCTTCAAGGTCTCTCTCTCTATGTTCTTTCTCACGAATAGCAAGATTACCAGCTGCTCGAGATGAACAGGGAGTTGACTGTACTTTTTGTCAGGATACACTAAGTATGAGCACCCCTAACCAGATGCCATCTTACATCTCAAAGCATTTCACATGAGTTATCGTAAAATGCAGTGACCTTTTGCAGAAGAAAATGATGTCCGTAACAATCCAACTTTGGATATTAGACTGTTATCATACAATGCAAAATTATATTTGTGTAGTGCCTTTCACGTCAGGAGGACGTCCCAAGGTGCTGGACAGTCAAGGATTTGGATCCAAGCTGGATGCCGGGATCGGGGAGGGAGGGTAGGAGGGTGGCTGAAGGCTTGGTTGATGAGGAGGGTTTTGAGACACATCTTGAAGGAGGCAGGAGAGGGAGGGAGGCAAAGATAATGTGGGATGGAGTTCTAAAGGGTGGGGGCAGAAAGAATGAAAGCCCAACCTCCGATGGTGACGCAGGTTGGGCGGGGGACGCGGAGCAGGCCAGAGCTTGCTGAGGGAGCGGACAGCTTGATATGGGGTTAGCAGATCGCAGAGGTAGGGAGGGGCAAGGCCATTGAGGGCCTTGAAAGCGAGGATGAGGATTTTGAACTCTATCTTCTGGGGGATGGGGAGCCAGTGGAGCCAGGCGAGGGTGGGGATGATGGGATAACGGAGCCTGGTGCGGGAGAGGACACGAGCTGCAGAATTCTGGATGATCTGCAACTTTTGGAGGAAAGAGTTGGGAAGGTCGTCAAGCAGGGAGTTGGCATAGTCGAGACTAGATGTGATGAATGTGTGGATGAGGGTTTCGGTGGCCTGAGGGATGAGGCAGTGACGGAGATGGGTGATGTTGCAGAGGTGAAGGAAGGCAGAGCAGGTCATGGCACAGATGAGGAATAGAAAGGACAGTTGAGGGTCAAACAAGATGTCTCCGGACTGTCTCAGTGAAGTGGAGTGTGCATCCCTGGATGGTGATGCTGTCAGTACCTATCATGATCAGCATTAGCCGAGGCCGAATAAATGGAGGTAATATTTGCCTCTGGTTGCAGCCTCAATTCACAGTACAGCAACTCTACTGCACCAGAGAGAAAAACGTATAAATAAGTATCTGGTGCGATTTTCGCCATTTATTGAAAACATTACAAAGTCTCTGTGCTCAGGAAACATTGCAATCTAACTGGCTAATTACTTTCCCAGATTTTTAGGGTTAAAAACATCTGTAATCGCAATAATAGGAGGAATATTGAGGATAAATTACAGGTTGTGAAGAAACTCCTGTAGCAATATGATATTCACTCGGCTTTTGCTCCAGTTCTGAATGTCTTTTTGCATTACATTGCTGATACCACATTAAATGAATGTAGATTAGACATAACTAAAATTAAAATAAGACTCACACTGTTCAGTCAGGGAACATAGCCCCAGCCCTGCTTCAGCCTGTCTAAATAGTGACAACTACTTACGATAAATTGTCGTCTTTTCAGATCAGTCTCTGAAACAAGTAAGAATAATTATTTGTACGTACAACAACAAAATTACATTTAGAGAGCGCCTTTCACCTCGGGAGGACGTCCCAAACAGTGAACAGTCAGGTGACACTGACGTTGCCAACAACAATAACTTGCATTTATACAGCGCTCCTCACACCAGCCCTAACCCCCCCACTCACACCGGCCCTAACATACACCCCCCCCACACCAACCCTAACCGCCCACTCATACCGGCCCTAACCACCTCACCCCCCCACACCAACCCTAACCAACCCCCCCACCCCAACACCAGCCCTATCACCCCACTCACACCAGCCCTAACAACAAAATTACATTTATAGAGCGCCTTTCACGTCGGGAGGACGTCCTAAAGTGCTGAACAGTCAGAGGTCAGGACCCGAGCATGGAGGAGGGGTGGGGTAGGGGTGAGGGAAGGCAGAGAGGTGAGAGGGAGACCAGAGGTATGGTCGAAGAGAAGTGGTCTTGAGACCGGCCTTGAAGGAGGCAAGGGAGGAAACGAGGCGAAGGGACCGTGGGATAGAGTTCCAGAGTGTGGGGGCAAAGAGCCTGAAAGCCCGGCCACCGATGGTAGGGCGGGAGACATGGAGCAGACCGGAGTACGATGAACGGGGGGAGCGGGCAGGTTGGTAGGGAATCAGCAGGTCAGAGAGGTAGGAGAGGGCAAGGCCATGGATGGCCTTAAAGGTGAGGATATTGAACTCGATCCTCTGGGTGATGGGGAGCCAGTGGAGTCGGGCGAGGGTGGGAGTGATGGGGTCACTGAGTCTGGTGCGTGAGAGTACACGAGCTGCAGAGTTTTGGATGATCTGCAGCTTGTGAAGGGAACAGTTGGGAAGGCCGATGAGGAGGGAGTTCCCGTAATCGAGCCTTGAGGTGACGAATGCGTGGGTGAGGGTTTCGGCAGCCTGAGGGGTGAGGCAGTGGCAGAGTCTGGCAATGTTGCGGAAGTGGTGGTAGGCAGTGCCGGTCATGGCGCGGATGTGGGAAACGCATGGAAACCCAATTGGAGGGGTTCATGGAGGGACTGAGAGGAAACAGCGAAGCTGGGAGGCAACGGCTCTCTCAAGGACCTTGGATAGGAAGTGGAGATTTGAGATGATGCCGGTAGCTGGATAGCTGTGATGGGTCGAGGGAAGGTTTCTTCAAGGTGGGGGTGATAGTGGCTGTTTTGAGGGGGGAAGGAACAGTGCCAGATGACAGGGAGAGGTTAATGATGACGGCGAGTAGTGGGGCAAGGAAGTGGAGCTGAGATTTAAGGAGAGGGGTGGAAATGGGGTCCAGGGAGCAGGTGGTGGACTTCATGGAGGTTACTGTGTTGAAGACAGAGGAGGGGGTGACAGGTTCAAAGGTGTGGAAGGAGGGATGGGTAATTGTCAGATGGGTAATTGTGAAGGGTGGGTGGAAGTTGGGAGGGCAGTGGCAGCTGAGCAGATTCCCTCGATTTTGGACTCGAGGAAGTCCTGCATCTTCTTACGTACATAGCATCTCTTTTGTAAAAGAAATACCTCAAAGGGCTTGACAAAAGAAAATTGATTAGAAATGAATGTGAATGTTATTGTATAAGAAAACATGACAGCGATGTCCCATAAACTATGAGATGAGCAGCAAATTAATTTAAAAGGTACAACAATGACTATATGAATCATGATTATGGGATTGAGCTGAGAAGAATGAAGGTCCTTTCCTTCATGAGGCAACCTGGCTTTTGTCTGCCGTTTTATTGCTCTCAATTCAGTGCCTCATGGTGAGGTATGGTTACACAGAATGCCACCTCTCGCCCATTAACTATTTTCCATGTTTTTCGTGTTCGAGTCTCCTCTGAGTATTGACAAGTTTTTTTTAACCCAGAAGAGCACAGCAACTAAACCAGATCATGACTGCCTGAAATTTATTACAACAGCTGGCATTTATATAGCTGGCCCTTCACGTGGGTCAGGGTATCGTAGCACTTAACAGCAGCGAAGCTTGATGCCGAGCCGTGGGGAGGAAAGTGGCTGTAAGCATGGTTGAAGAGGAAGGTCTTCAGTTGTGATCTAAGAGGGGAAGGAGGGGGCAAGCCGGAGGGATTGGAGGAATGTTCCAAAGCTTCAGGGCGTAGTGGCTGAAAGCCCAGCCACCGATGGTGGAGTGGAGGGCCCGAGGGACACTTAGAACACTTTTACCGGGGAGGGTTGGGGAAAGTCACTGCAAAATGCTCAGAAATATGAACCCTAGCTAATTACTGTGCACCCTCACTGGCAACAACACTGCTCCAGCTAACTGAGAACAAAATAGAGATCAATAATATCACACCATTTTCTACTGACCTCTTGAGGAAAGTTACCCTTTCTATTTGAATGATTAGGATGGACAAAAGAGCTGAAATCAACTCACAGTCTTTATTATTGGCAGATGATGTTTTCAGCAAAGATTGGATTTGGCCATGTAACATTTCAAGGTTAGGTAAACTTCCATTAATGTTTTTTCACAATACAATGCTGCTCTGTGTTGTAAATGATACAAGTCACTACTGTATTTCTTACACTTTCTAAAAATGTGGGCATGAAGAATGAAGAAATTCCCAATTTTATAAGTCTCCTCAATTAGCTTTTTACTCATCAATACAGACACGTCAATATTGCCCACTGGAAAAGATTCCTATTAACAAAATCTCCCTTTTCTGTAAATTTTGAGTCAGACACAAAAGATTAGTGGTAAGAAAATAACAAGCCATGTGCAGATTAAGGGAGTGGGAGAAAATTCCACCTTAGTCTAGATTTACCCTATTTTCTCAGCATTTCAGCAGGGGCAGAATTTGGCAAATTGTTAAATGTGGCTGTAAAATATAGCCAGTTTTCTATGTTCTCACTGCCTACAGTTTAAAACTACATTTAAAACTCTGCCATGTTAACCCTCTGAAATATTAAGAAAATAATGTAAGTCTAGACCTCGGTGGAATTTCTCTCTCCCTCCCGCCATGGATTAAGGAGCTGCTGACACTTATTCTGATGAGGTTTGTTTTCAGCTTACATCAATGTAAATGATGGCCCCCGGTGAGCTGGTAAGTGGAATTTTCTCACTTGGATATCATGAACACTTCCCCTTATACAAAGCCAGTTTCATTCAAGAATTCACTTCACATGGTCACACTTCACTATAACTAGTCATTCAATAGCAGTCTCAATCCAGAAACATAAAGCCAATGCATATTTCTTTCTTCCTTTTACTTCTTCCAGTCCCAAGGAATGCAGAGGTCACCATCCTGTAACACGGAATAGAAGTGGGAAACGCAAAGGTGCGTTCCTTGCAGTTCAGTGACATGTTCCTCAAACAGTCTTTGACAGCATTTCACCATCTGTTCACTGGAAACACCCGACTCCTTATACAATTTGTAGAGACCGAACTTCACCGTGCAGTCCCGGATCAGCTTTTCCTCTTCCACTTTTAGTCTAGCAGGTAAAAATACAAACATTAGATTGTATTCATCTTGGCAATTTGTGAGGTAGAATACAAACATAATAATCCTTGCATTTGATATGCGCCTTATCATGTCGTTGAAACGTATCAAAGCACTTTACAGGCCTCACTGTAAAGCGGTATGACTAGATTTTGAGGGTGAAATATCAATTCTATCCTACTAGGCTGGCCGTTATTCGCAATATTATTTTTTTTTGGTATGGGACATGGTGAAATGATCTACTACAAGTTAATAGAAGAGCAGTTCAACTGAGTCACCTCCACTTACTTCAATGTTCCTATTTAGAATATTTCCATTTAGGACACATTTTATTTAATTATTCTTCCTCCACTTAAAATAAGCAATTTTTACCTAGGAAACAAATTACTTCAGAGACTTTAATTCCTCTCTCAATTTATAAAAATTGAGCCCATTGAAATGGACATTAAAGATCCCGAGGCACTATTCGAAAAGAGAAGCGAGTTTCTCCCAGTGTAATGCCTTGTTTCACTCCATGGCTGTTTGTGGGACACAGCTGTGCGCAACTGGGTGCCGTGTTTGACCTACAAAATATACAGTCAATCCACTTTACAGTAAATCCTGTGAAGCACTTTGAGACGTCTCAATGACGTGATAATATCAAATGCAAGGATAATTATTATTCTAAAAATAAGTTAATATGTATGCGGATGTCTCCCAAATCTATCTTTCTGCCTTCGCCCTCAACTCCAGGATCACTGCTGTCCTGACAGACTGCCCGTAGAATATCAAGGATGAAGATGAAGGCAAATTTCCTACAGTTGAATGTGAACAAGATGAGGCTCTCCTGATTGGCTCGCGCCAGCGCCTCAGCACCTCAGGCTCTGGCAACATCAACCTCCATGGTTGCACACTATAACTCACCGCCAGTCAGGAACCTCGGTGTCTTGTTCGACCCTCAACTGTCTTTTCTCCCCCACATTCAACCCATGACCCGCTCTGCCTTCCCTCACCTCCGTAACATCACCCGACTCTGCCACTACCTCACCCCTCAGGCCACTGAAACTCTTGTTCATGCCTTCATCACCTCCAGGCTCGACTATGCAAATGCCCTGCTTGTCGGCCTTCCCAACTCCTCCCTCCACAGGCTGCAGATAATCCAGAACTCTGCAGCCCGTGTCCTCTCCCGCACCAAACTCCGTGACCCCATCTCCCCCACTCTCGCCCGACTCCATTGACTCCCTATCCTTCAGAGGATCCAGTTCAAAATTCTGGTCCTCACATACAAAGCCCTCCATGTCCTCGCCCCACCCTACCTCTGCAACCTCCTAACCCCCGACCAACCCACCAGTTCCCTCCGCTCAGCCGGCTCTGGCCTGCTCCACGTCCCCCGACCCACCCGCCCCACCATTGGCGGGAGAGCCTTCAGCCAATCTCTGGAATTCCATCCCCCAATCACTCCGCCTCACCCCCTTCTTAGCCTCCTTCAAGTCCCGCCTCAAGTCCCTCCTCTTCGACCATGCCATCGGCCACCCCTCTTCCCCTCCCCTCTCCCCCCCACCCCGACCCCAGCTTGGGTCTGAAATGCTGTACACTGTCCTCCCAACGTGAAAGGCGCTATACAAATGTAATCTTGTTGTAGTAGTTAACAAGTAATGTGTTTTCAAACCACAAACTGATTGTCTGATTTGGTATTGGTGCCAAACCTTTTAATATATGATAAGCATTTGTTACTTACTCCTCCTTTCTTTTCAGGTTCTTCCTGGCTTTCTCTGCATGGGTTACAATGAACCACTGGAGGACAATGGGGTCGCACTTAGTCGGGATGCTGAACTGACCACTTTCAAGTAATTTTGGAGCAGAGCAATCACTGAAATAACAAACCAATTTACTTTCAGTTACCGTACAATCTAGAAGGCAATCATTGAATGGAACAGAACATAATGCAAATGTAAATGCTCAAACACTATTGAAGACTTCAAAGATACATGGGTCAAAATTGTGGTACTCGTAAACTTATTTCATCCCTTATTTAATGAACATTATTGAAATGTGTTGAAATATTCCTTGACTCCTGAATGTGAGTAATTTCCGAAGCTGGCTGAAATGTTTGGACCTGCCAGCTTGGATTCCTGAGTGGTAAGGCTGATATTTCAGCAGAAAAGGTTTTTGTCCGGTGCTGCTTCACAGGATGTTAATTTACTTCAGTAATAATCCTGTAAAAGGGAATTGAAAGCCTGAAAGACATTATATTAATAATAATCCTTGCATTTGATATGGCACTTTTGACGTCTTCTAGACGTCTCAAAGTGCTTCACAGAATATACTGTAAAGTGAATTGACTGTGGGTGAAACATGGCAGCCAATTGCACACAATGTCCCACAAACAGTCATGGATTGAAGTAACCATTTTTTTTTCTTGAGGGATTATTATCAGGTATGTGGAGTAAGGAAACTTGCCCAAGTTTTCACCCTGCTGGGAAGTGAACTATTTAATATTTGCAGTCTGATTTTTTAAATCATTTTTAATACTGAGGAGCAGGCAACCTCTGATGTAAAGTTTATTAGGTATAAGGTTCAATTCCCAAACAAGCTTCAAGCAAACTAAGAGAATTGATTTATTGACATTGACTTATTGTAATGAGTGAAAGACCATAATGTGGTAATATAACTATTTCTTAACTAGTTGTTGTGAAAGTAACTTTGATTTGATGACACCAATAGAATATTAGGCCTGTATTCATTGCATATGTGGAGCAAGACATAAAATATAGCAACAATTCAAACAAACATGGCTGATAGGATGGTACTGGTGGGATTCTTGCTATTTAACTGTAGTTTTGAATTTTGAATCATAGCCTTTCAATCTCCCTTTGCAGGCACCGATTTAACTAACAATATTTCTGTAAAGCAGCATACTCACTGTGCGCTAATCCAAGATTACAAGATAGCAGCTCTGAGCATCTGAGCTTTTAGCTGACTTTGGGCACTAACATTATTCAGAAAAGGGGATTTCAAAACATACTTTAATAGTGTTTCTTAAATAAGGAAAGGAAATGTTAGGAATACGGCAATTTGACTCCATCAAACAGATTTAGAACCATAAAAATCTATCCAGTGAGGAACAGTCTAGTCATCACAGCTTTAGTTTACAGGACTCAGGGCCTCTCTAAGTCTTCAAGTCTTAGTCATAACCAGATAGGCTAGTCATCAACAGCCTGGATAAATGGGCAAGGTATAAAATATGCCTTGTCATAAAATATGCCTGCCTGGTTATAGCCCGGCACATGTCCTTAAAGCAGGTTCACACCAGGGAGACCCAGTTTATTTATTAATCTTGAAAGGGTAAAGGACTGACAGGAAGCATAGCATGTCAAGGTCAGCTCTCAGTGGCTGGGCTGGGCAGGATGATTTGAGGATCATCCAGTAAGGAGCACATAAGAGTAAAATGGCTTTCCTCACTGGAATTAATAGATGGACAGAGACCATACACAGTTAATTATTCAGTGTTAATGCATTACTCCACAATGTCTAAAATAACCCATCTAATGTATTAAAGGGCACATTTTACTTTAAAAGAATATTTGAAATAAATCTATTTTACAGCCATATATTTGAGTCAAGAATAGTGTGTAGGATGGTGGTTTTGCAAAGGTAGTTAGAGAAGTTAGCTTCTAGATTAAAAACGTTCAAGATCTCAGGATTCCTCACTGTGACTTACACTTGATAGGTTCAGCAAACGAAGCTTACATTAGATTGTTAAAGAGAGAGGTACACAAGCGAAGCTTTCTGATTCCTACTGGGATGTGTTCCAAGTCAGCATGAAGCTACGTAGACTGGACAGGGTTCATCTCCACTTGCCTGGTACTAATGTACTTACAGGTGGGGCAATGGGTTAACATCTCAATTACTAAATGGAATTTGGGAATGTGAGGGGTAAAATTCCATCTTCTACCAAATATGACAGCATTCAGAACTTTAGGATAAAAACTGGTCTTAAATTAGTAAACATTTAGTTATTTGTTTTAGCTGAATATTTAATAGTGATGTCGTGAAACTATTTATTTCTCAAGTTACACTGAACCATTAAAAAAACATTTGGCTAAAATTCCTCACCTGCCAAACCAAGCGCAGTTCTGCTAACAGCACACACCAACCCTGGCCATGGGTTAAACGATTTGGAATATAAATGTAATATTCCAATCAAAGAGCAGAACTCACAGTAAGGTTCAGAAATGTCCTGAACCAAAGCTAATATGTCACATCAGGAATTACATTTACAGGAGCATTGCTAAGGTTGTTCCCAGCAATTGTGGGTGGTAGTTAGTCACAGAAAGGACAGAACAATATGAATAATAATGCTTGCATTTGATATAGCGCCTGATCATGTCATTCAGACGTCTCAAAGCTCGAGTTGCAGCAGTCAATTTGCTGGTGGAGGAAGGGCTGCAATAGCACCAGCCAGAATACATAACAGACAGGGACAGGGAAAGAAGGCTGCTTGCCAGGGCTCTGGAGGGACTATATCATCAGAGTCAGGTTTTCTGCCAAAGGGCAAATGATATTGATTTCACAGGTGATCGATGAACGAGATGTTTCCAAGAAAATCATTATTGATCTTTATGACCTCTTTCTGGATGTTCAGATGTAAATTCTTTCCAGATGTCATTCGCCCACTTCTCTGACTTGATTCAATATCAGATCAGAGAAGTCAAAGGCCAACCAAAATTATTTTGATGAAGGGAGGGACGTTGAGTGAAACTAGTAATGGAGAAAGACACTGATTGAGAGAATGAAAATAGAAAATGAGATGAACATTGCAGGGAATATAAAACACAATAAGAAAGTTTTTTTTAATCAATATACCTACAGCAAACAGATGGATAAAGAAACAGAAAGACCCAAAGGGGATAGGATACTGAATAGTCAAAAGGATGGCAATTTTGTTTTTGCTTAGTCAGATGTCTGACATATGCAGAAACCCATCACCATGCTTAAGAGTATCCAAACCAAACAGTGTTCCAAGCAAATATATTGAATAATGTATTTGTATAATAATAATTATCCTTGCATTTTGATACAGCATATCGAAACCTCTCAAAATCGGTTTCACTGTAAAGTGGCACAACTGTATTTATAGACAAACCAGCAGCTAATCTACGCTCACCAAAGTGCCAGAGCCATGAATGAGTCACTAATTTTATCTGAAAGATTTTCGGCTGGGGCACCAGGAGACACTCCCTTCTCTTTTCAAACAGTGCCATGGAATCTTTTACGTCCACTGAACAGATAGATAGGACCTCAGTTTGACTAACATCTCATCTGAAGGATGATGGGAATATAATGCAATGCTTCCCCAGCACTGCACTGGTATGTCAGGATAAGACTATGAACTGAAAGACTTGACGTGAGGTTTGATCCCACAATGATCTGACTCAGAGGCGAAGTGCTACTAAATGAGCCGGGCTGACATCTCTGTATCATGGAGGAAATCCCCAAATGCATTCCTAAAGCAGAAGTGGAATTTTCTGTATAAGATGAGAAGATTCTAAGAATGATAGATATTTCCTTCAAATAAAGAGAGGGACAGGCTAAGATTTGAAGGTGGACCAGGCAACAGATCAAAACTGATTGTACAAATGGGTGCTTAAGGAAGACTATGGGAACTCTCTCCTCGCCGGCCTTCCCGGCACCTCCCTCCACAAGCTGCAGGTCATTCAGAACTCTGCAGCTCGTGTACTGTCCTACACCAGACTACGCGACCACATCACTCCCACCCTCACTCGCCTCCACTGGTTCCCCATCCCCCAGAGGATCGAATTCAAGATCCTCACCCTCACCTACAAGGCCATTCACGGCCTTGCACCCTCCTACCTCTCCGACCTACTATCCCCCTACTTACCTGCCCGTACCCTCCGTTCCTCTGGCTCCGGTCTGCTCCACATCCCCCGCCCCAACCACCCTACCATCGGTGGCCGGGCCTTCAGCCTCTCAGCCCCGAGGCTCTGGAACTCCATCCCCCAGTGCCTTCGCCGCCTCCTCCCTTTCCTCCTTCAAGGCCGGTCTCAAGACCTTTCTCTTTGACCGAGCCTTCAGCTCCCCTCTCGACTCTCTACCCCCTCCTCGCTCCCTCCCTTCCCTCCCCTCACCCTGACTAATTCCCCCCTGCTGGGGTCCTGACCCAACTGTACAGCGCCTTGGGACGTCCTCCCGCCGTGAAAGGCGCTCAATAAATGGAATCTTGTTGTTGTTGTTGTAGGTGGTAACACCGGTCTTGTTCTGGTGAGTGTATTCAGGGAATCATTGCAAACTGGAGCAGTGCCTGCAAATAGGAGAGGCAGGGGCATAACACAGCTATCTAAAAGGGGGCTATGGGCTGGTTCATTTAATGCCCGCTGAAGGGAATGAATTCTAAAGTTGGGAATAATGAAGAAAATCTCAGGCAGCTCTCAACTTGCCTGAGCTGGATTGAGAGTTTGCCAGAATTTCCACAATCAGAATATCCTTAAATGAAATCTCGCAATGGGCTATTGAATCTTCAATCACTCAAGCTATAATCTGCCAAGAGTTTCCCGGTTCTCTTCTGTGCAAACTACCACTGTGTACTTCAAGATTACTCAAGATTATTCCATCTTGTTGTAATAATAATGCATGTCTAATGATTAACAGCAGTGCATCAGTTATAGAAATCCTGCAAATTGAATTGCTCCCACAGGGCTCAGTTGGTGCAGGTAGAATTTGTGTATCCAACTCAGTCCAGGTAGTCAGGATAAGCATTTCTGTTGTGTGTCATCAGAACGGGCTGTTGGAATACATCAGTATCACCAAACAATGCTCTGAACTTCGAGGACGTCCCATGAAAAACTCGAGCTGCCTCAACATCTATAAATGCCACAGCACGAGGGAGAGCATGATATGGGACAGAAAAGAGAAGTAGCAAAGTTGAAGTTCAAAAATTGAAGTTCAAAATCTTTGCTTCACTGAATATAATGGAACTGGTTCAGGTGGAAAAGGCCATGCTATCAGTTCACCTCCGCAGATATTGTCAATGCCCTCTATGACCAATCAATCTCGAGATCAATTAGTCATTCTCTCTGACCTGGATTGGTTTCCCTTTAGATTTGCTTTAATCTTAACGCTTTGAGCAAGTTTGTAATATAGGTGTTCTGGTGGGTTTATAAAATTCTGAAGTGTTTATGACAATAAGCTGAAGGAATCTTTTGGGAGGTTGGATAAATGGACCAATAATCTATTCCTGCCTAACACAGCTGTTAAGTTACTATGACAACAGAAATCGTAAGGCCTGAAGGAACACTTAAGGGACGTAGCAAACAGTTAAAGCTGAGTGACCTGATCTTACTCCTGAGCAGTTTCTTTGCTCATTTTCGTGCTTTTAAAAGGGATATTTCCTAACTTTGATGTGCTGCATTCTGTCATTAGTACGTGGGTTAGGAGTTTCCAAAAGGTATTTGACACTGTCATGTTCGAATTCTTCACTCCCTTGTTAACAACTTTTAAGAGTTCAGACCAGCCAGACTGCTTTCATATAGTGTAGTATAATCATCAGTAACTCACTACTCACTATTTTTTCCTGCTGTGTTAAAACAAACTAATAAACTAAACATTTTAGTAATCACTCACTTATCCAGAATCATCTGTAGTCCTTTTAGACTTCGTGGATGAAAGAGAGGTCTATGGACAGACACTCTCTGATGAAAGCCCTTCAACATAGTGTAATAATCCTCTAGCATCAATATTGATTGGAGATCTTCATCATAAATTAATTGTACATCTCCCAGAAGATAGCTTATTCTTTCTTCTAACAAGGAAACTTGACTGTGAAGATTATAGTAGCTTGGCAACCTCTCCAACAGCTTGAAGTGAAATAATGTTTTGAAAAAACTACATTAATACCCGTTTCATAAATCACATTGCAAGTCACAATTCTTTCCTTAATATATAGTAATGTTCACATACTGACAGAACTTGTCAACAAAACACAAATCTACATGCAACACAATGGATTTAATACATTGATGTACTTCTTAGCACACTAAACTATGTTAGTAAAGTGTGAACAGTTCAGTTGTGTTAAAGCCTTGAAATGAACTATTTGCTATTTATAAGGTAAATCCCTACCATATTTTCTTTGCACGATTTATGACTCATTCACTACTATAAAATACATACAAGCACTCTATAACATACTGTTCTGTGACTCCAAATATTGAAAACATTGATCTTGCTTCCTCTCATCATCCATGTTGCACTACTTGCATTAACTATCATAGTTATTGTAGAACAAGTACTGATAGCGAGACAGTTTTGCACTTCAGGAGACACAAATATTTCGGGGTTACTAGAACATTCTTTATCCTGCATGTACTTAACTACTGTAAATGTAACCAGAATAACCTCAGTACTCACTTTGGTCCACTGATAATGGACATCTACTGTTCCCAGCATCACCTGCCCTGCAGCATTCATCCCTGTGTGATCTGTAAAGATCAGTGTGCATCCTGTAAAGAAAACACCACAAGTAGAAACAACAATAAAGAGTCCACTCCATTCTGTGGGCCGGAATCCCAACTACACCTGAAAGTACCGATTTACATTTAAGTTGACCAAAAGAGTATAAAACGTCTATTTATTTTATGACTTTACAGTATTATGTTGAGTTTATACTGCACTTTTCTCAAAGTGAAAGTCATTACCCATCGCTGATATAAGACAAACCTTTCATATTCTGAAGTGCGTGTGAGTTCTGCTGGGCAAAACGACTTAAACTGTGCAACTGGCTGCAACGATGAGAAACTCCCCAACTTCTGTGCCACCTAAAAATAACAGAATACAATTAAACCGCATAGCTTAAGAAAATGAAGAAAGAAACATTTTGAAGCTGCCATTGGACAACTTTGAATCCCAATGAAAAATGTCTATTCAAGAACTAAAGGCTGAATTTACTAAAATATTCCATGAACTTTCAGAAGTAAACGTTCTACATACAACCAGTTTTTAAAACAAAACACACCAGTGTACGTCTTGATACTCTTAAGCATGGTGATGGGTTCCCGTGTGTCTGGCACACATGGGAACCCATCACCATGCTAAAGTGTATCAAAACGGAGAGGTTAATTTATGACAACTATACATGGAAGTTCCCTGTCTGGAATGGAATCCGCACTCTTTCTCCAGAGGGTCACAGCATTTTGGCTTATTGGCTTAACAGGAGCTGAGTGGGAAGAAATCGCTGCTCCTCCAAGACTGGCTGGTCTGTCATCAGCAGTGCCCTGCAGTATCAGCAGAATGGCTCAGGAACCGGACTACTGAGACCATTTGCAACGGACTTCCCAAAATATTATGTGTAAACAACTGTAGTTCCAAAAACCTGGAACAAGTTGGTTGATATTTGAGATCCCAAGTATAATCAGAAGCCAATATTTCAGGGGTAGAAACAGCACCATCCATAGGAATATATATCTAAGGTACCCTGAACTACACAATTGGAGAGTGGCAGCTTTACATAGAAAGTGTCTTATACTTGTGTCCCCCAATTACAAACTCCCCAACAAGTAGAAACAGCCTATTTATGCTAAATGGGGACTTAGAGCAGCAAAAATGATATGAGCAATCAAAGGGAAATCTCATGCTAACCCCAAGACTGCAGGTACCAGCACCAGAAACAGACCCAAGGGTTTGGACTCTCAGAGGAAGGAGTGCAGAAAGAGACTGCTGGCAAACAAAAAGATCCAAAGAGGCAGATGCCTGCACTGGTGTTTTTCTTCACAGCAGCAAAGGTAAATTAAGATTCTATGGTGTTTGCTGCACATTGATGTCATTCACTCACAGTACCTGACATCCAACAGCTCCAGCTGCTGACAAAGTGTTGATTTTAAACAATCAAGCTCATCACGAAGTGGAACACTATCATTTAACTTCTTGGTGGCAGTAGCTATGTTTTTGTCCAACCACAACCTAAAAAAGATACCAGAAACCGTTAATTATTAATATTGATCAGTCTCATCAGCATTCCTCTTAAACAATGAAAACAGACGATACTTTCAGTTATGTCAGAACCAGAAAATTACAAGGCTCAAAGAATAGATACACAAAGCAGTGGAACAAAAGGACACATATTTAGAATTGCAAAGGGCAATTTCAGGACTAACATCAGGATGTTTTTCTTTACTCAAGAGGGTATTTAATGACTGGATAAGGTTACCAGGAAGGGTGGTTGGGGCCAGGACATTGATCTGATTTTAAAAAAGAGCTTGAAGATGTGAATGGGTGGACGGTAGGGTAGGTGTTGTGGAAGGATGAGATCACACGGGCCAAAGGGCCTTCTTCATCCAAATTAATCCTGTGATCTTGGTAATACATCCTTCAACTAGCATAATCTAAGAAAGAGGGTTTAACTATCTCGAAGGATCATCCTCATTCTTAGAATGTAGTCATCTCTGGGTTAAACCCACCACAAAACTGGTACACTAACATGATTCCAAGAGTCAGTGCTCCTTTAACTAATGCCAGACTCATGACACACGCTATTCCTGCACTCCATACAAGACCTGTGTGTCATCACGCTGATCAGTTTGTTTTTGACTATGACACAGCGCACGTGACAAATAACTAAACAATTAAACAAAAAGTGAATTTGTCTTCACATATCAACTGCTTTTATTCCACTGATTTAAAAAAATCCTTACATTTGATATAGTGCCTTTCATATCAGGAGGATGTCCTAAAGTGCTTCATTCTAAAGTGTAGTCATTGTGTTTTTTGTAGGCAAATGTGGTAACCGATTTTGCTCAGCAGCATCTCATACAAAATACAGAACACAGAAAATTCAAAGTACATCACAAGACCCATTCAACCATTCTGTTCGCAAGTTTAGGGGTATATATAAACAGGGAGAGAAGCAACGAGTCACAAATAAAAGTGTAATATATGAAAAGGGTGACGATGCTGATAAAGGACTTGAGGTGATGGCAGAGTGTCCATATTTAAAGAATATGGAACACCCAATAAAATAGGTAATCTGTCTTCCTTCCTCATTCATCATCTTCTAAATAACAGTGGAACCTCCCATGGAACCTCCCAAGGAAGAAGGGGATCACATTGATGGTGTGGAGACTTGTGCTGCGAAGATAGACTTGTCAACTAACAACAAGAACTTACATTTGTATAACACCTTTCATGGCAGAAGGATGTCCCAAGGCGCTGGACAATCAGGGATTTGGACCCAAGCATGGGGATTGGGATCAGGAGGGGTGGAGTGCAGGGAGGGTAGGAGGGTGACCAGTGACCAAAAGCATGGACGAAGAGGAAGATATTGAGATGCATCTTGAAGGAGGCAAGGGAGGGAGCAAGGCGAAGGGACTGTGGGGTGGAGTTCCAAAGTGTGGGGCAGAGAGGCTGAAGGGCCAACCACTGATGGTGGGGCTGGTCGGGTGGGGGACGTGGAGCAGGCTGGAGCCCGCTTATTATATCATTATTACCAGGATGTCATCTGACTTGATGGCTGGAAGAGATCCAGCCTGATTGGGCAAAACCTTGTTCCACCTTCAGGATATCTACAGACTCTAAGACAATACGACACAAATTGACATTTATATGTTGGGAGAACATCTCAAGATGGCGGTGGGAGCCAAAGGGGATGGGGAGGGGAAAGAGATAGGTCTTGAGACAGACTTTGAAAGAGGTGAGGGAGGGAGCGAGTTAGAGGGATTCCTGGATGAAGTTCTAAGACCAGTAAGAGCTGACAGCTTGAAGGTTTCCCTATCTGCCTCTGCTCTTTGCAAGTTTGCAGAATAAACAGGAATGTGTGAGGATATTGCATCTCACAGGAGAATGACAAGCTGTCCATATCCGAGCCTGGTCACCCCTGGGTCAAAGGCAGAGGAGTGGTTGTTGTTAAATTTCAAATAATTTTTCATATAAATATATACGGTTATACGTGTGAAACAAGCCATACAAATGATCTGAAAATAGAACAGGAGATTAGTTCTTGTGAAGACGTGTTCCATAACAAATGAATTAATTAGAATGATGACATTGAGGCCTAAAAGGGAGCAATGCAATACTGTGTAACATGACTGATGGTTCTTAAAAGAGCTTTTACAATTTTTTTCAGGTTCCAGCACTGTGGCGTAGCTTACTCCTGCAGTACGAGGAGGATTAGAATAAAGAATATAATTGGAGACTGAGCTACATCTACCCCAGCGTTATATTCTCTATAGTTGGGGACAATGGTAGCTGACCTCGAGATTTAACATTTGACTGACTATACTAATCTGTCAAGGTTCTCATTTGTCTTGAATGCTTTACTTTAAATTAAGTGTACAAAACCCTGGCCCTTTTATTTGCACGAAGCCAAATGGCTGCCGTCCGGCTCATCAAGCCGCTGTTGATGTCACTTCTGCAGATACACAGAGAGCAGGAGGGGACAATGGCAGCAACCCAGTGACCAGGAAGTAAGACGTTTCTTAGCATGCCAAACCCTGCCCGGCGTTTTGAAGCAGACAGGTAAAATTTGTTGGATTTTGGTTAGGATTAAGGTTAAATAATATAATACAATAATAATCATCTTTGAATTTGATATAGCACTTGATCACGTTGTTGATACATCTCAAAGCGCTGCACAGAATATACTTTAAAGTGAATTGACTGTATATTCTGTGGGCAAAACGCGGCAGCCAATTACGCACAGCAGTGTCCCACAAACAGTCCCGGATTGAGCGACCAAATTATTTTTTTTTCAAAACTTATTTTTGATTTGAAGGGATTATTGCCCCGGAAAAGCGATCCACCAATCGACTAACAACGGGGTTTTTACTAACTGCTAGATAAACAGAGGCGTGTGGAGTTAGGAAACTTGCCCAACATTTCGCCCTTTAAATTTCAGGGCGTACGTTCCAATTATACGTTCCCTGTGTTATATGAAGCGCATTATCGCAGGGTTCTATTGTATATATAATTCATTTAATGACAGTGCTTTAATCCACTAATGATGCATTCAAGAATTTAAAGAGTTATAAATTAAGAAGACAGGTTGACTATACTAATATGACGGTGTGAAGACAAAGACATGTTAGGTACCCAAGTATAGGTTCTATCTGCCGAGCAACCTCCAGCTCCTCTTCTGGGTCTTTGTGTCCAGTAAAAGCATAAAAGGTTTTGTTCCAGTGAAGAGGTCGGCAGAATGGAGCAGCACTGGTCTGTTGTTGTTGTTGTCGTCGTTGTTGTAAGCCCTCAGCAGTTTGTAGGTCCTGCATATGTTCAGTGGACAAGCGGCAGGATTTCAGGATATTTACAATTGTGCTGAGAAGGTCCTTGGATTGTAGTGTGAAGCTGACTGTTCGAAAGCCTAAAAAAGTTGTCAAAAATTGTTTAATAAATGTGCCAGGAATACCAAAACTAAAAAGCATGAATTAAATTGCATATTTGTAAAAGTAAAGCTGCTGCTATTTATACTGTGTTCATTTTACAAGCCAAAAGCCAAGCCATTACCCTAACAGATAGGGTGGTCTGAGCTGGAGAAACAGCAGGAAGCTTGCCAGACAGTACTCTCAATGGCAAGCTATGTGATTTTTGGTGGTTAAACTATTCTAATCAACAATCTGGGGGTCTCCGAGCTTTGGCTCTCATCATCCTCAGCTTAATACTTTCTGGAATTATTTAATTATTTCGGTCAGCCGGGTGTCTGACAAATGCAGAAACCCATCACCATGTTTAAGAGTATCCAAACCAAGATGAGATTTCCATGCATCCCACCCACACATCGAAATTCCAGAAATAGATTGCTGGAATGGAATGCGCACATTCCCAAGAGAGACGCATTCTGCTTACCTAATCCCGTAAAGTATTAGATGCAAGTTGGCAAGAGCCAAGGTTTGGAGATAGGTTAGCAAAAGTATATTTCTCCAGGGGGAGAGTGTATATTCCATTCCAGACACAGGGAGATTTCCATGTGTAGGTGACATACATAAGTGGAACTCGCAGTCTGTTGTGAATACTCTTAAGCACAGGGATGAGTTCTGCTCATCAGACCCCTGGTGGACAAAAAAAATCTTAATCCCTTCAGTATATGAAATCCCATTTGAGACTTCTCTCCAAGGCTAAACAAGCCCAAGTTTGAAAGCATTCTTCCTCAATATTTATTCATTAAAATAATATACAGAAACGCTTGTGCAAAAAAGAGTAGAACTATTGTACATAAAGTATTAAACGGAGCATTAATAATTTCAAGATTTTCAACTATTCATCGAATGTGATCAGATCAGAAATGATCACACAATATGTTTCGGTACATACTAACATACTAAACACATATTTTTGTAAAACTAACATACCTGACAGATTTAAGCATTGCCGGGAGAGGTTTGTACAACTGTCTGTCTCTCTCATGTAAAAGGTGAGATGAGTGGGTTTGAGGGGCCTGTAGCCAGGTCTTTGCAGGCCCTCCAAATAGCCATTTAGCCGTTTAAGGGAATTCTCATTCACTTCCTGCAAAAGTAAGATGGGAATAACATAATGAAATTAATTTGTACAAAGCAGGTACACAAACAATACACGTTGCATAGCTATGGACCTGAGAATTCTTTTGATTCTGCAACTCTGCAGCTCGTGTACTCTCACACACCAGGCTCCGTGACCCCATCACTCCCACCCTCGCCACTGGCTCCCCATCCCCCAGAGGACTGAGTTCAAGATCCTCGTCCTCACTTTCAAGGCCATCCATGGACTTGCTCCCTCCTACCTCTCTGACCTCCTGACTCCCTACCAACCTGCCCGCTCCCTCCGTTCAGCGGGCTCTGGCCTGCTCCGTGTCTCCCGCCCGACCCGCCCTACCATCGGTGACCGGGCTTTCAGCCTCTCTCTGCCCCCACACTCTGGAACTTCGGTCCCACGGTCTCTTCGCCTCACTTCCTCCTTTGCCGCCTTCAAGGCCGGTCTGAAGACCCTTCTCTTTGATCGTGCTTTGGTCTGCCTCCCACCTCTCTGCCTTCCCTCACCCCCACACCACCCCTCCCCCATTGCTCGGGCCCCGACATCTGACTGTTCAGCGTTTTGGGACATCCTCCCAACATGAAAGGCGCTCTATAAATGTAATTTTGTTGTTGTTGCTATGGCACAATTCTATTTATCTCAACCAAGAACAATAATTTACAGTTCTACAGCACCTTTTGGGTCAGGAGAATATTTCAAAGTGTTTCTCACAGCTGCCTGGGCACCTGAGCGGGTGGGGGGTAGGGATGGAGGGGAAGAGGGAAAGGACAAAAAGATGACTGAAGAGGACAAAGAGAGAAGTTTTAAAACAGACTTCTCTCTCTAGGGGGGGAAGAGGAAAGCAAAGAGACCCCAGGATGGATTTCCAGAGGGAGGGGAGGAATGGCTGGAAGCTTGATTTGATATGAAGGAGGATACTCCTGGCCAATTAAGCAGATTGTTTCAGTGCATGACTTGAACAAAGGGGAAATAAATGGATTTTTTTGCTCATCAGGGAACTCCTTACTGTCTATGATAACATGTTTTCCACTTTTGACACTCAATAACAACACCAAACACTCCTATGCCACCCTCACTTGCAATGTCTGGATTCTATTAATAATAATAATAATTCATAATAATAATAATAATAATAATCCTGATATCTGATGTCATGTTCAGAGAACGGATTGTAAGCTATACCGGAATTCACGTATACTATAAATTAACCAAAGACAACGCATGAACTTGTTTTGCTAATAAAATCCAACTATGAAGACCTCAAAGATATGACACAGATGTTGTCAAACATGGAAAAAGGAGTGAAAGGATGTTAATGATAAACAACAACAAGATTACATTTGTGTAGCGCGTTTCACATTTCAGATCCGAGCTGGGGTCAGGGGGGAGAAGGGAGGGGAGGGAAAGCGAGATGTGTTGAGTATAAATCCAACTATGAGACTTAATTTTCTTTGTGAATGTGTAAACCTTGTTGCCTTGTTTGTTCTCTTGTACGTATAATCACTAACACTATTTTTCCAATGGATTTGCTTTCAAAATATTTATATATAAATCTAGTGAAATATTTTGAGGCATCCTCAAAAGCAAGGCAAGGATATTATTTTAATGGAAAAATTAATTTTAAAAATGCTTAGGAAGGCTGAGATACCCATTGCCTAAATATGACCATAATAACGCGGCTGTACAAGCAAACTTTACCTTCACCTATCCAGTACTGGGTAAATGCCAAGTTTTTCTATGTATTAGGTGTAGATTTGCTAAGAAGCGTTGCACAATGCAGTACACGAGCTCTTACCCTCTCTCTTGGGTGTTGTCCAAAGAAATCTGGGTGCACAGCAAAGTAAAATGGTCTCAATGCATTCACAGCATCGGTCGCTGATAATGTCCGCATTTGGCAGATTTGGTAGCTGAAAGCACTTTCTGAGCAGAACCTGTTACATAAACAAAATAATCTAACGTAACAGAATTACATTATCAAATTACAATTCATCCTTGAGTTGCATTTTTCAAGATTATTGCACACCCCCATAGCTACTTCCATTTATTCCCCGTAGTTCCTGATTTCCATTGCACTGGTGTAAAAAGGAAAGACCAAAGGCAGGTTGCCATGAAGTGTAGTAACTTGGGACAATGTACATTTACAATGGAAAATACATAGGATCAACTTTATTAGTCTTATCACCAGTATTTGAGTTTGATTGTCTATTTTGATCGATTCTGGTTAGTAAAAGCTGTGGAAATAATACAAGTTAGAAAGATTCAAATGGTATATCTTGACACAGGTATCATGTCGTTCCATATTGATAGTTCTAACTTGTCCTTCAAATTATTCTTAAGCAATGGAACAGGAACAGAGACAAGGATACAATATAAATTTACATTTATACAGCGCCTTTCACTTTGAGAGGACATCCCAAGGCGCTGGACTATCCTAACTTGAGATGGACCTTGAAATAGGTGAGGGAAGGAACGAGTAGGAGGGAGCTTTAGAGAGTAGAGACAGAAAGGCTGAAAGCCTGACCGCTGATGGTGGGGCGAGTAGGGTGGGGGCATAAAGCAGGCCAGGGATGCAGGTTGCAGAAAAGGTTGCATATAATCTAACAGCTTCACAGACTATTTCCATAGTTCCCATCAATCTTACCTCAGAGCAAGAGAAAGCATTTTGGTTCAGATTCCTGAACAAACTGAGGAAACTGGTGGCCTTGATACCTCATCAGGACCTGGTCTGAACACAGCAGCACCTGCATGTGGCCTCCACTACTGCAACAACTGGCAATGCTCCAAGTCCTAAGAGTGAACCTTTCACAAAGAGGGACTCTACAGTACAGCAGTTTTCAAATATCTCTACTTCCTTCAAAGTCCTTTAACTCATACACTCCTTCACTGCTCATTGTAAAAGCCAGAAGCTTATGAAAGCCTTTTTCATTCAGTCACAGGTATTGTCTGTTACAATTCATGACAGCTACTACCATCCTGGAAAACTTGGGAAAAACATCCTCCGCATTTGCTCTATGTGGAATTTTGGCCACTTTTCATCACTGATGACAATGTGTGGACAATTTTGAGAGTTCCTCGACCTGGAGGAAAAAACATACAAAAAATGTGTTTTTTTGAGAAATACAAGATTAAGGAATACTGTAAGTAGCCATACAAAAAGATAAATTAATGTGAGAATGAACAATACACAAACACATTACAGAGGTAAGAGAATTAGTTCAGGGTAAGGAATTTGTGAGAGGCCTGACAAGGATTGATGAAAGGTCTATAGAGCACAAGAAAGTCTATAAACATCAGTTCTGGTCAGAATCACTATTCTCCAGGTGTGACTCTACACCTACCTTTTCATTACTTCGCCTGGGTGTTCCGGATGATAAGAAGGGAGTTTGTAATTGCTGAGGGCAGTTCAATATGGAAACGTGCGTTAGAAAACGGTTAAGTTTTTGCTTACATATTTGTATGGCCCTTTATATGTAATGTGTGTGTGTATATATATATATATATATGTGCCTCTCAAATGCAAAGCTAGTAGTTTTTATCAGTCTATTATTTAAAAAATGCTGTGCTTCAGCAAAATGCCTTCCCTTTATGACACACCAAAAAACAGTTCAGACCCTAGCGCCTCTGATCATTGGGCATCTTCTCTCAAGTGGTCGTCTTAAATCCTATATGTAGTTTCCATAGATTAATTTCCCAAACATCCTCTCAAGAAATGTACCGACAAGTGTTCCCCAAAGAACCTGATTAAAGAAGGTAATGGAAGAATGCAATTGCTGCCATAGGGTCGTAAACTGAATTAGGCTGACATCGCAGGTCAACAAGAATTGAATTAACAGAACCCACAGAAAACAAATGAATTCTTAACACATTAAGCAAATGAAGGACCACCAATGAAACACAGAAGTGAGGTCATGCTGGTTTATCACAGCCTAAGCTGACACTCCAATGACAAAAGTGCCGCCCTTCAAACCGATGTCCCATCTGCCATGGGACGCTAAAAGTCCTGTGACACCATTCAAAAAGAGAAAGACTTTTCTGCCTGTGTCCTGGCCAACAATCCCCAAATAAAATAGGTTATTCACGCAGTAGCTGTTTTGGGGACTTTGTGGTGTCCAAATTGGCTTCCGTCTTTGCCTAGAAATACACATTCACTACAATTTACACAAAATCCTGTGAAGTGCTTTGAGATGTCCTCTCGGGTCCTGCTTGAACTACCACCATCACCTTTGGCTTTGCAAATGGTTTCTCCTCCCGCCCCCGCACGGTCACCTGTGCTGTACTCCAGGATTCTAGCCTCAGCCTCCTCTTTTTCTCACTTACATGCTTCATGCCATGACACCTCCCTACTTCTCTGACCTGCTTACACACCACTCCTCAACATGCCCTCTTCGCTTAGTTGGCTCAGGCTCCTACTTGTCCCTCATCCTCTCGCTCCTCTGTGCTTTCAGGACCTGAGCCTCTGCCTCCTTTAATGTTAAGCGCTGATATACAATCCCACCCCCAAGAGTGCAATATAAACCCCAAGTTGTTGTTATTGTTGTCAAAAGGCACTATGTCAAATGCAAGAATTATTCTTCGTATCATATTATTAACTACAGTATATTATCACTATTTGAGGAGAGTTGTTGATTGTTTGGAGAGAAAAATAAATTTCCAGCCAATCCCACATCTTGGATGTTTTCTCTGGATCCTAAACTCATCCCTATTCCTATAGGGGTGAAAGTCTATTTAAACGACCATGAAACGTCTCTCATACAAAGGAATATTGGGATGTGAAATGTGAATAATAAACGTTACACTGAGGGCAGTGCCTCTCAGGTGGGGAGGAAAACGTTGCCAACGTTGACTGTGACTGACTGACCAACCAGTCTCCACACTGACATCACCAACAACAACAATAAGTTGCATTTATGCAGCGCCTTTCATACGGGATCGAGGAGGGAGATCAGCGACAGGGGCTCAGGGCAGGGGGTAGAGCCACCGCTCACCAGCCTTAACCCCCTCCTCACACCGACCCCAACAGCCCTCTCACACCAACACCAGCCCCAACACCAGCCCCAACACCAGGCCCAACAACAACAAAATTACATCTATAGAGCGCCTTTCACGTCGGGAGGACGTCCCAAAGCTCTGAACAGTCAGATGTCGGAGCTCGAGCAATGGGGGAGGGGTGGTGTAGGGGTGAGGGAAGGCAGACAGGTGGGAGGGAGACCAAAGGCCCGGTCGAAGAGAAGGGTCTTAAGACCGGCCTTGAAGGAGGCAAAGGAGGAAGTGAGGCGAAGGGACCGTGGGATGGAGTTCCAGAGTGTGGGGGCAGAGAGGCTGAAAGCTCGGCCACTGATGGTAGGGCGGGTCGGGCGGGGGACATGGAGCAGCCGGGGGGGTCCGGGGGCAGTGGGGGGCACTGTGGGGGCAGTGGGGGGCAGTGGGGGAGCACTGTGGGGGCAGTGTGGGGGCACTGTGGGGGCAGTGGGGGCAGTGGGGGGCACTGTGGGGGCAGTGGGGGAGCACTGTGGGGGCAGTGTGGGGGCACTGTGGGGGCAGTGGGGGGCAGTGGGGGGGCACTGTGGGGGCAGTGGGGGGCAGTGGGGGGCACTGTGGGGGCAGTGGGGGGGCACTGTGGGGGCAGTGTGGGGGCACTGTGGGGGCACTGTGGGGGGCACTGGGGGGGCACTGTGGGGGCACTGTGGGGGCACTGTGGAGGGCACTGTGGGGGGCACTGTGGGGGCACTGTGGGGGCACTGTGGGGGCACTGTGGGGGGCACCGTGGGGGGGCACTGTGGGGGCAGTGGGGGGCAGTGGGGGGGCACTGTGGGGGCAGTGTGGGGGCACTGTGGGGGCACTGTGGGGGCAGTGGGGGGCAGTGGGGGGGCACTGTGGGGGCAGTGGGGGGCAGTGGGGGGGCAGTGGGGGGGCACTGTGGGGGCAGTGGGGGGCAGTGGGGGGGCAGTGGGGGGCAGTGGGGGGGCAGTGGGGGGGCACTGTGGGGGCAGTGGGGGGGCACTGTGGGGGCACTGTGGGGGCACTGTGGGGGGGCACTGTGGGGGCAGTGGGGGGCAGTGTGGGGGCAGTGGGGGGGGCAGTGGGGGGCAGTGGGGGGCAGTGGGGGGCAGTGGGGGGCAGTGGGGGGCAGTGGGGGGGCAGTGCGGGGGCAGTGGGGGCAGTGGGGGGGCAGTGTGTGGGGCAGTGGGGGGCAGTGTGGGGCAGTGGGGGGGCACTGTGGGGGCAGTGGGGGGGCAGTGGGGGGCAGTGGGGGGGCACTGTGGGGGCAGTGGGGGGCAGTGGGGGGTCCGCGGGGCAGTGTGGGGGCACTGTGGGGGCAGTGGGGGGTCCGCGGGGCAGTGGGGGGTCCGCGGGGCAGTGGCTGATTTGAGACGCGGAGAACAGCCGCAAAGCTCAACAGCGGCTACAACACTGACCTCACCTCAACCATCGCGAGACCACCGCCAGACCAGAGCAATCACCCACACACCCCCAGACCAGAGCAATCACCCGCACACCCCCAGACCAGAGCAATCACCCGCACACCCCCAGACCAGAGCAATCACCCGCACACCCCCAGACCAGAGCAATCACCCGCACACCCCCAGACCAGAGCAATCACCCACAGACCCCCAGACCAGAGCAATCACCCGCACACCCCCCCCCAGACCAGAGCAATCACCCGCACACCCCCAGACCAGAGCAATCACCCGCACACCCCCAGACCAGAGCAATCACCCACAGACCCCCAGACCAGAGCAATCACCCGCACACCCCCAGACCAGAGCAATCACCCGCACACCCCCAGACCAGAGCAATCACCCACAGACCCCCAGACCAGAGCAATCACCCGCACACCCCCAGACCAGAGCAATCACCCGCACACCCACAGACCAGAGCAATCACCCACAGACCCCCAGACCAGAGCAATCACCCGCACACCCCCCCCCCAGACCAGAGCAATCACCCACAGACCCCCAGACCAGAGCAATCACCCGCACACCCCCAGACCAGAGCAATCACCCGCACACCCCCAGACCAGAGCAATCACCCGCACACCCCCAGACCAGAGCAATCACCCGCACACCCCCAGACCAGAGCAATCACCCGCACACCCCCAGACCAGAGCAATCACCCACAGACCCCCAGACCAGAGCAATCACCCACAGACCCCCAGACCAGAGCAATCACCCGCACACCCCCAGACCAGAGCAATCACCCGCACACCCCAGACCAGAGCAATCACCCACAGACCCCCAGACCAGAGCAATCACCCGCACACCCCCAGACCAGAGCAATCACCCACAGACCCCCAGACCAGAGCAATCACCCACACCCCCAGACCAGAGCAATCACCCACAGACCCCCAGACCAGAGCAATCACCCACAGACCCCCAGACCAGAGCAATCACCCACAGACCCCCAGACCAGAGCAATCACCCGCACACCCCCAGACCAGAGCAATCACCCGCACACCCCCAGACCAGAGCAATCACCCGCACACCCCCAGACCAGAGCAATCACCCGCACACCCCCAGACCAGAGCAATCACCCGCACACCCCCAGACCAGAGCAATCACCCACAGACCCCCAGACCAGAGCAATCACCCGCACACCCCCAGACCAGAGCAATCACCCGCACACCCCCAGACCAGAGCAATCACCCACAGACCCCCAGACCAGAGCAATCACCCACAGACCCCCAGACCAGAGCAATCAGTGTTCAGGTGTCAGTGAACTGTAACTGTTCGCTTTGGAGTTTCTTAACAATGTGACGTCTTTCTGCATTTGTCAGACACACAACAGACAAAAACAATCCATCCATCAATCAATCAACCAATCAATCAACCAATCAATCAACCAATCAACCAATCAACCAATCAATCAATCAACCAATCAATCAATCAACCCAGTCAGTCAGTCAGTCAGTCAGTCAGTGGGCGGTCCCGGTCCCCGCAGACTGTGCTGTGACTGTGCTGTGGGCGGTGTCAGGAACTCTGTCCTGAAACCCAGAGGTCGGGATAACGGGTTTTACCACAGAAACAGATTAATTGTCACCAGTGGAGAGCGCGAGAGCCGCAGTGAGAGCCCTCACACCGGCCCCACCGTCTCTCCCCCTCACACCGGCCCCACCGTCTCTCCCCCTCACACCGGCCCCACCGTCTCTCCCCCTCACACCGGCCCCACCGTCTCTCCCCCTCACACCGGCCCCACCGTCTCTCCCCTCACACCGGCCCCACCGTCTCTCCCCCTCACACCGGCCCCACCGTCTCTCCCCCTCACACCGGCCCCACCGTCTCTCCCCCTCACACCGGCCCCACCGTCTCTCCCCCTCACACCGGCCCCACCGTCTCTCCCCCTCACACCGGCCCCACCGTCTCTCCCCCTCACACCGGCCCCACCGTCTCTCCCCCTCACACCGGCCCCACCGTCTCTCCCCCTCACACCGGCCCCACCGTCTCTCCCCCTCACACCGGCCCCACCGTCTCTCCCCCTCACACCGGCCCCACCGTCTCTCCCCCTCACATCAGTGCCGGGGGTCCCAGGAACTTTAGAGGAATGAACTCGCCACAATTCCCGATTCTGGCAGTGCTGGAGAAGTTTGTTGGATTAAAAGCTCTATTTCCCTAATTAGTGTATTTCAGCCGCCAGTCGTAGAGTGGGGCGCGACCGCAGAACGGTGGAGGCCAACCTCTTTGGTTGGACAACAAAATAAATGTTTCTGATTGAATATTTCTTAATTAATGCTATAAATCGTTATGCTTTTTTGTTCATGGTTTCCATGATTATTTTGTTGACCTACCAAAAAGCGAATAGAACCTGTTAAGTAGGAAGTGGTGAACGGTGATGGGAGTGGTCGGCAGTGTTAGAGGTCAGGGAGGGGGCAGGAAGCCTAAATTGCAGTCAGATTGAATGGCATTGGTCACTTTGACGACTGTAGTCTGTCTCCATGCGGTGGGTGGACTGAAGACCTGACTGGAGGGTCTTGAACAGGGAAGAGTGAGAGAGATGAGCACACGGCGGAGGGCAATGAAATATTCCTGTACCTCGGCAAGAAAAGGAGTCTTTATATTTCATTCAAAACTTTGCAGTCCTTTTAAGTTTTAACACGTTGTAAACACGTTCTGAAATTTAAAAACACAATTTTCTACCATATTTAACCAAAGTGAAACTTGGAAATGATTATAAGTATGGCTGCCCATTTATTTTAAGAATTGAGAGTAAAACATTGAATACAAAGCAGACAAATTATAACCAACATAAGCCATATCACAGCACTTTATTGCTGAAACACAACAGCATATACATCACATAACAATGTCTAGAATTTACACTCCTTTTCATTACAAACCTTTTCCAATATTTTCATTTTATCCCTCACAGCAATGTACTTGGATTATGTTTAGGGCTGCAGTGAATAGGTGCGTTCAAATAAACTAGTTCGTCCCGACAAAAAAATAAATATAAAATCAGAAACAGTTTAAGGAACATTTGTAAACTTAGGAGAAAGTGCAATAAAAACAACAACATACCATGATATTTGGCCTTTGTGTAATAAGAAATGTATATTGGGTTTGGAAGGAAGTTCTATTTTTAAATTAATAAGATTTAAATTAAAATTAGTTATATTGGAAAATGCACCAGTTATTTCTAACTCCTGAGTAACAAACAGTATCCAGTTTTAATTTAAAAGGTGGCAAAGTAACAAAGGAACACCTTGCCTCACATGTCAAACCTGTGTGTGTGTAATCTACAGTGGCTAACATATTTTATAAGAAAGCAATGTTTGCAATCGTTATTCTTGAAACACAATTTCCATTTTTTTTAAAAAACATGGAACAGTTTACTCACAAACAAAAACCTGTGCCAAATCTGTCAGAATCAAAGAAAAGGCACAGATGGTTTTAACACATCATTTCAACCTTGAATCCCAGGGAGAGGCTTTGTACTTTCATGGAATAAATGGATAGTACTGGATAGAATACTATTTGCTGCAGCCAGTGTCAATCAAATGCACTGTTCTAGTCTCCAGCGAATATGGCTGATCAATAAGCTTCCCATTTTATTTCAAAGTACAACTGGAGAGATTCTTACCCACACTATAAACCACAAAGGAGAAGCAACTACATACCCAAGGGCGGAAGAACTTCACCTGAAGAAAAGGAGTATTTCACCACCAGGCAGAACCAACTTGTCAGACCCTGGTTTATAACTGAACTGTTAACATACAGGATGACCGTTATAATAATAATAATCTTTGCATTTGATACAGCGCTTTTCACGGCTTCTAGACGTCTCAATGTACAGAATATACAACAAAAACAAATTGCATTTATACTACAGTAGTTGCAGTGCGTAAAATTCAACCCACCTTATAATGGGGTGGACCTAAGAGCCAATGCTTCCTTATGACTGGTGGCATAATTGTGCAAATGTGCACAAAGCCGGGCGGCTGCTCTCATGTTGTCCTCTGGTCTATGAGGAATGAATTTGCGTTGCTTCGATTTGCATTGTCGCACTGCAAATACTGTTGTTGTGCTGACAACATTTGAAGCAAAACCATCGGATTTGAGGTGCATCATTGGGAGTTCAAGCACAATGACATGCTTTAAACTGGTGATGGGATTGGCAGGGCGGTGGCGATGGGATTGGCCGGGTGGTGGCGATGGGATTGGCCGGGTGGCGGCGATGGGATTGGCAGGGGGGTGGCGATGGGATTGGCAGGGGGGTGGCGATGGGATTGGCAGGGGGGTGGCGATGGGATTGGCAGGGGGGTGGCGATGGGATTGGCCGGGTGGCGGCGATGGGATTGGCCGGGTGGCGGCGATGGGATTGGCCGGGTGGTGGCGATGGGATTGGCAGGGGGGTGGCGATGGGATTGGCAGGGGGGTGGCGATGGGATTGGCAGGGGGGTGGCGATGGGATTGGCTGGGGGCGGCGATGGGATTGGCAGGGGGGTGGCGATGGGATTGGCAGGGGGGTGGCGATGGGATTGGCAGGGGGGTGGCGACAGGAGTTGAAATGTGACTTGTTTTGAAATGTAACGGTGGATCTGGAGTTTTAGTAAGATATCAGGGTCCACAACCCAATCATGTTTTAAGTAAGTAAACCCGGGTTTTAACAAAGCGTGTTAATAAGGGAGGAAGGATCTCCATATAACAATAGGTTAAACTACTTTTCAAGAATATTGCTGATCTTGGTTCAAATTAAAAACATGGTGTGACATTCCATCATTAGCAACATAAAATATTTTCTCATAGCTATTTGAATTCACTGTGGTGTGTTATGTGCTATGTGTAAATATGCTAACATTATGTATCATGTAAGAACCATGTGTAAAGCATGTGTACAGAAGGAATTTTTTAAACATTAAATCCTTTTTATTGGTTTATTACATATTTAAGGGCACCTATGTACACCCGCTGCATATGTGAGCTCACACATGATTTACATGAAGCATAATATACATGCATTGACATGTCATAAATTCTGTGTTTACACATGGTGCATAACAGTTCCATATTATCTCTCTTAGTTAAGGAAGGAAGTTTCTTGAAGGAATGAATGTGCGAACAAAGCCATACAGTGTTTATTTATGAGTCACTGAAAAACAACTTGTTAGGACGTTTTGTCATGCAACTAGTTGCTCGTTTGTGTTTAGTCCAGCCATGCCTACACCAGTCTGCTGATACAAGAATGGCATTACAATATGGCAATGCATTAATGTTACAAAGGAGGAGATGAATCTTTGTTGGGAGTATCTTAGTCACCAGTAGAAAGTAGACAAAGGTAAGAATAGCTAGTCGACTATCAATCACAAGTCCTCAGCTAATGGATAGTTGTGAAGCCCCTCACTACTTGTAGCATTTCCTGGTTTCACAGGTAAGGCAGAACATCACAGTTTTATGTCTAAGAAAATTTTATGTTCAAATATAGCGATGACTAACATGATACCAAACCCCAGCAGGATGCCAGCATTTTGCAAGAGGAAGTATCCTCCGTGACTGCAATCATGGTCGCCAGCATCATTATGAAGCATTTCAGGAACCTGCAGGAATGAATTAGGAGATTTGATTAGATCTTTCAGCTGTAGTAAAGACCAGTGTTTAATCCAGCTACATCTTCAACTTTGCAATGAAGAGTCAATTCAACACTTTGGAGTCCTGCAGCTTAGTGATTAGAGCACTCTGCTCGCAAGCGAGAGGACCTGGGTTCAATTCCTGGCAGGGAGAAACATTGGGCAAGTTTCCTTATTCCACATACCTCTATTTATCATCAGTAAGTAGGAACCCGGTTGTTAGTCGATTGGCGGAGCACTTTTTTGGAGGAAGGTAGAAGAAATATTTGCACAAAGAGGGTGGTGGAACGCTTTCACATGTTGCTATTGAATTTGAGACCAAGTTCCTTTGACTCACTCCCTCACTCTTTTTGTTCAAGGTCAGTCTCAAGCCCTACCTCTTTGAACACGCCTTCAGTCATCTTTCTCCTACCCATCCTCTGGGCTCCCATCCCCAGCACTGTTAAGCGCTTTTGGATGTCCTCACAGCATGAAAGACACTTATATAAATGTAACTTTGTACAGTAAAATAATAATAATGCTTGCATTTGATATAGCGCCATATCACGTCTTCGCGACGTCTCAAAGCGCTTCATAGAATATACTTTAAAGTGAATTGACTGTATATTTTGTAGGTGAAACGTGGCAGCCAATTGCGCACAGCGGTGTCCCACAAACAGGCGTAGATTGACCAATTTATTATATTATTAATTTGCACTGTATTGTAATTTGAGATGTTTTGACATTTTAGGCCCTACATCAAATACAATGAATAGTTATAGTGTCTTATAAACACTCTGAGACGCTATACCCTGCGTGGAGGGCGCTATATAAGTGCAAGTTGTTGTGTTATAAAGTTCATCCTTGGAAATTATACAGAACTGGTATTAATGTGAAGGATCTGTCAATTATGTTATAGTTAGTTTAGTGAACATGTTGGACTGATTTTTATATCATTAGAACAGGGAAACCATGCTAAAAGTACATAAAAAGTCTATACCTACCATGTCAACCAGGGCCACGTACAAGAACAAGCCAGCAGTAACAGCAAAGATCCACGTGGAGACATTTTCAGCATAATGACCAATGGCAGTACCTGTTATCATGCCAAGATACCCCAGGAGTGCAGAGAGAACATTGTACATCACAGCCTGTTTTACTGTCATACCAGCCTTCAGCAGAACAGCAAAATCACCTGTTCACACACAGAAATGCATTGTGACAACCAATCCCAATGACAACAGTTTTAACCATTTTATAAAAACAGCTCAATTTTCTTAACTGGAAACTTCTGGGTACAGATTACATCTCAGTGAGGTTATTTTGTGTAGCACTGGCACAGGCACCACTGATAGGAACAAGACAGTTTAGAATTGTAGTGTGTCACGGTCGCCCCTTTTGTTTTCTATGCCCGTTTAAATATATTGAGTAGTGCTTTAATTTTTTTTTAATGTATTTAACGTTTTTTGAGACTTATGGTGTCATCAAGTCTGACTCTAGCTTTGACTGCAACAATTTGGCGGATAATTTACCATTCCAATGTGCAAATGCAGGATTGGAAGTGAACTTGTCCCCTAATGGGCAACTGAGGGGAGAAAGTGATTGGACCATAAAAAAGGCACCAATTACATCAGGTAATTGGTGCAATACAATTCCCATTGGGTACCTTAATTTGGGGAGGGGCTAAAAGAACGAGAGCCATATACTCGTGGTCGCTATTTTTCTACCTGATGACAACAAAGGTATGTGCTCTGACTATTAATGAGTACTAGTCAGAGGTTGATTCTTCGTGCACTTTTACATAAACTTTATTACAAGTGGCTACTAGCGTGTGTAGTGTAAGTGTGATTAATGTTTGTTATTTCATAGTTGTGTTTGTTGATATTTATCTCGTCGTTTAAGATTGAAAGCCGAGGGTTGTGCATTTCATCGAAGTTACAATAAAATTCTGTTGAGCTAACTTAACAGTGCTTTCTCGAGCTTTCTGTAAAAATCAACGGAGGGAATATATAAACAGGTTCAGCCTAGGTCACAGAGGTGTAAAATAAACCTCAGATTGACTGAAGTTTCCCAATTTGCTTTAATTTAAATAGCAATTGGTAGTACCTATCATCGTGGAACTACACCTAGTTGTAGGGACTTGCATTCATTAGTGAGGATTGAACAGAGGTCACCCAGTACTCTGCAATGGAGAGCGAGCCATATTGTGGGTGTACATATAAGGGCGACAGAACCGTCTCAAGTGATACCCAAATGACTATCAAAATTCCAGTCAGTTTTATGTGTAGTATCTTTAGCAACGAGCACTAATGAATTGGGCATCGCCAAAAGCATAATGAGTAAAGCTGCCTGTAATATCAGCACATATACTGCTAAACTATTCAATCTGTCAAGTGGCTTTAACCAACACTGAGCAAAGCTTGTTACAGTCTGCACTATAAGCTACACAATACAAATGTGTATGTTTTTACATAAATACACTTACCCAGTTCATGAGGCAATTCATGGCAGAAGACAGCAACTGATGTACTCAATCCACTTGACAATCCTCCTGTAAAAGCAGCCCCTAAAATAACATTCAAATAAAACACAATAATGTTCAAAATGCAAAGCAAATTAAATGGAAGAGGTTATAGAATGTAAAAATTTGTATCACATTGTCAAACTCCCATGACAGTTAAAAAATAATTATTTGCACTCATCTGATAAATTACGTGTTTTAAATTCTATTTAATGTGATTTAAGTCCGTGCCTGGTTTGTGCGCTTCCAAGAGATAGCTTAAGGAACAGAATGTTCTTTTACGACTAGATGATAGCTTCACATCAAATTGCAAACAGCAGCAGCCTTAACATAGCAAGGGCTTTCACGCATGATAATCTCATTGGGGTTAGGGGAGTGTGGGGAGGAATTTGTACTCGGAAGTTTGGAACTTCTTTGAAAAATACAAGGAAGACAATTTTTCTAATATTTCTGAATATCAGATTCAGAAAATTTAATATTCTCTCTCGCTTACTGAACTTTTATATTGCAAATAGGAGTGTAACACAGTAATGAGAGCTGGATGAGAGGTAACTCCTGGATGAGAGCTAACTTTATCTTCATTTGAACATCAACAAGACCGAGGCCCTCCTGATTGGCTTCCGTCAGCAGCTCCACATCTCAGGTGCTGACAGCATCACCATCCATGGACGCACACTCCACCTTACTAAGTCAGTCCGGAACTTTGGCATCTTGTTTGACCTTCAACTATCCTTTCCATCCTACATATCTGTGCCATAATCCGCTCTGCCTTGCCCCACCTCCGCAACATCGCCCAGCTCTGTCACTGTCTCACTCCGCAGGCCACCAAAACCCTCATACGTGCCTTCATTACATCGAGGCTCGACTATACAAATTCCCTGCTTGTCGGCCACCCCAACTCCTTCCTCCGTAGGATGCAGATCATCCCGAACTCTGCAGCCCATGTCCTCTCCTGCACCAGGCTTTGTGACCCTATCACTCCCATTCTCGCCCAACTCCACTGGCTTCCCATCACACAAGACGATAGATACAGTTCAAGATCCTGGTTCTCACTTTCAAAGCTCTCCATGGCCTTGCTCCCCGCTACCTCTGTGACCTCCTAAATCCCTACCAACCTGCCCGCTCCCTCTGCTCAGCAGGCTCTGGCCTGCTTCGCCTCGCCCAGCCCACCATTGGCGGGCGGTCCTTCAACCCGCTATCTCGGGGATAGTCGACCAGGACCTAGGAGAAACTCGTTTCTAGATGGTATCTTTATCAACCCCATACAGATAAAGAAGTTGTTTGGGTTCTCAGCGCTTCTGTCACTTGGCGGGCGGGCCTTCTGCCACTCTGCCCCTACCCTCTGGAACTCCATAACATAACATGTAGGAGCAGGAGTAGGCCATTCGGCCCTTCGAGCCTGCCCCGCCATTCAATCATGGCTGATCTTCTAATCTAACTCCAGCTAATACCATAACCCTGCCTTGTCCCCATATCCCTTAATCCCTTTTGCAATAAGAAATCTATCTATCTCAGTCTTGAATATGTTCAAGGACTGAGCATCAACAGCCCTTTGGGGTAGTGAGTTCCATACATTCCCCACCCTTTGAGTGAAGAAGTTCTTCCTCAACTCAGTGCGAAAGGGTTGGCCTCTGATTTTAAGGTTGTGACCCCTGGTTTTAGTTTCCCCATCCAGGGGAAACAATCTCCCACTATCTACTCTATCATGCCCTTTGATGATCTTATAGGTTTCTATAAGATCCCCTCTAATTCTTCTATATTCTAGAGAATATAGGCCCAAATTGGTCAGCCTATCCTCGTAACTCATCCCCTTCATCCCTGGTACTAACCTAGTAAATCTACGCTGCATCCCCTCCAAGTACGTCCTTCCTTAAATAAGGAGACCAAAACTGCACACAGTATTCTAGGTGTAGTCTCACCAGAGCCCTATACAGTTGCAGCAAGACTTCCCTACTCTCCCATTCCGTAGTCCCTCCGCCTTGCCCCCTCCCGTGCCTCCTTCAAGACCCATCTCAAGACCCTCCTCTTCGACAGTACCTTCGATCACTCTCCTTCCCCCCCAATCCTCACCAATCCCGACCCCCAGCTCGGCGAAACACTGAATGTCCAGCTCTTTGGGATGTCCTCCCGACTTGAACGGAGCTGTACAAATGTAATTTTGTTGTTGTTGTAATACAGACCAACACTGCTGGGGTGCAAACTCTCTCAACACACTGGCTTGGAGCACTTAATGGTTACTGAATATCTTTAGTTTCTAATCCTGCTCTCTTAAAATCTCGGATCGACAATAAAACCTGATGAAAGCACGAGGTGAGGTATGTTTCAGCTGTCTTATAAAAGGTCCCCTGTTTGTTGACGTATAAAGGGGCTGCTGAACCCCAAAAAAATCTATCTAGAGCTCTTAAAATATTTATTTTTGTGACCAATAACAGATCAAAAGAGAACGTGAAAACAGTTCCAAGTACCTTGTGTACTCACAAAATTAGTCTTGCAAAAAGGAAACGATACCTCAACTGTGAACACTTGTGCCCCAGGGGCAAGTCTTCAAGTTCCTGATTTTACAAATAAAAGGAAACTAATCCCTCCCATGTATCAACAGCACTGTGGGTTGGTTGTTAACCCTTTAGTATTGGGATTGCATGGAATCTTGTTAGTGTGAAAGTGAGAATCAAAATCTCACCAATCGCTAAGCCATCGCTGAAGTTATGCAGCCCGTCTCCCATAATCACCATCCACGCCAGTGTAGCTATACCCGCATCCTTCAGGTCCTCTTGGAAGTAATGGTGCCCATGGCTATGGGGGTGATGGTTCTGGTGATGATGGTGGTGCAGAATGTGGTGATAGTCGTGGTGATGGTGGTGAGAATCATCCGCATTGCCTATGGTATCGTGGAAATGAGAGTGGCATTTGTTCTCGCACCCTCTTGGCACATATGCATTGTAATTGCCTTCGGCATGAGGGTGTACTATCATAACCTCCTGCTCTGGAGTTAATGAGTTTTGGCTGTGATCGAGAGAATGAAGATTTGGCTGATCATTAGCTTCAATCGTCGAGAAGTCATCCTGATCTGTTGATACAAAAATCAAATATCAGCCTTTCAAAAGGTATATCAGTACTGCTTGAACTACAGTCAGTATTTGACCCTGAAACTCTTTTGAGACATTTTGAATAAAATAAGACTAATAATAATAATAATAATCCTTGCATTTGATATAGCGCTTTTCACGTCGGGAGGACGTCCCAAAGCGCTTCACAGAACACACTGTAAAGTGAATTGACTGTATATTTGTGGGCGAACGCGGCAGCCAATTGCGCACAGCAATGTCCCACAAACAGTCGTAGATTGAAAATGACCAATTTATTATTGTTTTTTGTTTTGGAGGGATTATTATTAGGCTCTGTGTGGAGTAAGGAAACTTGCCCAAGGTTTCGCCCGGCCTGGAATTGAACTCAGGTCTCTCACTTGCAAAGCGAGTGCTCTAACCACTGAGCTACTTTTATCAAATCCAAGGATTATTGTTAGTAGCAATAGCAATTCAACAGAATTACGACAAACACTTACGACAGAATGGCTTTAGGTTTAGCTTTTCATCCTTAGATACCGGACATTCTTCAACTGACACCTTATCAACATCTACCTCTTGATCTTCCTGGACACCCTTTTTGTGCTGTGATGAAAAAAAACAAAATGTATTTTTACATTATAATATTTCCAAACAAGAAACTCTTTGTTGTGTGATAGCCTGTTTCTCCTTTTTTTATTTGAGTGGAACAAAAAACACAGACGTTTATGGGTGACTAGATAGCCAACTGCAGATCCATCTGTTTGGTCAGGACACAGGAGAGAACGAGAGGCTAACACTTTCAACAGTATTCAGTAGAGCCAAACCCATTATAGTCTATCTATCCTTCTGCAGACTTGAACAAAGATATACCAAGCGACAAGAGGCCACAGGTTCAGGATTGTGAAGGGCAATTGCACATCAGACACGTGAATAGAAGGTAATTAATGACTGGAACAGGTTACCAGGAACAATGGTTGAGATCAGGATACTGGATCCGATAAAAGAATCATTGTAATGCTGTAATGGAAGGACAGTAAGATGGGTATTCTGTCAGATACAGTATAAGAATGAGATCAAATAGGCCGGAGAGTTCTAATGGGTGCATCTGAATCTCTCTTGTGATTTATACATTGTGTAATAAGAATTGTCTTTATGGTTGTCCTCACTCTTTAGATGCTGTTACTGAAGGTCACAGTGGATTTGTTGTCTTCCCCGTCCCAATGCATTTGAGGCCTTTTTTTGCCAACACACCTCTGTCCAGTTGGACGAGGTATGAGCAGAGGCATCTATGAAAGAAGTAAACACAATCGATGGTGCTTTTCAAACACTCAAGGCCAGAGAATACAAAAGCCAAATGGAATTTGATAAGGTAAAGTTTGAGGGGAACCTCTTTTAGTTTAATAATAATAATAATAATCCTTGCATTTGATATAGCGCTTTTCACGTCGGGAGGACGTTCCAAAGCGCTTCACAGCTTCACTGTAAAGTGAATTGACTGTATATTTGTGGGCGAACGTGGCAGCCAATTGCGGACAGCAATGTCCCACAAACAGTCGTAGATTGAAAATGACCAATTTATTATTGTTTTTGGTTTTGGAGGGATTATTATTAGGCTCTGTGTGGAGTAAGGAAACTTGCCCAAGGTTTCGCCCTCTGCCTGGAATTGAACTCAGGTCTCTCGCTTGCAAAGCGAGTGCTCTAACCACTGAGCTACAGGACTCCACAACAGTTTAACCATTTAAATCATTTACCAGCAATCAGTCCAGGTGCACACCCATTCAGCTCGCTTTGTAAAATCTTGGCTACCTCTTCTAATTCCACTTAACCTCCCTCTCCCCAGGCTTTTCACCTGTAAATGTAACCACTTAACTACCCTGCATTGAGTCAGAATCCAAGTCATTAATATATAAAAAGGAACAGGAAAGATCCCAGCACAAACACGAGACAATAAATATCTTCTCACATTTCAACCTAGCTTTCCAAATTTCACAAACTGCACAGTCAATTCACTTTACAGTATATTTTATGAAGCGCTTTGAGATGTCTTGGAGATGCAATATCAAACGCAAGGATTATTATTAGCTCCACTAATGACCACCACTGCTTCCTTCCCTTCCACCAGTCATTAAACCTATGTCTCGATACACCCTGGCATTAGTTCATGAGGTCTTTTGGAAATATAGGTGCACTGTGTCATACATAACCTCAATTTGAAATGTCACCTCCTTAAAAGGACTGAGGTTTTGCAAACAGGATCTACCCTTTCTGAATCCATGCTGCCTGTCATTTATTTTAAGAAAAATTCTTATTGATTCAATTAGTTTTTGCGATTACTGAAGTCAGGCTACTGTAGTGCTCAGATATGACTCGGTGCCGTTTTGCTGTAAAATGGAAAGAACCGTGATTAGTTACAGGATCCTGCATTTTTACAGAACGAACACTAGAATAAAGGGTAAATATTGGTTGTGCTTACCTTCTTTTTATCTTTGTACAGTTTGATTAATGTTATAAGGTGCTCAATAAGAAACATAAAGTAAAGTCCTCCGAGAGCAGCAAGACCTTTCCACACCGCATTCAAGTGATCCTCTTCGATTTTAACATGACTGTCGTGGTGAGCGATACCCTGGGACTGTGAACATCAAGAGTACAATTGACTAATAAAAGCACCAACAGTCCCTTTTCAATGCTTAATTCCACGTGTACGTTTAAAGGTATTTCTTGAAAGAAATTTTTTGTGTGACACCCTAGTTGGTAGCACTCTCGCCTCTGAGTCAGAAGGCTCTGGGTTCAAGATCCACGTCTAGGCTGACACTCCATTGCAGTGCTGGGGGTGTGCTTCAATCTTGGCGTCCTTTGGATGAGATGTTAAACCGATGTTATTGGATAATCAATACCCTGCAACTTTCTGCATTAATATTTCAGTCACTCCATCCAGTGTGTTTTAATAGTACATAAACTCAAGGGTTCTCTCCTTCCTCTCCACCTCTATCAATGCTCACTTCACATCACTCTCCTTCCTTCATGCATCTTAATTATACAGTTCTCAGAATTACTATTTACCATGGGCTCCCTAAAATGTACAACAATATCTAATCTGGGCCACAATTATCACCAGTGGGAGAAATTCCCTTTTCTTTTCCAATAGTGCCACAGAATTTTTAATGTCTACCCGATGAACAGGCAGACTGGTTTAATGTTTCATCTGAAGGATGTCAGCTCTGACAATGTAGCATTCGTCCAGCATTATTCTGGAGGGTCAGTTGACAAATCAACATTTTGCTTTGTTGAGAGACACTAGAGGCAACAGTCATACCCTACAAAGCAGAGTGAGTGCTACATGCACATCTAATGGGGGAGAAATTTACGTATTGCACGTAAAGGTGTCGTAAATAAAAACCTTGTATTTGCCATATATTTATTGCAGCAAACGGGTTTTTTTTGGGGGGTCAGCTGGGTGTCTGACACATTCGAAACCCATCACCATCACCCAGAGCATGAAAACTCAGCTGAGAACTCCATGCATCCCACCTACACGTTTGAAAATGTCACCCGTAGTTTGAATTCAGTTTCAATGTCCAGTGTAGTAGTGACTGTTATAGGCAAACACGATAGCCCTGGTCCAAATCTGCGACAGTTTTTAGCATGTGTTGTATGTCTTGTATTCAGGCGTCAGCAGAGGCTTGTGAGACAGGCAGTACTTACATGTGGCAGGAGATGCAAAAACGCATCCCCGCTCAGGGTACCAACGGCTAAAGCCACCAAAAATGTCAACAGGAACTTGAAGAAGGATAGATTCATTAAGGGTATAAGGATTATTCCCATCAGAGACAGGAAGCTGATGATTGTGACAGAGACAAAGCCACCGATCCAAACTGTAGCAAAACAGAAAGAGAACATTGAATCAATCATCAACCACACTTTCTGAATATTTGTAACTTATTACTGAGCCAATTAAAATTAATTTCAACAACAGGATGCAAAACACAATGACGTATAACAAGATTTTTTATTAAGGGATCAGAGCCACCACCCACCCACCCCACCTCCTCCCCGGTAACTGGAAGTAGATTACACAAGACACACAGGAACTCTATTCCAAAAGTAGATTGAATTGGTTAATAGGATCACACATTTTTGCTGAACATCACTTTACTGTATATTCTGTGAAACATTTTGAGACCTCTCAACAACGTGATAAGGCGCTATATCAAATGAAAGGATTATTATTATTAACTGAAATGCTGGAGTTAAAGCAGGGATCTCACAAGCCTGTAGTTGGAACCCGTGATGCGTACACTGGGAAATAAATGCAAGAATCATCTTTACTGAGATCAGCATTGAGAATAGCGTTAGAGCTGGTTTGATACTTTAATTGATTTCACAAATTTGAATGGCATGTTAGATTCCCGCCCCCCCCCCCTCAACACACACACACATCCTCCATAAGCATACAGAAATTGTTTTTTCAGCAGGAAAATAGTAGAAAGTAGATTTGTATTTTGCCACGTGTATTATATCTTCTTGTTCATACTTTAACACAAAGAAAGAAAATTGCTTGCCTGCTGCAACAGAAATCTCTGGTCTTGGATTCTCCGAATGGATCTGTTTATTTCCATGGATGATGCAAACCTTACTGTCAATCTGATCCAACAGAGCTGGGCACAGGTAGCTAAACTGTTCGGAAGTAAGAGTTGCCTGTGGATGCATTCCATGGGTCAAGAGTAGTTGGGCTGCATTTAGGCACTGCAATGATACAAATATATACACAAATCAAACAAACATCCTGCATTAGATTGCAAAGAGTAAAACACAATTCTGCTTCCCATCCACTGCAAGTCTTACATCTGCTTTATTCTTCATTGCACACTGACATACTGCGACCAAAGTCTCAACTGGCAGCTTGTTCTGCCCTGTTTTCAATCCTGATGTTAAGAGGTTTTGCTCCATCTCAACCTATCCAATTGCCCCAGATGTTATGTTCACCCTAGACTAGTCACTAGTTGACAAATGCAGGTCAGAGTCCTCACTACGTGGATAGCAGGTACCAGGAAATCCTTGTGAATCATGCATTGAACAAATGCACATTTCCAATACATACACACACATGTATGTATTGCAATTCGTGCCTAAGCTTTACACAACAACAACAAATTCATTTGTGTAGTGCCATTCACATCAGGAGGATGTCCCAAGGCGCTGAACAATCAGAGATCCGCGCCTGAGCTGGTGGTTGGGAACAGGAGGGGTGGAGGGCAGGGACGGTAGGAGTAAGAGGGTGACCAAAGGCACGGTCGAAGAGGAGGGTCTTGAAACGGGTCTCGAAGGAGACATGGGAGGGGGGCAGGGGGACTGGGGATGGAGTTCCAGAGGGTGGGGGCAGAGAGGCTCACTGCACCTTGCCAGCCTTGCCAATGATGGAGCTGGCAAGGTGAGGGATGTGAAGCAGGCCAGAGCCCGCTAAGCGGAGGGAGCAGACAGGTTGGTAGGAGGTTAGGAGGTCACAGAGGTGGGAGGTGCAAAGCCCTGGAGGGCTTTGACAGTAACTTATACATAAGTAAATCTGTTGCACGTATATCATTGTGAAGCACTTTGACAGGTTCCCCCCAACGTGAAAGGCCCATGCAAATCAAATGCAAGGATTTTTTTAAATTTTATGTCTAATCAATCTTTTTAACAACTGCAAAAATAAAATCTTTTCAAAATTTGTAAATATATCAAGTCCATGGTCTTATGACTAAAGCAATTTGAATATCTGGGCCACAGATAGGCTTGGGTAATGATTACTTTGTGTTATGTGAAACATTGTAAATGTGTTCCAAAGGGATTAAAATTTATATCACTGAATCCAAGAGAGGATTTGTTTTGTCCTCAAACATGGAAGCAGAATAAAGTTTCACTCATTGTTGAAATGTGTAGAGGTCGTAATGACTGAAATATAATAAAATGATGCAAAGCATCACAATTATATCTGAAGTTAGACTCAAGTCTAATATTTAATTTGCAAGGAGGCAATTCAGCCCCAAGGAGACCCGCTTAACTACTCTCCCTTCCCTTCTCCCAGAGTTCAGTCACTCGTTGACAATTGCAGGTCTGAGCCCTCACTAGGTGGATAGTAGGTACCTGGAAACTCTTGTGAACTGCACGTTGAACAAGTGCACATTTCCAATACATACACACATCAGTACACATAGGACATTGGAGTCCTGTAGCTCAGTGGTTAGAGCACTCGCCTCGCAAGCGAGAGGACCGGGGTTTGAATCCCGGGCAGAGCGAAACGTTGGGCAAGTTTCCTTACTCCACACGCCTCTGTTTACCTATCAGCAAGTGGGAACCCAGTTGTTAGTCAATTGATGGATCACTTTTCCAGAGATAATAATTCCTTAGAACAAATTTGGTCACTCAATCCACAACTGTTTGTGGGACACTGCTATGCACTATTGGCTGCCGCGTTCTGCCCAGAAAATACAGTCAATTCACTTCACAGCATATTCTGTGAAGCGCTTTGAGACATCTCAAAGACATGATAAAAGCGCTATGTCAAATGCAAGGATTATTATTATTATTAAAGCTGATGCACTTATTTAAAAAAAACATTGCTAGCTCTTCAAAGACTCCACTGCTGACTTTCAGTGAATACCCTCAAATACTGTTAGACAGTTCTAGTTTGTTCTGTCATTTGCAATCACAGTAAATCCATGTGGTTATCAAGAACATTCTATTATTTAGCAGAGTTTGCTGCATTTTTGATGCTGAAAGTTAGTTTGAGAACAGGGCGAGTGGCAGCAACAAAAATAGCTGTCCAAAGTGAAGCTCTCAATGGGTGCATTTAAATACACAATATTCCACTGCCTGACATTCAACACCAGTAAAATTGTTCACAGAAGCAATGCCCCGGGGGTGGGGAGAGTTAGACAAATCCGTTGCGTCTGTGCTACTGCTATCTGTTTTTCTAAATCGCTCTTTTGAGTTATAAAACTCAAACCATGTTAGTTCTTGCCTTCACTTTGAAAGCCCTCCATGACCTTGCTCCTCCCTACCTCTGTGACCCACTAGCTCCATACTGCTCGCCAGAATCTGGCCTGCTCCAGATCGCCTGCTCGGCCCGCCCCACCATCGGCGGTTCAGCCTTCAGCCTCTCTACCCTCACCCCCTGGAACTCCATCCTACAGTCCCTTCGCCTCACGCGCTCCCTTGCCTCCTTCAAGGCACGTCTCACAACCTTCCTCTTCCACTGGGCCTTTGGTTACCCTCCTACCCCTATCCTCCCTCCACCCCTCCTGATCCCAACCCCCAGCTCGGGTGCAACACCTTAATTATCTTATTCAAGGCGCTTTCAAATGTAATTTGGTGTTTTAATGAGTGACATCCTACCATTTACATATTATATGGAAAAAACACCAAGACAATAATTATGGAGCTTTGAGCTCGTCATAGTTAACTGATCCCAAACTGAAGTGGTGAAGACAATCCTGTAGGTGGTGTTATTTATATTAAAAAAAACAGTGGCACCAAACGTCCGTTACAACGCAGATTTCGGGTCGAACCTACAAGAAATCTGCGGTGCAAATGGCTCTTGAAATGGCTTCTGGAATCTATTGCTAGCTGATTGGATAAATGGATTTACCTCCTCTTCTGGCACGTCTTTATCACTTTTATGATGACCATTGGTTCCATGTACATCTTCATTCATTTCTTTCAAAGTAACCGAATCTGCCTGTGTTTGACTGTATGTATTACTACTGGAACCATCTGCTGTAGTGGCAGGTGGATCTTGAGGCATCTCAGTCCAATCTGCATTTACAGCAGCAGATTTTGTACTCTGAAGACTTCGCACTGGTCTTGCATGTTTTCTGCTTTCAGATCTTTCCATAGCAGTGATGAGAGACTGTTGGGTGGTACTTAAACTATGGTGGATCTTGTCACGATGCTGCTTTGGATAATGTTCTTTCTTTTTTGGAGCAACCTTGGGAGTGGTTTGTGAGCCACTTCTTAATTGAATATGTTGGTGCTCAGGGCAACAGTGGTGATGAATTTCTACGTCAGCTTGTAACTCATGCTCCAGATGGTCATGATCGGAGTCAAAATGCTCACGTTTAGTTTTCAGCATTCTGGTTCTACCTACTCCCATATTATGTAACAACTTTTCCAACCCCTTGACTGTTAGAGTGCCATTATTTCCATAATGATCAAAAAGCTTATGCAGGTAGTACTTCTGTTCCCCCACAGCCTTATGCCTGTCCACATTTGCTGTGTTTATATCTGGCTGGAGTATGTGGTCACCATTTTCAAGATCATGGTTGTGTTCGCCAACTGCGCAGTCAGAGTCATGGTCTGCGCGGCCTTGGCACCCATTCCAGTAGAAGATCAGGAAACATGACAAGCAAATTCTGCCATATAGATCCCTGTGTAGCCGAGTCATTCCTGAGGAAAAGGAAAAAGCAGGTAAAAGTCAGAAAACTCTTTATCTGAAAGGAGCTGATCCCACTGTTTTGTATTTTTAATGTATTGTTCAGGTCCAGTCTATAAGGTTTCAACATAGCAAATGGGGATCTGGGAACGCAGGGGTATTGAATATAAAAGTAGGAAAGGCATGTTGAAATTGTATACGACTACAGTTGGGAGTCTTATGTTGAAAGAGAGGAAGTGATAGAAGCGTTTCAGATACTGAAGGAGCAATAACAGGTTATTCGCAGAAAAACTATTCAGTTGGGGACTTGGTGACAAGGGGCATAGTGTCAGAGTTGTTAGCAGAAGAATCAGGGGAGAGGTTAGAAGGAATTTAAGAGTGTTGAATTCATTAACCCAAACAGCTATTGAGGCTGAATCAATAATAATTCAAAAAGGAACCTGATAAAGAACTAAGAATTACAAATATTTAGGGTGAAGTGGGATTAACAAAACTAAAAGAAAACAGTTAGGAGTGGATCAGACAAGATATGCCAAATTGCCTCCTTCTATGTATAATTGGAGTCCTGTAGCTCAGTGGTTAGAGCACTCGCTTTACAAGCGAGAGACCTGAGTTCAATTCCAGGCAGGGCGAAACCTTGGGCAAGTTTCCTTACTCCACACGCCTAATAATAATCCCTCCAAAACCAAAAACAATAATAAATTGGTCATTTTCAATCTACGACTGTTTGTGGGACATTGCTGTGCGCAATTGGCTGCCGCGTTCGCCCACAAATATACAGTCAATTCACTTTACAGTTTGTTCTGTGAAGCGCTTTGGGACGTCCTCCCGACGTGAAAAGCGCTATATCAAATGCAAGGATTATTATTATTATTATTAATTACATAAATTCTACAGACCATTTGGCTCAACTAGTCCACGTTTGTGTTTATACACAACATGAAACCCCAACCCTAATTCCCTCTAAAGTACTCCTCTATTCCTTTCTCCCTTATGTATGTGCTGTAAATTTCTGTTTCTATTGCAGTACATCAGGCAATCTACTGAGATAAGATGCTGCATCAAATGTAGGGGCTCATCACTCAAATCCGCATGTATCGCCATGATAGTGAAGATTTAATACAAAATGTAGTGTATCTTATGAAGCTCTTTGGTGCGATGTTAAAGACTCTATATTAAATGCAAGGATTATTATTATTATTACTCAGCCCTCTAACGTGCTAGCTATATAAATGCAAATGATAATAATAATCTTTGTATCTGGTATAGCGCTTTCCACGTCTTCTAGACATCTCAAAGCGCTTCACAGAATATACTGTAAAGTGAATTGACCGTATATTTGTGGGCAAAACTATTATTAAGGTCTTCTTGACAAAGTCCCACCAAGGATGATCACTTGTGTGGCGTCTGGGGAAGAATACATTAGAATATACAGCACAGAAACACGCCATTCGGCCCAACTGGTCTATGCCGGTGTTTATGCTCCACATGAGCCTCCTCCTGCCCTTTCTCAACTGAGCCTTCAAGCATAACCTTCTATTCCTTTCTCTCTCATGTACCTATCTCGCTTCCCCTTAAATATATCTGAGATGCCGTCTGGCATGGAGGGCGCTATATAAATCCAAGTTGTTGTCGTTGTATCTATGCTATCTGCCTCAACAACTCCTTGTGGTAGCAAGTTCCACATTCCCACTACTCTCTGTGTGAAGAAATTTCTTCTAACTTCCCTATCTGATCTATTTGTGACTATTGTATATTGATGGCCCCTGGTATTGGTCTCCCCCCATGGTTTTGCCCACAAATATATGGAAACACCTTCTCTATGTCTACCCTATCAAAACCTTTCATAATTTTGAAGATCTCAATCAGGTCACCCCTTACCCTCCACAAGCACACGTTCAGCCTTTCCTGATAGCTATAACCTCTTCAGTTCTGGGATTATCCTTGTGAATCTCCAAAAACCAAAGGCCTCTGACACCATCTCTATGTGCAAATCATGCAAAAGAAGATAACATTTTAAGGCCATTACCTGGGAAGACAATTGGCAAAACGTTGGATCTCCAGACGTTGTATTGTGGAGTGAATAAGGAACAGGAAGTTTTTAATGCATTTCTATTTAACACTTTTGCTAATAACCAAACCCATGTCTCTCCGGAGCTGCTGCTGCACAGGTGCCCAGTCAGTGCTGCACACCGACCGCACGGGGGGGGGGGGGGAGTGCATGCCCAGCCCGCCGTGCCGTGCCGTGCAGTGGGGGGGGGGGGGGGGGGGGGGGAGTGCATGCCCAGCCCGCCGTGCCGTGCCGTGCAGTGGGGGGGGGAGTGCATGCCCAGCCCGCCGTGCCGTGCAGTGGGGGGGGGGGGGGGAGTGCATGCCCAGCCCGCCGTGCCGTGCAGTGGGGGGGGGGGGGGGGGGAGTGCATGCCCAGCCCGCCGTGCCGTGCCGTGCAGTGGGGGGGGGGGGGGGGGGGAGTGCATGCCCAGCCCGCCGTGCCGTGCCGTGCAGTGGGGGGGGGGGGGGGGAGTGCATGCCCAGCCCGCCGTGCCATGCCGTGCAGTGGGGGGGGGGGGGGGGGAGTGCATGCCCAGCCCGCCGTGCCATGCCGTGCAGTGGGGGGGGGGGGGGGGGAGTGCATGCCCAGCCCGCCGTGCCGTGCAGTGGGGGGGGGGAGTGCATGCCCCCCACAGCCCCCGCCATCCACACCCCCACAGCCCCCACAGTCCCCGCCATCCACACCCCCACAGCCCCCACAGCCCCCGCCATCCACACCCCCACAGCCCCCCACAGCCCCCGCCATCCACACCCCCACAGCCCCACAGTCCCCCCCACCCCCCACAGCCCCACAGTCCCCCCCACACCCTCTGCCCCCCCACACCCCCTGCCCACCCCCCACACCCCTCACAGCCCCCCCACACCCCCTGCCCACCCCCACACCCCTCACAGCCCCCCCACACCCCCCTGCCCCCCCTCACAGACCCCCCGCCCCTCCTCACACCCCCATGCCCCCCTCACTGCCCCCCTCACTGCCCCCTCACACCCCACACCCCCTGCCCACCCCCCGCCCCCCCCCCAGCCCCCCACAGCCCCCCCCGCCCCCCACATGTGCCCCTCTCACCTCCGCCGCGCGCTCACACAAAGGACGGTCGCGGGATCAGCGCGCGCTCCGCCACGCATGCGCCGCTCCCTCGACTCATTCCCAGCGCCCCCCCACGGCGGGTCCCCGCCATGTCACCGCCAGTGTGGACAGGTGGGGCGGGTTCACGGCCAATTGGGCGGGTTTGTGTTGTGCTGTGAGTGACAAATCGGCGCTGCGGGGGGGGGGGGGGGCGGGGGGTGAGCTAAAATTGTTAAAATTTTAATTTAAATCTGCAAAACGTTTTTTTTTTCCTTTGAAGATCTTTTCTTACACAACTTCAAACGCACTGACCTACATTGCCTACTCTGGTACCCACAGGAGGCAGCACACAGTATTGGGCTACTTTGGGGCTGCTATTGAGTTCGCTTTGGGCTACAAACGTGTTCTGATTTCTGGCAAAACCCTGGTCACTGTGTTTGGCACAACAGTTCAGGCACCTGACAAGCTGTGCCATGTTTTCTGCAGCCTGTCACAGCCCCATACACAAATGAGAACTGCACAACCTCGGTTTGTTCCTTGGCACAGATGCTACAGTATTACCAAGATTCAGGCACCTGGAAAGCTGTCCTTGGCATCTGCAGCCTGTTACAGTCCCTTGCACAAATGAGTACTATATTATACAGGCTTGGTTTGTCTTTGTTTGCACATGCACCAAGCTCAGAGACTTGAACAGCTTGCCCCGGCTTCCATAACCCATCACAGTCCCTGATACACAGATGAGAACTACAAGTTTGAAAGCTGGCTTGTTTATAATAATAATAATCCTTGCATTTGATATAGCGCTTCTGCCCATACAGTATTGTCGAGTTTAGGTGCCTCAAAAACTGGTCCCTGGTTTTATTTTTCAAAATATGTACATAAAAGTGTTACGTCCCACGCAATAAGCCAAATAGTCTCCTGTACGGTAATTCCACATGACACTTAACTCATTTAAATACCTTCAATCAACTGCAAAAGAAGCACTTTATCACATCGAGCACCTCAAAGCTCTTTAGTTATCATCATTAGACCGTTATTGTAGGCAAATGTTACAGCTACTTTGCATACAACAAAATATAGTCAATTCACTTTACAGTATATCCTGTGAAGCATTTTGAAATGTCTCAAGGACATAAGGCGCTATATCAAATGCAAGGATTATTATCAGTAACCGTAGCATCCTTTTTGAATGCAACCCATTTTAATATTTCACTTTAATTTTCAGGTCATCCAAAAGCTCCGATTCAGGGGAAATTACAGGTGATGAACCAAAATTATTTCCTTTGCTCAATATTAATGTTGAAAATTGTCAATATCTTCCAAAGTACAGTAGGAAGCATTTCAAAACCTGGAAATCAATCCGTTGGGAACCAGGGTACCAGTAAAGCCTGGAATAGTTGGGGGTGAAAGGCATGTAAATTTCAATATGGGGTAGGACACATTTTGGATGAGTTGGAGTGTGTGAATAGTCGAGTTGGAAAGCCAGTGAGGGGTGCATTGGAGAAATCCAGTCTGGAGGGGACAATGAAACTGATAAGCGTTTCAGCAGCATTGAAAAGATTTTAAATCAGCACAATTTGCTTTCAACTCTCTGTGTTTGTCTAACTTGCTGAGAGGCCACATGAATTGTGTTCTTATTGCACTGAAATGCAATAGTGAGAATATTGACTCTCTTTTTCTTCCAAATAACTGGGTATTGTTTTTCCCTTTTCAAGGGCGCAAGCTCTCAAGGTCGTAGAGGAAAACACAAGCAATTATAAGTGCAAAAATATAGATTTAAAAGCATTAGCAAATACATTTCACTATATTTTATTCACAATTTCAGAAACATGTCCTTAATGTTTACAAAATTTCAATATCAGAATATTGTATTTTATTTTCTATACAATAATTAGGATTTAGTTTCAAATATCACAATTTGCCATGGAGATAGGCTATTTTATTGTCCAGGATGAAATATAGATTCCATGCTTAAACGTTTTCATCTTTTATTTGTGTAAATAGGTCAATTTCTACCTTTAATGAGCCTCAAACATTTAATCTTCTTTGCAGATATACTGCTCATTAACTGCCAACACATCGATTCAGCCAAATCCTTATATTAATCCAGATGCCAATTTCTGTGCCTGTTTGTAATGAACATTTTGCCGACCTCTGTGAAATTTTCACTGGTAAAAAAAGAGGTACTCAAAATTAAACTTTATTCTTAGAAGCCTCGAGATTTTCTCCTCCCTTTTAAAATGTCTTTCCTGAGTCAGGCATTGCATCAACACAATGCAAACTGAAGTGCCCCAGGTGTTACTGGATACAGATTTATGACCTAATTTGTGGTTGTGATCCCTAGCCTGCTACATATAGATTTCTACTTCAAACAAATTCGAGCAGGCTAGAGGTCAATATAAAAAATTGTATTCTGTAACCTACAAAATATTCGTTTGAATACTTGTTTAATGGCTGCACATAACAGCAAAATGATCTGAAAAACTAATAAGATTATATACTAAAATTATAAAGAATACAAAAATTTCCAAAACCACTAACTGGAAAATGTATATCAAGTTTTCCCTCCCCACAATATATTGCTTTCTGTATACAATGGGGTCTAATTTAGATTCAAAGAAATGCCGATTAATCCATGAAGAAACAAAATTATCATGAGCTTGTCCAAACTGTTACTGTTTATGCATAAAGAATTCTTTCTTTTACAGTTGAAACAATTTCCAAAGAAGCAATTTGACATTCTTCTTCCAGCTCTCACTTGCGCTGGACGGTGTTGAAGGACGGAGCTTGAAATGGCTGGATGGATTGAAAGATTGGTTTCTTTCGTACGTCAGAAGACAACGTTTTCATCGAGGGCAAAAGTTGATTCCTTTTGATTATCTGCAAGGCCAACTGCGTATTTCCTAATAAGTATGAAATGACAAAATTTCAGCATTATTATTTCATTGTAACTTTGCAACAAACTGTGAGCAGATTTGCACTTGATCTTGGGTTGTCACAAGTGCTTTTATTTCAACCCTAAAGTTGAGAGAGAAGGCACACTCTGGAGCCCCCAAGCCTTGGCTCCAACCAACCGGCACCCAATATTTTTCAGAATTATGTAACCAGGATATATTCTTCCAGGGAGAGAGTGCACATTCCATTCCAACAATCTATCTCTTGAATTTCCATTCAAGGTGGGATGTATGGAACTCTGTTTGGTTTGGAAACTGTTGAGCATGGAGGTGATGGATTTCTGTAAGTGTGAGGCATCTGCTGAGTTTAAAAAAAGTAATTCAATCTAATTCTCCAATCCATCATTTCCTTCATATGACTGCCCAGTAAATTGATGTTGGGAGGCAAGAGAGAATGTGTGTAATTTCAGAAGCCTTAATAAAATTTTGGGAGCTTTTTTGGACCCATGAAGGGACACAAATAAAAGATAACAACAACTTGGATTTATATAGCGCCCTCCACGCCGGATGGCATCTCAGAGCGCTTCACAGTAACGGATCCCGGGGCTGAGCCAGGGGGAGGGGGAAGCAGGTGACCAAAGGCGCGGACGAAAAGAAAGACCTTTAGCCAAGACCTGAAAATAGGAAGAGAGGGGGCGAGGCAAAGGGAGTGAGGAAGGGAGTTCCAGAGCCTCGGGGCATAGTGGCTGAAGGCACGGCCACCGAGGGTGGAACGGAGGATTCAGGGGACAAGGAGGAGGCCAGACCCGGTGGAGCGAAGGCAACGGGCACTGTTGTGAGGAAAGAGGAGGTCAGAGAGGTGGGGGGTTGCAAAGGAGTGCAGGGATTTAAAGACAAGAGTGAGGATCTTGAAATCACAAGAAACAAAAGGTCAGAAATATTGTTTTTACACGAAAGGCTGTAGGATGTAGAATCCCTTACCTCAAGTAGCAACAAAAGGAAATTAGACAATCACTTAATGAATAAGGATACAAGGGATCAGCGTTGATTGCCCCAATGGGGAGGCATGCATGGGAAATCCCAAACAACTTATTTCTGTACTGAAACTGTTGTGACATCCATATTCCAGCAGAAGTCACTAGATGTATAAAATCCAATATTCCATTTGAGTGTTTTGTCTTTTCCACCTGCAATTTCATCATTAAAAGATCTGTGCATCTACAACCCCAGGTTCACCACTCCTCACATTTCCACCTCATGCTATTTTGCTCCAAATTATACTAATAGTTATTTATCAATGTTGTACCTGATTTGCTGCATATCTGACCACACCCAAGATGTTAATGTCATCCTGTAATTCATTTGGGCATTCTTTAGTTTCCTGTTATTTGCAAAGTTTGATGTCCTTTCCCCTATATCCACCTCCAAATCATTTATGTATACAATGAATAAATGGCACTCACGACAGTCCCCTTAGGCATGTGATTGGCTATATCTTGTCACTACAAGACATATTTATTGACTCCTACTCTCTGCCCCTAAGCCTACTAGAAGAGGTTGAGAAAGATGAGGGGCAGTAAAATGAATTTAACAAATTATATAAAACAATTTAAAAATAAACTACATCTAATACTAGAAATCTTCTAAAGGCAAGCGCCCAGAAGCACACTAACCTACGTACATGGAGAAGCAAGCACATGTGCAACGTGGTAAACGTTGTCTCTAGCTGATGAAAACTCAACTACAGAATCACTCTGACATGTGGGTTAAGCATGTATAGGACACCAGAATATGGGTAATGTGGGTAGGCTCAACTTTATTCAACCCCCCCCCCCACACATACATTATTAAATACTCCCCATACCCACATCCAACAAGTATCCCGTCCCCTATATTCACACCCGTCCCCAGAGCCTTGGGACGTCCTCCTGATGTGAAGGCACAATACAAATGTAATTTATTGTTGTCAAATACCCCCCATACCCACCCACCACATGTCAAATCTTTCCCCTTGTCCATAATCAGACACAAACCTTGTCAACTACCCCTTCTTCCATACCATCCCCCCACCCACACACACACTTTGTCAAGCACCCTCTCTCCCCACTCCCACACATGGTCAGATAAGTCACCAAGCATGTCATAAATTACATTTTAAAAAAATCACATAAAATTGATCACAGAGCGAATCTAGGACTGGCTCAGCTCAGTGACATGTAGAGGATCAATAATGCTAATAAACTATAATGGATTGACATTATTTGCCTTTGCAGTGTAATTATTTGAAATTCATCGAAATGCTACAATGTTTTGTATAGGAAGGATCTTACCATTTTGCAGTTCAAGATACACAGCCAGCAAGATTGCTTCTGGAGGAATTTCTTTAGGATTCACCATGGAAGCAGCCTTCATTTTTTTTAAAAAAGAGACAGAAGACAGGAATGTTATATTGTTTAGGGTTTAGCACATGCAGCTTTTTATGACATTCATTCAGCCATAGGGTCATCTTTTAATCTGACAAAGCAAGAACCCACATGACGAAAACCAAAAGACTGGTCATCAGATGGATTCCAGCGTTGGAAAGATAGATGCACCTCATTCAAATATTCCTTAACAAATTATATAAGATTTACCATGTAATTGAAACATAAAACTACAACACTAAGTTTGTGGGAGCTCCTTTCCTCCTCTCTCCCCCTTTCAATTCTAACTTGTCAATCTTCATTTAAAAAAGGATTTTCATTTTCACCAAAGATCATACTGAAGAGAGAAGGGGAGTGAACCAGCTGAGAGCAGAATCAAAACCACTCCAGCGTGGGGTAAACACAGACCGGACGGACACCAAGTCACTTGAAAATTGGGCCAATTCACAACTAAGGACCTTGTGAGATACAAAGGCCATGTTGTTGTCTCCTACGTACAACAAGATATGGAATGTGGCGGAGCCTTTGTGGTCATGAACTCTCCCTACTTATGTCTGGCTTCCTGCTGATCCAGACTACAAATTGTGTCCTGGATGAGGAAATCTGATTTCCCAGGAACGGGCCAAACAAATTCCTGATATCAGGGTTACACTTTGGCGAATAATGAGTCACATCCTCGACACGCTTCACAACTGGAGGAATTGTGCATTGATGAAAGACGAGGATTGCACACAAATTTAGAAGCAGGAGGTAATTTGGCCCAGGGAGCCCACTCCGCCAGGGCCCAATCTATTGCACTGTGTTATACTATCTGCCCTAATTCTGCTTTTTGCTACATGATTTAGTATTTCTATTCCCCAAGCATCCAACCATCTCTTTCTTGAATCCCTCAATCAATTCTGCATCTAAGGTTTCCTTGAGCATTATAAATCTTTCATTACTTCCTATGAGAAGAAATTAATTCTTGCCTCAGACTAAACCCATTCACCCTGAATTGCTGGATTTGGTTTGAAAGCTGGTATTTATAAGCTTCTATCGTTAAAATGGATCCTTTACACTCAATATAAAATTTTGATGCCGAGCAAAAGCTTTATCCATTCTAAGCAAAACTACATTATTAGGTCATTTCTGTTGAAAAAGGCATGAAATGGCTATGGTAAAACTACATACAGTAAAAACCACCACAATTTAATCAAATGCTCTCTGTTCTCTAACTCTCTCTTTCAAGAACTAAAAAAAACTCAAGTGGCAAAAAAAGAAGTTTCTCTTATATGGGAGACAAAATAAATTGTCTGCTGCCAATGAGAGCAGAAAAAGGCTTGAAATCTGTTTTGAAATCAAGGTGTGATACAGTGGATGGTCAGACACCAAATGTGCACGGTGTCAATGTACTTAACATGATAGGTGATTGACACTGATGGACATTTGTGATATGATTGCTGAATAAATGTGGAAAATTAACAATTTTAGAAATTAAAAAGGCAACACTCGCACTTAGGTAGCATTCTTCTTGTAGGATAAGCATCTCAAAGTGCTTCACATGGACAATGGGAATCTACTGAGCAGGGAGCAGAGGAAGAAGAGTTAAAGTTTTTTTTAACCAAAATGTATCTCATGCACAGAGATACATTTAGATTTTTTTTAAGTGGGGAGAGATTGAAGGGGCTTCAGGAGAGTTTAGAGACCGGTGGCATAGAGTGGCTGATGGTGGGGTGGAGGGAGTGAGGAACAAGCAGTAGATCAAAGTCAGAAGGATATTGGTAGGAGAATAGGTTGGACAGTTTACAAAAATAGAGAGGCAAGATTGTGATGGGATTAGAAGGTCAGGACAAAGACTTTAAAGTTGATCCACTGAAATATTAGTGATAAAAGAGGAATAGATGAATCTTTCGGTAGGCAGTTGGTCAAACAACAACTATCTGATGCAGTGGTGATATTGTGGTTTCAAAACTCAAAATAAAGTTAATGATTCTGAGTTAAAGGATTTACAATTTAGCAAACATTTAAAAACAAGTGCAATATAGAATAATAATTCATAGAGCCACATGTCTACCATACCCCATAAATATATTATGATTTTATGGTTTGTATGTTTGTGACACTAAGGAAAATGGAGCTCTCAGTTTAGTTTGGATACTATTAAGCATGATGATGGGCTTCCGTATGTGTTAGACACCCGTTTGACCAAAAAAAAGACATTAAACACCTAGAATTTTCACATTAAAAGGTATTCTGTATATATTTTTACAGATTTCTATATACATCTAAAAACAGGCTCAATGGACTCCTTCTATTACTATGTTTTGAAGGGTATGTATGATATTTATGACTGGTTATATTACAGAATTTTTTCCAAGCAAAGGAGGAGTAGTTATGTTGCCTCACCTGGTGAAGACACTTGCGTGCTTTCTCATATTCACTCCGAAGACAATATGCACTGCCAAGGTTAAATAACATCATCGCCCGAGCACAAGTAACAGAATTTGGGTAGCAGTGCAATATATGTTTTCCAGCTGTCAAATACATAGAAGAAAAAAGGCAATTTAATTAGTGTAAGAGAATATACTTTTATATGAAAGCTGACAACTGACCTCCATTTTTTAATGGAAATAAATAATACATTTCTGCCTGGGGAGACAACCTGAAGGCCAAGAAATCTTGAACAGCAATGCCTTTTTAATGCCAACACTTAGGTCCAAACCTTGTGGGATTCATGGCAGAAAAATGCTCCAACAGAATAGGCACAAATCCATTAGCAGTGGTAGTAACGGTAAATGGCACTTATTAAAATCTAAATCAGGCGTTTAGAATCATAAAAAGTTACAGTGCAGGAAGAGTCCATGCAGCCCATCGAGTCTGCATGGCTCTCTGAGCAAGCTGCATTTTCATCACCACTGCTGTGAGACGTCCCTTCAACCTTAATCTCAGGACAATATTTTGAAATAGAGATCAAACCCTCAATACTACCAATCTTGATGTAAACAACTTGAACGAGAGTACAGATTCATAGAAGCTCCGAATGAATGTCAGGGAAAAATAAACACAGTGCAGAAACAGTGGCTTCATAAATTAATTGTCAATAAATCCACTATAGCAAAATACATCTAATTCTAAGATTCATTTTGTGCCTTGCGTCACTTAATTTACCATCAGATTACACAAACAAAAATGGTCCCAGAACACATCTTGAGGTAAACAGAACAGTGCATTAAATGTAAAAGTACCGACATTCATGGAAATAAAAATCTTTATTGGGTAAAACTACTCTAAATCTATACTGTCAAGGATTGCATGTGGCTGAAGAGAGGAACATTATGTGGAAATACCAATCCAACCTAAATCGGGTGATTTATTGGTTGTTTTAATTCCGTTTTAACAATCGATGACGCTATTATTTTTAATGGCTAAAAACACATTGTGGAGAATTCTTCACTAAGGAACCCCATTGAAATGATTTACTTTACTATTCTATTTTGTAGAGCTTTGGCAGCACAGTCCCACACAGCAGAGCACAGATCCTCCCAACACTGCTTTTATGTAGTACTTACAGCTTTCCATCTGTTCACTCTCTCCTTTGTCAGATCCTGAAAAATATGCAGGTGTTTCAATTCAGCCACATTTTTAAACCAACATATGTTTACGTGCAAATATTTCACAAGTTGTATGTATTTCTATGTCTTCCTGTGCACAGCAGTAAATCTGCCTTACATCACTTATGATGCACTATATTTTCTAACCAAATCATGATAAACTATAATATCACATTACTGGTCACAGGCATGTCCATGAATTTTACATTGGTAGGAATCTTTGCATAGTAGTTTGTCCATTTGTTTGCAGTGCCTTAAGCATTTGTCTTACGTCGCTACCTCTGGAGCATATTATAATCCTTGTAGTTGGAATAGCGCCTTTCACATTGGAAAATGTCCTAAAGCACTTCCAATAGTATACTGTAAAGTGCAGTGACTGTGGATGAATCCAGCAGCCAATTTGTGCACAGCAATGTCCCACAACAACCATGAATTGAATGACCAGTTTTATTTTGGGGATTGTTGGCCAGGACTCATGGAGAGAACCCCCTTCTCTTTTTGAGTAGTGCCATGGGATCTTTAACATCCACTCAAACAGGCAGACGCACCTCAGTTTAATGTCTCATCCAAAGGACGGCACCTCCAACAACTCAAAACACCTCCAGCACTGCATTCTCCTATTCTTTTCAACCTAGGTGTACTCTATCAATCTTGGGATTCCCATTAAAAATAATCTGCAGCAAATGCTTCATTTCCATCCTTTCTACATAGTGTACAATTTGTTCCATGTATCAGGCTACCAACACAGAAGCAAAGAGGAAGATTTGCCTGCCCTGTGGGCCATGCTGCTGGTTTTAAAGGTTTTGCCCATGGGCTGGGATCTATCTTCAAGAGTACATTGGGTGGCTGAAGGAAATGGTCAATCTGGAGGTAGGTGAAAAAACAAAGTAGGGATTTTAGCCCTGCACCTAATGAGTATTTTGAGTTTCACCTTTCACTAACTTGGCTATCTTATTTATAATCAAAACAATGGTACAGTTGTAATTCCATATGTATGTGTATACAATAAAGGCACACCTTTATGCACCTTTCAAATAATTCAACAACCACTTGCATTTATATAGCGCTCTCCACACCAGGTAGTGTCCCAGAGCGCTTAACAATTCCATCTAGAAGCCTCAAGCAACCTCAGTATGAGTCTTATTCAGGTTCTTGGACATTTGCGCTTGCTCACTGTGCAAGGAGGGCGAGTATAAATCCAAAATCAAGAACAAAAATGCAAGGAAATTTGTGGTACATCTCAAACTTAAGTGTGGATTTCACCTCCACAACACATCAAAGATCAAACTAACAGAGATCCCTTACCTTCTTTGCTACCATAGCTGTTGTTTGCAGAATGAACGCTACAATTGTTTCAGCTACTCTGACTGACTTCTGAATGCTTTTCAAATAGTTTGGCCAAGAGCCAGGAAGCAACATCAGCAGCTCCAGTTTGATTTAAATGTCCCAAATGACTTTAAAGTAGTTTAAATGAGTAATTTGATTGTTATAGGAAAGCAGTGTTATAGTGAATTCAAATCATTACACAAACTGGGGCCAAGTTTGAACTCTTACAATGAGTTCTCAGTCAACAATATCAACAGTCTTGCTGTATTCATATTATTCACTAAGAGCTCCTTGTTTCATACAAGTCAAGTCGAAGTAGAAGCAGATTGGAAATTGAACCAGGACCCAAATCTAAAAATTCAATAAAATATGAAATCATTAACCTTGATCCTGTTCATTTGAAGAAATCCCAAGGAACACATCAGTAATATTCTCAGGGTTCAAGTGAGTGATAGCGTCAGAGATTCTGTCCAAAGAGATCAGAGATTCTGCTGCGTACAAGTGACCGAGAAACCTAAAAAATATTACAAAAAGTCACAATCACAAACTCCGTTTAAAAGTTGCATGTGTATAATAAACTGCTTCAAGCAATACAAAATAATGTGGAAACAAAGGAATTACAGTAGCACTCTGTTATAATGCGATAGCTGAGGGTCCATAAAATCCTACCCTCTGGATCTTAACGTGACTGATCAGATAACTCGTGGCATCACTGAGTATGTGTGTAGAAAGCTTGTCAGCTTTCAGGTATCATGTAAGAATCTTCATTTCCTGCATGCAGAATGTGCTAGTCATGCCGTTGCAATACCCAACCTAACTTACTCACAATGTAATGAACAACCAACAACGTGCACTCACCAACATGCAAAAACTCTCCTAGATAGTTAATACATTTCCACCTCAATGCTTTCATTAAAGCATTTCTAAACTGCAACCTAGATTCGGAAGCGATTTTGTAAAAAAAACCAGCAAGCAAAATGAAAAGAAAAACACTAATATCAAGTTACAATGATTCAATGCAAATTTATATTTATACAGCACTTTTCATGTCAGGAGGATGTCCCAAAGTACCACTGATGCCTCACTGGCAGAAAAAATCACTGTGTGATCTAAATTGTGTCTCCGGCAGAGATCCACCTAGATTACACCAGCTCACAAGTCCTCAGCTCTCCTAAGTTCTCAGGAACCACACAAAGTTCTTGGGAGATTTTAAAATTTAGTTGTGTGATGTACATTGCACTCCTTTTTTGGAAATATAGTTTGCAAGACACGGCACATTTCCTGGCACCAGTAATGCCTGTGTGCTTTTTGAACCCCAATGCCTAATCTGTTGTCATGCAACATGCAAGATTTTGGAGACCACATAGATGATTTTTTTTTCTAATTTTAATTCAAAAATGGTACCTTGAAAAAGATGTTAAATGGATCATAATGAAGTCACCTTTTATGTGATATCGTAGTGAAGTCATTTGTTTTGAATATTTCAATACTTCATTATTTAGTGTCTTGCTTGCTACTTACTTTAGAGATCCAGATAGTTTGGGTTGTTGTAGAAGCTTCTCTGCATGATTTAAGGCCACAAGGTTATCACCAAGAGCAAGAGCGACATATGCACTGCCAGCCAGTATGGAACACCTAAGTGAAAGAAAGCGAAAGTTTTGAAATATAACATTACTGTAATGCTGCTCTGTCTCTGCGCTCCTGTATTTCATGGGAATCTCACTTCTCCAGTCCAAAGAAGATTATTGGCACACAATTCAATCCTTGGCAATTTCTGGCATACAGGTTTTAAAGCACACACTCTGAGCTCAACTGGCACTGAATCGCCGCTCTCAGGCAACAGCAAATATCGCTAGTGCTAGAAAAAAACATTGGCTCAATCACTGCACTGGAATTGGAAGGGGAAACAGTTTTTAGTAATCGACTCAAATTGCGACGTTTCTTAATAGATTTGATAACACAAAAAATCTGTCAATAAAGATCACACACATTTCTAGGATAACAGTATGCAGAACTGTGTTCTCAGGAACCACACAAACTCTTGGGAGAGTTTTAAATTTAGTGACAAGGACACTATGCAATATGGAATTAAGGGTAAAGAAAAATAAAGACAGACTTACCGCAGATTTTCCAGTTCCGGCTTCTTTAGAGGAGAAGATGGTGGACCTGGAATAAACTTATCTCCTTCATGAACCTTACCACTGTAAAATGAGGGGGTAAAGGAGCAGATCAATAAACACTGACCATTGTATTACTAAGTAAAACTCACATAAGTCTGATTTGTATACATCGTATAATTGTCCCTAAGTCATATATCTGCCCAAGTCCCATTCAAGTATTTATATTGTATGCAAGTTTGACATAACTCATACTTTGCATAAATCATACTAAATGTATGGGCCCAACTGATACAACTTACGTGAGGTTTACTGTGCTAGATTATTATTCGTGGCATTATTTTAGTCAAAAACCATAGTAGGGGTACTACCTGTGTAGAGATATGGTTTATTTATAAATGTCATTGACAAAATGAGTCAAATGGCTTCTTTCTGGGCTGTAAATATATTAAAGTGACAGGATCATGTTTCTGAAAGATTCATGGTAAGATCCTACAATAACAGAACAATTACAAAGTTCATCATAAATGTGGTACTGATCAATCATTTATACATTGGTCTTTATACTCAATTAAATGCCAATAGTTATAGAATTGTTTTATACCTGCAAGCCTCACTGCTTTCACCGGTTTCACCACTGCCTGACTGACCATAATCTCTTAATCCATTATCCTGTTTGGTTTCTTGTTGATCTTCTGGGAGCAAAAGCAAGGCATTTCTTAAGCAGATAGCTGCAAACTCCATGCTAGCAACAGGAATGGCTGATGACTGCCCATCACTGCAGAATAAAGCAAAAATAAAATCATTTATAACTGAAATGCTCAATATTTAACATCCAACAAACACTGCACTTTCTCATTTCTATATAAACTAATTCCCACAATTTTGATGCTTTCCTATTGACTCAAATGGTGCAACAGAGAGTACTCTACTGAAGCTGGTGAAGAGCAGAAGGAGTTTTACTCTGCAACTAACTGGCAATTAGTTGCATTTGATATGGCATCTGATCACATCATCAAGATATCTCACAATGCTTCACAGGATTTATTGTGAAGTTTAGCGACTGTGCATTTTGTTTGTAAATGTATCCGTCAATTTGAACGCTGATAAAATTGGTCATTCACTTCATGGCTGTTTGTGGGACATTTCTGTCATGGATAGCTCTCATTGTTGACCAAGACACCAGGAAACTCGCTTCTCTTTTCAAAAAAAGCCTCGGGAACTTTAACATCCACCTGAACAGGTATCAAAAGACAAAATCTCTACAGCGCTCCCCCAGCACTGCACTGGAGTGTCAGTCTAGACCAGGGGTCTCCAACCGCTCGATCGCTGCTAGGTGGTACTGTCGCACAGACAAGAGGAAGGAGTAATTGAACTGCATCATTTTGGAGTCAAATTGAAACAAAGCCAGATGCATTAAGTATTTCATGTATCTTGAAATAAAACATAAAATATTTATAAAATATAAATATAATAAAAATATAAACTTTTAAATGGTTAAATTGCTGTTTAACTAAAATTAAATATCACCCTGCCTCTTGTTTTTAATTGGGCACGTGAGACCCCACCTCGGGGCGATCAACAGGTTGGAGAGCGCTGGTCTAGACAATGAGCTCAAAGTTAGAACGTGGGGTTGGAACCACAATCTTCTGACAGAGGCAAGAGTACTCCAATGAGCCAGACCGATACCAATGTCTAGGGAGTTCCCAATACTGATATTGGGTACTCAACCTATTAAATTTTCCACTGACCTAACAATCTTTTACCCAGCAAGCACAAAAATGGAACTTTTAAAAAAAATATTGTGGAACATCACTATTTTCGTAATATCAGAATGAAGGAACGCACAGGTTAGAGTGCTTATCTTTGAAGCAATTCATGAATAACTTGATAGTCACAAATAACACAATAAGCAAACAATATTACAAAAGGCATATGATTTGAGAGAACTAAAAATAAACAAGAATTATTAATGGGATAAGCTGGGATTGTTCTCCTTAGAGCAGAGAAGGTTAAGGCGAAATTTAATAGAGGTGTTCAAAATGATGAGGAGTTTTGATAGATAGGGAGAAACAGCTTCCAGTGGCAGGCGGGTCAGTATCCAGGGCACATAGATTAAGATAATTGGCAAAAGAACCAGAAGGGCGATGAGGACATTTTTTTTACTCAGAGTTGTTAAAGTCTGGAATGCACTGCCTGAAAGGGTGGCAGAAATAGATTCAATGTTTCAAAAGGTAATTACATAGGTACTTCGAAAGGAAAAAATTGTGGGGTTATGGGGAATGACCGGGGCTGATTTGGTAGCTCTTCCAAAGAGCCAGTACAGGTACGATGGGCCGAATGGCCTCCTTCTGTAATATTCTATAATTAATATATAATTTGTGCCACCAAAATTGGAATAGATCACAGGAATGTGGTACACACCACAACTGTGTGGTTTTCAATAGCCTAGAATACGTATCTTTCAAAATTGTGCAAATGTATATGTAAAAAAAAAAGCCGTCTCTTCACTCCATCTTAAAATTTTGGTTCAGTTCCTTCCCCAGATAGATTGCAAATAATCTATTTACGGAAAAAGCCAAGACTCCGATGAGCATCCTGAGTTAAAACTGCAGTATGATCTAACCCAGGCTGATAGGAAAGCAATTAAAGGACAGAAAACAAGATTACCTCATACATAAGGCAAGCTGATGAGTAGATGGGAATGTGCTGCTCAAGATGTATTTCCAAACAAAGAATGAAAAGATTGTTTTCAAAATTGTAAATATTGATGGAGATTAAGACTGTAAATTGGTAGGGTAAATAGCAGAGATGATATCCGCCGATCAGTGATATATGGTTTCCGGACACCAGGTAAGAACACAATTGGGCTTGGCAATGCCGTGTTCAGTCAAATAGGATGCTGACGCACTCTTAGTCTGAGTACTAAAGGACAGACGGAACCTATGACCTGTATCTACTATGAGACTGTGCTTTCAGGAAGAGAGGAGAAAAGTGAAGAGAGAAATGGAGGGACAGAAGATGTCGTTTTTTCTACATGTACATTTGAAACATCCTTAAGGTTTTTTTTAAGGTCGATGCCATCCTCAAGATTTGCAAGTACACTAAAATAAAATCTAATTTGATTTCTGCCGTAAACAGGGAGTGGATTGAGATTGTCCAAATTTACTTTATTTAGGATCATTAAATAGTTCCTATCAACAACCTTTAATACATTTATGCAGATAAAGAACCTTCAAAATAAAAAATAATGAATGTACTCACTTATATACGGTGTTCTGCATCGATTGCGATGCTAAGACTATTTTACGATGGTAACCTTGCCCCAAGACTGACTGTACAATACCTTTCTTACTTGGGAGCCCTCTGGTTTCTTGTTCTGAAGTCTGCAGAGAAACAACATTGAAGATTAACATAAGAGGACACAAAATATATGCTTTGGAAGTATTAAAGTGGTTACTGTATTTATGTATCACTTACCCCTTTGTTTGCAGCTATACAACATTCTGCCAGCCGTAACCAAAGCCGTGGATTGGAATGGTACACTTGAACTGCCTCTATCAGGCATTCAAAGGCTGCTAGGGGCCTACCAATGTGTAACAGCTGGACTCCACAGTTGTGTAACAGTTCATACCGCTTGTTTGTAAGAAGAGTACACATCGGTCTGCCTGAAAACATCTTTCCTAATGACAACCGTTATAAAAAGAGGGGAAAAGAAATGTAATGAAATCCTGAACACCAAGCGTCTACAAAAATGAATGAAACACGAACAAAACAAATAATTTATAAAAGCCATTTTTAAAAAAAATCTACAGCAACAGAGATAGCTTACTCCACTTTATTCTCATCAAATATTTCACAAAATTTACATTAGCTCAGGTCACCAAAAGAATCATGTCACCTTTCCAAGTTTCTATGATTCGTTTAGTTACCTGCTAATTGAAACGAAGCTAGGAAGATCCTCTCATTCAAGGAATAAAGGCAGCTCTACAAGGACCTTCCTATTTGAGTTACATTCACACCATTTGGTTTCTGAATGAGTTGTGCTGGGAGAAGAGGGGTGACTTATTCATATCCGATGATCACGGATCTACTCAGAAACAAGCCATTTCCACACAGGATCAAGAAAGTTGTGTCCTGCAACAATTGTGAATTCTGTATCTTTTTAAAAATAGATACTGAACTAGAAATCATTTTAAAAGTAAACACTTCAAACTTCATTCAAGTGACTGGAAAACAAATCCTTGACTAAGAATAATAAAACATGAAAACACGATGGTCAAATTGGCTTAGTCTGAAGAGAAACGCTTCTCCCAAAGTCAATTTCTTCTAAAGTACGAGGTGTTGAGAACATTTGGTTTAAACCAATTAGATGGCAAGTGAACTAAATTATATTCAACAGAAACAGCATTAATTGTAGAGTTAAATGTAGAAAATGTAGAATACTAGCGTAGAATCATTTTGTAAGAATTTACGAATATCACAAGATTAATTCCCAAGAATGTTAAAAACTATTTAATGCTCTACTACCAAACCAGAGTTATGTTCTTAAAAATAGGAGGTGACAGTATAGGCTAATTATGTTGGTTTAGTTAGTAACCTATTTGTTTGTAAGTGTATGGTGAAAAGGCAGGTAAATGGGACTCAATGGATTGCTCTTTCAAAGAGTCAACACATACCATGGTCCAAATGGCCTTTTTTCTGTGCTGTAAATTGCTATGGTTCTAAGGCTAAATGAACCTATAACATCCACACACATTCAAGTACAAGCATTTCGTATCAAAGTGTTGTGTTATTAGCATTGCACAGCAGACCACAAGTGACCTACCTTGGTCTGTGCTTGATCCAGATAGTTGCATACAAGCAGCATCATTCTCCTGCAAAGCTTTTTTGAAGTAGAAGATTCCAAGGTTGTGTTTTCCCATAGCAAAATGGATGCAACCAAGATTATTCCAGAACATACACCTTATACATTCACCTGTTCAGAAAATGGTTTGGGCAGAAAGGTCAGTATCAAATCAGCTACTTTATTTCACATCCAGACATTTGATTCTGTCAAACCGCCAAATCAAAATATTTCCAAATCCAACAATAATAAATTGCATTTATATAGCGTCTTTCCTGTCGGGAGAACATCCCAGGGTATTGGAGATTCAGGGATTTATACGCAAGCTGGGGGGTTGGATTTGGGAGGGATAATGGCAAAGGGGGTGTTGGGCATTGGAAGATGAGTGAAGGGACTATCAAAGAGGAAGGTCTTGAAGGAGGTGATGAAAGGGGCAAAGTGAAGGGTGTGAAATGCTAATTAGCAATGATGTTAACTGATACAAGTCAAAATTTCAATCCCTACATAATCTTGAATGACAATTCCTGTTATGATATTGCAGTCGGCAAGATCTCAAAAATGATTGTGTGTCAACATCAATAGGCTCAGCCAAATAGGTTTTCCCAATAGGTTTTGGCAACATTTAAACTTTCCTCTACTTATTTAGGAGAATCACTTTGCTTGGGATCTTGTTGCTGATGTTCTGCATGGAAAGCCCCCATTAATGTAAGCCTTTGGTTCTGCCCGACTGCCTTTGGAATTTAAGGAGAAATAGTTACTAATTTTATCTTTTTGTAGGTGTTGCTTGCGATAATTTGTATTTGTTAGGAAGACTCCATAAGAGTACAAACTGAACATAAGAGTTGTTTGTAAAGAATTTTTCAAGTGTTGTAGATAGTATTTTCCACCACCCAGGATAATAATTCTGACTTGCGCATGAGAAAAAAAATACTTTTTACAGTCTCTAAAATCTTCACTTCTGGCAGACATTTAGCCATTTTTGGGTACTGAGATCTTCATAGTCTTAGAAAGATGTAGAATACAGCCAGCCTTTCCCACTGTCGGCCAGAACTACCCCTTAGCCCTAATATCAAAAAATTGTAATAACGTGGAAAATTTGTATAATGGAGCTGGTTTTCACTGGGTCCGAGAAAGTTAAGAGGGAATGTAAGAGGTTTAAAAATTTGGGAATGATTTTGAGGGGGGGATGAAAGGGAGAGACCAAGAGAGAAAGGGGGAGAGAGAGTCTATTTCCATTGATCATAAACAACAACAAGATTACATTTGTATAGCGCCTTTCACGTCGGGAGGACGTCCCAAGGCACTAGAGAGTGCAAAAGTAGCCATAACAGCATTTAAAAGGGATTTGAGGAACAATAATAGTAAAGGAACAAATGGAATGGGAAAAGTGACGCAGAGTTATAATATAAATTGCAAGGCTTGTGTAGCAGCTCAGGATATTTTGAAAAATTCATGACTGATGGATCAAAGGAAGAACTTTTCAACCTTCGATCTCGGATCACTTGCTCATAATTCTGCTGGTACATGTAATTCTCTCAGTTACTATGTGGTGAGTTCCAAATGTCCTAAAATGGCATATATATTTTTCCCCACCCCTTAAATGCCTATACGTATTCTATAGTAAAAGCAAAATAATACAAAATTGCAATGTTTATGCCTCCTACCTGTGTTCAGAAACCCTGGATGTTCGGTGATGTTTGCACTGTTTAATAATTTTACTGCTTTCCGATAGTTCCCTCTTAAATATTCAAAATTGCTCTTCAGAAACAAAGAGGGAGCAGACTGTATAAAGACACAAAAATGGTTATCATTAGGAAATTTGGAATTTAAATTCTGTATGTGAATTAACTGGTTCACTCAGCTAAATTCTATTTGTTAAAATACACACCCATTTTCAGGTTACATCCACAACCTAAAAGCAGTGTTTGCACATTGCTTTCTTAAATTAGATGTTCTCAAGAATGAGACATAGCAAAGGCTGCTTTGACCATTGACTCTAGCTGATCTTACACTTGGGTCAATAACACAAGCTATTACTGTTAAGAATATTTAGTGATGTGTTGTCAAAAATTATTTCACAATCGCCGACTTGGGATTCACAAATTGTCTCCTGCTAATTATCCAAACTGAAGTTGCAAGCTGGAAGCTGTAGCGTACATTTAATGCAACAAAACTGGTTGACAAATAAGACCTCAATATATAGTCATACTCCTTCCATTTAATAGAGCGCCTTTCATGTCAGGAGGACATCTCAAAGCAATTCTCATTATTGAAATGAATTTTTAGGCAAAATATTTAATTATATAAAAGTGAACCTATCAATGTGTGATTTATATTGCAATTGCTGTATAATGGAGCTTTCATATCTGTGAAGATCTACCTTTCACTTTTATGTAAGCAAATGTAATACATTCCTAGACTACTTACATTTCCAGCTGTATTCATGACGGATTTAATTTCCCGCTTGCAAGCTTTCAAAGATTTCATTTGGATATAAGCTCTTACTTTGTACTGTAAAATAAAGTAAAAAAAGTAATCTGTAGAGAACACCAATAAATTCTCTATTTAAATACATAATAAAAGTTATGCTATTGCAGGCAGTGATGCTTTAGCACTTTTTAAAAAATGCAGACGCAGGGCACTGCTATCTTGATCTGTCAGATTAAGAAATTACCATAATAATATAATTCTTATATTTAATATAGGGCCTTATCACGTCTTCGAGACGTCTCAAAGCGCTTCACAGAATATACTACAGTGAATTGACTGTATATTTTGTAGGTGGAAAGGCGGCAACCAATTGTGCACCACAGTGTCCCACAAACAATCATGGATTGAGTGACCAATTTATTATTATTATTTTTTGAATGTTTTATTACCCCCGGAAAAGCGATCCACCAATCAACTAAAAACCGGATTCCCTTTACTGCTAGGTTAGCAGAGGAGTGTAGAGTAAGGAAACTTGCTCAACATTTTGCCTGACAGGAATCAAACCCAGATACCTCGCTTGCGAGGCGAGTGCTCTAACCACTGAGTTGCAGGACTCTACTTGCAATTGTCTTGCAGGTAGAGTTCTTAAAGAAAACTGCCATGACACACACACACACACACACACACACAACATAGTCATCTCCTTATCCTCAGTAGAATGTGGATGCATGTTGTGTACCCTTGAGGCAAACCGACCTAATGTTCCAAATGTCCCAAAGTGGGCCAATGCTTCCTGGCCTGAAATCAGACTTTAATATGCAAGAAAGTGCAGGAGTCATATCCTAATACAGCACAACAATCTTGTGTCCCTTCCTAGGTTAGACCTCTAAAATACAGCATTGCATAAACCAAATAGTAACAAGTCACTGTCAAACTTCAACAATTAGGATGTACAGACCTCATTGGATTTGCCATTTTTGGTGTTTCCTTGTGAAAGCATTTTTTCCAGAACTGCGAGCAGCAACAATGCCTTTTCAGGTTGGTAGGTCAGCAGATAAAGGTCAACCAGCAAATAACATAAAGCTTGGGCAAACTTTTCTTCTGTTTTTTTTGAGAAAAGTAAAAATGACATGTTTGTCAATAGCTATTGAAGTTCTAGACAAGGCTGAGAACACTCAAGGCCTCAGCAAGTCACATGACACCAACATTTTTCCTCACAAAGAGCTGACTGCTTTCAAACCATTTCCAGAAATCAATATAGTTTCATAAAACACAAATTTATTCTTTAGAACTAGGAGAGGTATACAGCTATAAATGATTGTTATGTCATGAACAGGATCAATAACTCACTGACTAGATTGAACTGATCATTTTAAGATAGTGACTCCAGAACAAAGAATACCTACCAAAAGGCTCAATGAACTGGTAGAGTTTTTCTCCAATTGATATTGCTTCGGTATACTGGCGTAGATGGTAGAAAATTATTGCTTGATTGTAATAAAGCATACTGTTCTCAACATCATCCAGCCCGTCCATTTCTTCCAGTGATGAGTGGACCTAAAATAATCCAATAGATAGTTGCGTTTAATCAAAACTCTGTATGGGATAATCAGTGTCAGTTAGTATGGATTTCAAAAAGGTAGTTTGTAAGTGATTAACCTTATAGAATTATTTAAGGAGCTAACAGAGAAGATGAATGAAGGGGAAGTGGATTTGGTCCATATGAATGTTCGAAAAGCATTTGATGAGCTACCACTTAAAAGGCCTTTCACAAACATCACGGCACATAGAATTAAATGGTAATGTGGCCACATGGATCAGGCCCTCCTGGCAGCATCAACCTCCATGGTTGCACATTTCAACTCACCAAGCCAGTCAGGAACCTCGGTGTTTTGTTTTACCCTCAACTGTCTTTTCTTCCCCACATCCAAGCCATGACCCGCTCTGCCTTCCCTCACCTCCGTAACATCGCCCGACTCCGCCACTACCTCACCCCTCAGGCCACTGAAACTCTTGTTCATGCCTTCATCACCTCCAGGCTTGACTATGCAAATGCCCTGCTTGTCAGCCTTCCCAACTCCTCCCTCCACAGGCTGCAGATAATCCAGAACTCTGCAGCCCATGTCCTCTCCCGCACCAAACTCCATGACCCCATCTCCCCCATTCTTGCCCGACTCCATTGGCTCCTTATCCTTCAGAGGATCCAGTTCAAAATCTTGGTCCTCACCTACAAAGCCCTCAATGGTCTTGCCCCACCCTACCTCTGTGACCTCCTAATCCCCTACCAACCCGTCCACTCCCTCCACTCAGCTGGCTCTAGCCTGCTCCATGTCCCCCGGCCCACCTGCCCCACCATTGGCGGGAAAACCCTCAGCCACTCTGCTCCCAACCTCTGGAACTCCTTCCCCTAATCACTCCGCCTCGCCCCCTAATTTGGGAGTATGGTAAATTGTGGTAGTCAGCATTCCCCCCCCTCCCCAACCCCCATAATGGGATAATACAGTAACTCCTATTATGGCAAAAAGTGTAGCAAACACACTTGCTCTATTTATTCTTACCTGATTTTTGAGCTGGTTGAGTGTTTGTCTCAAACTATCTGTTGAAATCTGGCCATTTTTGTAAAAATCCATCACAGCTTTATTCAAAGTAATTTTGTAGTCATCTTTGTTGAGCTCTTGCAGACGTCGTAGATACTGATGACAAGTGTCAAAATTTCCAGACTAACATACATCATAGTGCAAGAAAAAAAAGTAAACGTTACTAGTCAATGGGAAAAAAACACAACACAAAATTACATTTGTATAGCGCCTTTCACATCGGGACGAGGTCCCAAGGGGCAGTGTTTTAGATGTTAGACCAAATATTCCTTTCAGGGAGAATTTTTAGGTAAACGTTTATAATTCTTTCCAATTAGAAATTTATGAGGGAAATCAATATAATATTATTCTTACCATTGTGTATAGACACGGCTTTAAAACAATAATATGCCAATTGTCTGTTGAGCAAAGTGCTGGCCTACTTCATGCCCGCTGCCCCAGTGAGCTTTTAGCCTATTTATCCCCACCCTCTGGATCTCTCTTCCATAATTGCTCTGCTGTTTTCAAAACCTGCTTAAAGACTGCTCTCTGAGCACCCCCCCACCCCCACCTTTTTAGAGCCTTGGGATGTCTTTCCGACATGTGCTGCTGGTAATGCCATGTGGGAGGTGGGGGGATAGGAGAATAAGTGAAAGGAGAAAAGTCTATTACTTTCATGCGAAGAGAAAATAGTAGATTAGAGGGAGGGTGTCCATCATATAACCCTATCTCATAGAGATAGCAGTTTCAACTGCCATACAAATGGAGGAAGAATCTTGCATTGATTAACAATAAAAAAGTAAGTTGTCTTTTCTGTAGATATATTTTATGATTCTATTCTGAATACAAAGGACTTCAATACTTACTGCGTAAGCTTGATATGCACCAAATGCCAGTTCTTTTTCCTGGTCAGCAATTCCTGAGCTTTGAGAATTGGTCTCGGTTTTCATATCGATGCAGGAGTCTGTAACACATGTCATTGTTAGATTATCACCACACTCTCAAACAAGCCCTATGTATATCAGTACCTGAGGTACACTCAAACTTCAGAGATTTGATAAGTATGAGAGTAAACAGCAACTAAACCAGGCGGTGATCACCAACATCCACACACCGCCCCCCACTCCGAATCACAGAGAAACTCCTACTCCTGACAATGACTCCCCCCACTCCCACACTGACACTCAACTCCGACACTGATACTCCCCTCCCCTGACTGACTCTCCCTCCCCCCGACACTCCCCCGCACCCGACTCTCCCCCCCCCCACCGTCCCGACACTTCCCTCCCACCCACCGCCACTGACATGTTCCACACTCCCACACTGACATTTCCCCCCCACCCACCGACACTGACCCAATCACCCGCGACACTGACACTACACCCCCCTACGACACTGACGTACCCCTCCATGACACTGACACACTCCCCCCTCCCCCGACACTTAAACTCTCGCCCCCCCCACCGATACTGACACCGCCGCCGCCACCCCCGACACTGTCGCCCACACACTCCCCCACTCGGACACTCCCCCCTCCCTCCCCCAATTACACACCCAACACAGACACTCCGTCTGTCCCCCCCTCCCCGACACTGACACTCACCCCGACACTGAGATACTCTCTCCCCCTCTCCGCAACACACAAGCACTGACCTGCCGGTGGCTCCATGTTCTCGTGTTTCTTCTCACTGATTTGGGTGAAGAGAGGAATGGGGGAGGGGGCGGCGTCTCTCTTCTCAAGTCCCTCTCTGAATGTGTGTGGGTGGGGGTGAGCCGCTGGCCGGGGGGGGGGGGGGTGGGGTGAGGGTGAGCCGCTGGCCGGGGGGGGGGGGGTGAGGGTGAGCCGCTGGCCGGGGGGGGGGTGAGCCGCTGGCCGGGGGGGGGGTGAGCCGCTGGCCGGGGGGGGGGGGTGAGGGTGAGCCGCTGGCCGGGGGGGGGGGTGAGGGTGAGCCGCTGGCCGGGGGGGGGGTGAGGGTGAGCCGCTGGCCGGGGGGGGGGGGTGAGGGTGAGCCGCTGGCCGGGGGGGGGGTGAGGGTGATGCGCTGGCCGGGGGTGGGGGTGAGGGTGAGCCGCTGGCCGGGGGGTGAGGGTGAGCCGCTGGCCGGGGGGTGAGGGTGAGCCGCTGGCCGGGGGGGGAGGGTGAGCCGCTGGCCGGGGGGGGGTGAGCCGCTGGCCGGGGGTGAGGGTGATGCGCTGGCCGGGGGGGGGGGGTGAGCGCTGGCCGGGGGGTGAGGGTGAGCCGCTGGCCGGGGGGAGGGTGAGCCGCTGGCCGGGGGAGGGTGAGCCGCTGGCCGGGGGGGGTGAGCCGCTGGCCGGGGGGGGGGTGAGCCGCTGGCCGGGGGTGAGGGTGATGCGCTGGCGGGGGGGGGGGGGTGAGCCGCTGGCCGGGGGTGAGGGTGAGCCGCTGGCCGGGGGAGGGTGAGCCGCTGGCCGGGGGGAGGGTGAGCCGCTGGCCGGGGGGGGGTGAGCCGCTGGCCGGGGGTGAGGGTGAGCCGCTGGCCGGGGGGGGGGTGAGCCGCTGGCCGGGGGGGGTGAGCCGCTGGCCGGGGGGGGGGTGAGCCGCTGGCCGGGGGGGGGGGTGGGGTGAGCCGCTGGCCGGGGGGGGGGTGAGCCGCTGGCCGGGGGGGGGTGAGCCGCTGGCCGGGGGGGGGGGGGTGAGGGTGAGCCGCTGGCCGGGGGGGGGGTGAGCCGCTGGCCGGGGGGGGGGTGAGCCGCCGGCCGGGGGGGGTGAGCCGCTGGCCGGGGGGGGGGGGGTGAGCCGCTGGCCGGGGGGGGGGGGGGGGGGGGTGGGGTGAGGGTGAGCCGCTGGCCGGGGGGGAGGGGGGGGTGAGGGTGAGCCGCTGGCCGGGGGGGGGGTGAGCCGCTGGCCGGGGGGGAAGGGGGGGTGAGGGTGAGCCGCTGGCCGGGGGGGAGGGGGGGTGAGGGTGAGCCGCTGGCCGGGGTGGGGGTGAGCCGCTGGCCGGGGGGGGGGTGAGCCGCTGGCCGGGGGGGGGGTGAGCCGCTGGCCGGGGGGGGGTGAGCCGCTGGCCGGGGGGGGGTGAGCCGCTGCCGGGGGGGGGGTGAGCCGCTGGCCGGGGGGGGGGGGGGGGTGAGCCGCTGGCCGGGGGGGGGTGAGCCGCTGGCCGGGGGGGAGGGTGAGGGTGAGCCGCTGGCCGGGGAGGGGAGGGTGAGAGAGCCGCTCTCTCTGGGTGTCTCTGTCTCTATTTCTCTCCTCGTTCGGCGTCAAGGAGGCCGCCGGAAACAGGCGCGGCCATTACGCGTCACTTCCTGTGCGCCGGTGCCCCGGAGGTTGATGTAGTGGTTGTCATGGCCACACAACAGCGGGTCTCAGACTCTCTCTCACTCGTGCCTTGTGCTCGGTGTCTCGGGCTGTGGCTGTCACTGTGACACGCGCCCCCCCCCCCCCCCTGCAGCCAATACACCATTACATTTCTTTAGTCAGGGAGGGCAGTGAGGGGGGGCGGGAGGGCAGTGAGGGGGGGGGGCAGTGAGGGCGGGAGGGCAGTGAGGGCGGGAGGGCAGTGAGGGGGCCCAAGGCATGGCCGATGGGGAAGGCCTTGAGATGTGCCTCGCTTCTTTCCTCCCCCAGCATTCCCTCCATGAACCCCTCCAATCTGAGCTTGGTGCTGCTCACAGCACAGAGGCAACCCTGGTCAAAGTGGTGTCCACCTGTGACCAGGGCTCGCTCTGTCTCCTCGTCCTTCTTGAGCTCTCGGACACTTTCGATACAGTCGACTCTTACTTTTCCACTGCCTCTCCTCTCACCTCCACCTCAACGGTTCCGTTCTTGCCGGGGTCCAATCCTACCTTTCCCACCATCTGCACTTAGTGTCCACCAACGGCTTCTCCTCCAGCCCCCGCATTGTCACATGTGGCGTCCCTCAGAGCTCTGTCTTCGGTCCCCTCCTCTTCAATCTATACATGCTCCTACTCAGTGATGTTGTGTGTCTGACGAAGGGTCATGAACCCGAAATGTTGATCCACTTTCTCCATAGATGCTGCCTGATCTGCTGAGTGTTCTCAGCGATCTCTGCTTTTGTTTGTAATTTGTTGTTGTTGTTCAGGGAGACAAAGGAGAGAGTGAGGCGAAAGGAAGGTGGGATGGATTTCCAAAAGCTGTGGGGACTGAAAGCCCAACCTTGGATGGTGGCAGGGTACATGGAGCAGGTCAGAACCTGCTCAGTGGAGGGAGTGGACAAGTTGATATGGGTTAATCAGGTCACAACAACAAAAAAATTACATTTATAGAGCGCCTTTCATGTCGGGAGGATGTCCCAAAGTGCTGAACAGTCAGATGTTGGGGCCCGAGCATAGGGGAGGGTTGGTGTAGGGGTGAGGAAGGCAGACAGGTGGGAGGGAGACCAAAGGCACGGTCAAAGAGAAGGGTCTTAAGACCGGCCTTGAAGGAGGCAAGGGAGGAAGCGAGGCGAAGGGACCGTGGGATGGAGTTCCAGAGTGTGGGGGCAGAGAGGCTGAAAGCCCGGCCACCGCTGGTAGGGTGGGTTGGACGGGAGACATGAAACAGGCCTGATGAGCGGAGGGAGCGGGCAGGTTGGTAAGGAGTCAGCAGGTCAGAGAGGTAGGAGGGGGCAAGGCCATGGATGCCCTTAAAGGTGAGGACCAGAATCTTGAACTCGATCCTCTGGGGGATGGGGAGCCAGTGGAGTCGGGCGAGGGTGGGAGTGATGAGATCGCGGAGCCTGGTGCGTGAGAGTACACGAGCTGCAGAGTTTTGGATGATTTGCAGCTTGTGAAGGGAAGAGTTGGAAGGCCGATGAGGAGGGAGTTCCCGTAATCGAGCCTTGATGTGACGAATGCGTGGGTGAGGGTTTCGGCAGCCTGAATGGTGAGGCAGTGGTGGAGGTAGACAGTGCCGGTCATGGTGCGGATGTGGGGGAGAAAGGACAGTTCAGGGTCAAACAAGACACCCAGGTTCCTGACTGGCTTAGTGAGGTCGAGTGTGCAGCTGTGGAGGCTGATGCTGCCAGCACCTGAGGTGCGGAGGCGCTGGCGCGAGCCAATCAGGAGAGCCTCGGTCTTGCTGAGGTGAGTTGGAGAAAATTGGCCCTCGTCCAGTACTTGATGTCAGTCAGAACCTCAGTAGTTCAGGGTGGAGGCAGAGAGGTAGAGTTGGGTGTCATCCGCATACATGTGGAAATTTACTCCATGTCTGCGGATGACATCACCAAGAGGGAGCATGTAGAGGGTGAATTGAAGGGGACCGAGCACAGAGCCCTGAGGAACACCTCATGAGACAATGCGGGGGCTGGAGGAGAAACCATTTGCCACAACGAAATGGAGGCGGTGTGAAAAGTAAAACCTGAACCAATCAAGGACAGAATCTTGAAGGTTGAGGTGGGAGGAGAGGCAGTGGAGGAGGATTGAGTGGTCCACGGTGTCAAAGGCAGCGGAGAGGACGAGGAGGCAGAGGGAGCCCTGGTCACACATGGTCAGGATGTCGTTTGTAACCTTGACCAGAGCAGTTTCCGTGCTGTGGGCAGCACGGAAACCCGATTGGAGGGGTTCATGGAGGGAGTGAGAGGAGAGGAAAGAGCGAAGCTGAGGTAGGAAGGCACAAGTTGCTGTGTGTGACGAAACAGCTTTGGATGGATGCGTAATTTTTGAAAATAGTTTAAAATTGCAAAGTGTCTTTCTTCCGTTTGAAGACCTTTTCTTACATAGTTTAGAATTCACTGGCCACTCTGCTGCCTATAGATTGAGACGTCCTCCCGACGTGAAAGGCGCTATACAAGTGTAATTTTGTTGTTGTTGTTGGGCTACTTTGGGGCTAGTATTTTGGTGGGCTTTGGGCTACAAACATATTTCAGTTTCTGGCAAACCGGCCACCTGCTACCTCCACTCTGCCCCAGGTACAGACTACTGCCATGGTAAACCATGCAGTTTTAACTGGTTAAACTCCCCAACAAATGTTCTGGGTCCCAAGCCTAGGCTCTTGCCAACCTGCGCCTCATGCTCTCCGGTATTATGTTGGCAGGATGCTTCCCTCCAGGGAGGGTGTGCACATTCCATTCCAAACATGGGATGTGTCCATTTTGTCGTGGGCCTCATGGAACTCCTAGTTTGGTTTGGAAAGTCTTAAGCATAGTGATAGGTTTATGCATGTGTCAGACACCCAGCTGACCAAACAAATGCGAGCAAAGGAACACTTCTGTCACAGTCCACTGCACCAACAGACAGTGACTTCAGCACAGCCTGGTTATGTAAGAACCCTCCTCTCTCCCGATTTATACAGATACTCGAGCAGCACGATTAGGAAAGCTTGATGGTATTTTATTGGAATTTCTCATAGCCTAACTTATACTTCCCGACAAATCAGATAAATACAACGCAATTTAGAATAATAAAACCTCACACATTTAACTACACAGCTGGCAGCCTTTTAACAAGTTAGTCAATCATGATCCTCCTCTTTATCAGGCATGTACCTCTTTGATGTCAAAACAAAACGAAGAGTGATGCAGGCTCGCTCTTTTTAAGGATATTAAGCCCATCTTCGTATTTTGGGAGTATCTGAATTATCTCCCTCCTGAATTATTCAGTGTTACAGTGGCCACACCCCCCATGCAGCTACGATCCTCTTTTTCCTGCCAAAAAATCATTATATCATGATGGCCCCGCCACCTGGATACTAATGATCCTTTTTTTCCTTCCCAGTGGTTTTATTTGTCCCGATGTCAAACTTGATGGCGCCAAAGAGGCATTTAGCTTTAAAATTAAATACAATCCATGGACTTAAAATGCTCTTAATGCCACGTGTCTTATATTGTGTAACCGCACATACGCAAACTTTCTAATGGCACATACATCAAGCTTGCAAGAGTGCACAGGCTCACTTAATATATGGTTGTGCTAAAGCACTGTTAAACAACTGCCTTTTTGAATATACGGTTGTGCTAAAGCACTGTTAAATAATTGTGCTTTAGCACAAGCATATATTCAAAAAGGCATAAAAATACATAGAAAAGCAACTTTACGATACAAAAAATGGAGTGTCTGTGACAAGACACACAGACAGAGAGATATAGATAGATACTCAGAGAGAGAGACAGAAAGAGAGATACAGAGACACAGATATACAAAGACACACCGACAGAGAGATAGATACAGAAAGAGAGACACACACAGACATAGAGAGAGTGGTACAGTGAGAGACAGATACAGAGACAACAACAACAAAATTGCATTTGTATAGCGCCTTTCACTTCGGGAAGACATCCCAAGGCACTGGACAGACAGAGTTTCGGACCTGAGGTGAGGGTCGGGGTGGGGGAGGGTGGAGGGCAGGGGAGAAGCAGGGAGATCAAAAGCACGGTCGAAGAGGAGGGTCTTGAGGTGGGTCTTGAAGGTGGCGAGGGAGAGGTCGAGACAAAGGGACTGTGGAATGAGATCCAGAGGGTGCGTGCAGAGTGGCGGAAGGCCCGCCCGCCGATAGTGGGCGAGCAAGGCAGGGGTCATGAAGCAGGCCGGAAACCGCTGAGCGGAGGGAGCGGACGGGATGATAGGGGGTTAGGAGGTCAGAGAGGTAAGGGGGAGCAAGACCATGGAGGGCTCTGAAGCTGAGGACCAGGATCTTGAACTATATCCACTTTGTGAAGGGAAGCCAGTGGAGTTGGCAAGGATGGGGGTGATAGGGTCACGGAGCCTAGTGCGGGAGAGGACACGGGCTGCAGAGATCTGGATGATCTGCAGCCTGTAGAGGGAGGAGTTGGGGAGGCCGACAAGCAGTGAGTTTGCATAGTCGAGCCTCGATGTAATAACATAACATAACATGTAGGAGCAGGAGTAGGCCATTCGGCCCTTCGAGCCTGCCCCGCCATTCAATCATGGCTGATCTTCTAATCTAACTCCAGCTAATACCATAACCCTGCCTTGTCCCCATATCCCTTAATCCCTTTTGCAATAAGAAATCTATCTATCTCAGTCTTGAATATGTTCAAGGACTGAGCGTCAACAGCCCTTTGGGGTAGTGAGTTCCATACATTCACCACCCTTTGAGTGAAGAAGTTCTTCCTCAACTCAGTGCGAAAGGGCTGGCCTCTGATTTTAAGGTTGTGACCCCTGGTTTTAGTTTCTCCAACCAGGGGAAACAATCTCCCACTATCTACTCTATCATGCCCTTTGATGATCTTATAGGCTTCTATAAGATCCCCTCTAATTCTTCTATATTGTAGAGAATATAGGCCCAAATTGGTCAGCCTATCCTCGTAACTCATCCCCTTGTAAATCTACGCTGCACCCCCTCCAAGGCAAGTACGTCCTTCCTTAAATGAGGAGACCAAAACTGGACACAGTATTCCAGGTGTGGTCTCACCAGGGCCCTATACAGTTGCAGCAAGACTTCCCTACTCTTATACTCTAATCCTTTCATAATGAATGCTAACATACCGTTCGCCTTCCTAATTGCTGCTGCGCCTGCAGACTAACTTTCTGTGATTGGTGTACAAGGACACCCAAGTCCCTCTGGACACTAACACATTCCAATCTCTCCCCTTCTAAAAAATAACCCGCTCTACTGTTTTTGCTACCTAGGTGGATGACTTCGCACTTCCCTACATTATACTTCATCTGCCACCTACCTGCCCAATCACCTAACCTATCTATATCGCGCTGCATTTTTTTAATGTCGTCCTCTATGTTGACACTTCCTCCTAGTTTTGTGTCATCTGCGAATTTAGATATATTAACTTCGATGTCCTCATCTAGATTGTTGATGTAGATGGTAAATAGCTGAGGCCCAAGGACTGATCCTTGTGGCACTCCACTAGTCACATCCCGCCAATCCGAAAAGGACCCGTTTATCCCTACTCTTTGTTTCCTACCCGTTAACCATTCCCCAATCCACGTTAATATGCTCCCCCAATTCCATGGGCCCTTATCTTTTGGACTAACCTTTTATGCGGCACCTTATCGAATGCCTTCTGGAAGTCCAAATAGACCACATCCACTGATTCACCCTTATCTCGTTTACTGGAAATGTCCTCAAAAACTCTATGAGATTTGTCAAACATGACTTCCCTTTTGTAAAGCCATGTTGACTTGGCCTAATTATGTTGTGCTCCCCTAAATACTGCATACCACATCCTTAACCAACAATTCTAATTTTTTTGCTATCACTGATGTGAGTCTAACTGGCCTATAGTTCCCCATCTTTTCCTTTCCACCGTTTTTAAATAGTGGTGTAACATTTGCGATCTTCCAATCCATGCAGACTCTTCCAGAATCCAAGAAATTTTGGAAGATCAGACATAAGGCCTCCACTATCTCATAAGCTACCTCTTTTAAAACCCTGGGATGCAAGGGGTGTATGAGGGTATCAGCGGCCTGCGGTGTGAGACAGTGTCAGAGCCGGGCGGTGTTGCAGTGGTGGGGAAGGCAGAGCGGGTAATGGCACAGATGTGGGATAGAAAGGATAGTTGAGGGTCAAACAAGAAGCCAAGGTCCCGGACTGGCTTAGCAAGGTGGAGTGTGCAACCATGGATGGTGATGCTGTCAGCACTTGAGGTGAGAAGGCGCTGACGGGAGCCAATCAGGAGAGCCTCGGTCTTGTTGACGTTCAACTGAAGAAAGTTTGCTCTCATCCAGGACTTGATGTCTGATGGACATTCAGTCAGGACAGCAGTGGTCCTGGAGTTGAGGGTGGAGGCAGAGAAATAGAGTTGGGTGTCATCCGCATACATGTGGAAGTTGACCCCGTGTCTGCCGATGATGTCACCAAGAGGGAGCAATATAGATATTGAAGACATTGAGACATACACAGACAGAGAGAAACAGACAGAAAGAGAAAGAAAGACACATACATGCACACACACACAGAGTCAGAGAGACAGAGAGAGAGAGAGGTACAGAGACACAGAGGGAGAGATACTGTACAGTTACTAAACCTATTGCTTCCGAAGGTACAATGTTACAAGCTCAACCTTCACTTGATTACCTTTCTAGAAACCACTAACTCACCATCGAACCAGCTTTGAGAGCCGCTGCAGTTGGCAGTTTTACATCTGGGAACTTGTTTGCTGAATTTAATACATTTTCCCAGACATTGTGCTAAATACATTTTAAGTTTTGTATGCACAAAAGCGTAAAACACGGGGTTTAGACAGCAGTGAAAATAAGCAACGTTACGACTGATGAAATACGCGTAGTCAATGTGTTTGCTTGTCTCACAGGTTGTGAATAGCGACACATCAAGTTGTTTCAGAGAGACCAGGAAAATCACCATATTGTATGGTGCCCAACACAGGAAGAAAATCACAATACACAAGATAACCTTCACTGCTTTGTACTTCTTCCTTGCTTTACACCTCAGCACAGTGTTCATGATTTTATAACAGCAATACACAATGACAACTAATGGAATTAAGAAGAACAATATAATTTGCTGATAATACCCGAACAGTAACCAGATGTGTTCACTATCTTCTGGATAGTTAGCCTCACAAAACTTTGTTTGAACCCATGTAATTTCAGTGGAGTAAATGAATTCAGGCACTGAGGCTGATAAACTAATTGCCCAAACGACCAGGCTTGCTGTGACTGCGTAGCAGGTTTTTCTACTCCTTGCAGCGTAAACAGCGTGGACCACAGCAAAGTATCGATCAGCCGTCATCAGTGTCAGAAACATGATCCCGTTGTAATAGCCAACGAAGAAAACACCGCTCAATAATTTGCACATGACGTTCCCAAAGACCCATCCAGATACGTGATCCTTTGCCCAAAACGGGAGCGAGGCGGCAAAAAGCAAATCCGAAATGGCCAGATTCACAATGAATATGTCCGTTATGGTTTTCAGCTTCTCGTACCTCAACATGATCCACAAAACCAAACTGTTTCCAACCACGCTTAAAATGAAGATCAAGCTGTACAAAGTGACCGTCAATGTGACTCCAAACATGTTGCTATCGTAATTTTAACAGAGAACAACAGTCTTCGTCAAAGTAACTGTAATTGTAATTGTCATAGTTATAATAATCCTCAGTAGGCAGTGCAGTCATCATCCCTCCGCTCTGCAGAAGTAATCCTTGCTCAGTCAAATAAAATTGAGGTGTCAGCCTAGCTCAGTGGGTAGCACTCTGGCCTCTGAGTCAGAATGTTACAGGTTCAAGCCTCTGTTGGGGTTGTTGTGATCCTGGCTGACACTCAGTGTAGTGCTGGGGAGATGCTGCATTATTGGATTTGGGTCTTTTGGATGAGATATTAAACCGAGATATCATCTGCCTGTTAGGTTGATGCTAAAAGATCCCATGACACTATTTGAGAAAGGAATGCAATGAATGACTATTTTTATTTGGGGGATTGTTGACCGCAACAACAAGAGAGGATCTTTAATGTCCACTTTAACATGCATACAGGACTTTGGTTTGATGCACCAGATTTCCAGAGAATATAGGAGTAAATTATCCATCTAGCAGTAATCTTTATCTCCAACAACAACAGTTTTACATTTATAAAGTGCCTTTCATATCGGAAGGTTATCTCGAAGTGGTTCGAGATATCTGTCTCTGTATGTGTGTGTCTCTGTATTTGTGTGTCTGCATGTGTCTCTGTATTTATCTTTCTCTGTCTGTGTATGTGTTTGTATCTCTCTCTCTCGTCTGTGAGTGTTTCTGTGTCTCTCTGTTTCTATGTGTGTCTGTGTATCTCTGTCTGTGTGTGTCTCGCTATATGTCTCTCTTTCTGTCTATGCATGTCTGTACCTCTTTGTCTGTCTGTCTGTCTGTCTGTCTGTCTTTCTCTGTATCTATCTCTCTCTGTGGCTCTGTATCTCTCTCTCTTTGTGTCTCGGTATCTGTCTCTCTGTCTATGTATCTTTCACTCTCTCTGGATATCGCTGTCTCTCTCTCTGTATATATCTGTCTCTCTCTCTTTCTCTTATGTGTATCTATGTGTGTGTGTGTGTCTCTCTCTGACTCGGTCTCTGTTTGTGTGTCTGATTCTCTCTCTGTCTCAGCTCTTTATCTCTCTATCTGTTTCTGTGTACATCTCTCTCTCTATATATATATATAATCTGTGTAAGTCTTTCTGTCTGTCTGTTTTGAGACTGACAGCAAAAGTCTGTGTCTCTCTGTCTGGGTAGTTTTTTTAAAAAAAGAGGAAAGCAGTGATGACAGCGGTTTTGAGGGGGAGTGGGACAGGCCCTGAGGAGAGGGACTGGTTGACCTTGTCGCCCGCTCTGCTCGCCCCACTATTGGTGGGCAGGCCTTCCGCCACTCTGCACCCACCCTCTGGAAATCCATCCCGCAGTCCCTCAGTCTCGTCCCCTCCCTCACCATCTTCAAGACCCACCTCAAGACCTTCTTCTTCGACCGTGCTTTCGATCTCCCTGCTTCCCCACCTGCCCTCTACCCTCCCCCAACCCAACCCTCAGCTCAGGTCTGTAACTCTGTCTGGGGGAAAATGACCTTTGAGGGAGGAGGAGAGGTGGGAAGAGTCCAGATGTGGATGAGGGAAGGAGAGGTTGGTTGCCTTCTGGATCCAGGGGGAGGCTCTTGCAGAGAGAGTGGGCGATGGGGCAGTTGGGGTGGCTGCTTTGGGACAACCAACAACGTGTGTTGTGATGAGCATGGCAGAGGATGCCCAGGCTGGAACAGAGGGAGCCTGTGGAAAAGTCCAGGAGAGAGAGAAGGAGAGGAGGGCGGTGGGAGAAAAGGACAGAGGTTCAGTATCGGAATGTGAGAGTAGAAATGGGGGCATTTTGAGGGGGTTGGCTCAGGTCAGGGGCGTTAGCCAAAATGCGCACAGCGAGAGACCTGGAGCGAGCAATCAGCGGGGCATGGAGGGGCTTAGAGGAGACAGTCCCGGGGAGAGAGAGAGGGGGGATAGCATTCATAGTCTTATTTGCTAGGCTAGACAAAACCCCAGCTTAATAAAAATACAGGTTTGAGAGGAGAGACAAAAGAGGTGCACCAAATTCCCACTCTCACGAAATTCATGGTGTAGTGGCCTCACTCCATCTACAGCTCACTCTAACGGCCTCTGTGCTGGAGTGAAGCTCTGGCAAGACTTCCCTTTATATCATCCCCAGAGAGAACCAGTTCAACTTGTCAGCTAAGAATAACACCTTGCCAATGATTTCCTTCCCGCCGATCAGAAAGACAAGTTAGAAAAGAACAAGTAAACACACAGATTTAACCAGATTCTCTACTATTTTATTATTTTACCTGTCTTTCTGTCTGTGTCTCTCTACCTCTCTCTATGTGTGCCTTTCTCTGTCTGTGTGTGTCTCAGTATCTGTCTCCTTTTCTGTCTGTGTGTGTTTCTCTCTCTATGGCTGCATCTCTCTCTCTTTCTCTCTGTACCTACAACATCAACAACAAAATTACATTTGAAAAGTGCCTTTCACGCCGGGAGGATGTCCCAAGGCGATGGACAGACAGAGTTATGGACCCGAGCTGGAGGTCGCGGAGAGTGGGGGGAAAGCAGGGAGATCGAAAGCACGGGTGAAGAGGGTCTTGAGATGGGTCTTGAAGGTGACAAGGGAGGGGGTGAGGGATGGTGTTCCAGAGGGTGGGGGCAGAATGGCAGAAGGCCTGTCTGGGGGGGGGCATGAAGCAGGCCGGAGCCCGCTGAGCGGAGGGAGTGAACAGGATGGTAGGGCGTTAGGAGGTCGCAGAGGTAAGGGGGAGCAAAGACCATGAAGAGCTTTGAAGGTGAGGACCAGGATCTTCACGTTCAAAGACCTCTCGTTCCATGTGTCTCTGTATCTCTCTTTCTTTATGTGTCTCTGTATCTCTTTGTCTGTGTGTGTCTGGGTTACCTGTCTCTCTGTCTGTGTGTCTCTGTACCTCTCCACTCACCTCCACCTCAACGGTTCTGTTCTTGCCTGGTTCCAATCTTACCTTTCCCACCGACTGTACTTCGTGGCCATCAACGGCTTCTCCGCTAGCCCCCGCACTGTCATGTGTGGTGTCCCTCAGGGCTCTGTCCGCATTGAGGCAGCGTGAGGCTTTGCTTGATAGGAGATCAAATCTTATGGAATAAGAAACTGAGGAAATGCGACATTTCCTGTTTTCTGTAATTGGAAAGCGTAGTGTCCTGGGTCGAGCAAAACCACACGATCAAATAGAACAAAGGGGGCATACTAGCAGATATATACATAATGATAAACGTTGCATTTGATTTAGTGGCAATTTTCATTGAAAAATCCCAAAGCACTTTTATTGAGTTTTCTGTAAAATGTAGAGCCTGTGAATTTGTATGCAAATCTGCATTTATATCTCCAAGAAATGGTCACAAAGTGAATGAACAGCTCCTTTCTAATTGTGAATGGGATCTTTGACGTCCACATGTCCAGGCTGGTGGGATCTTGGTTTAATGTCTCATCCAGTAACTGCTTGGAATGTCAGCCTAAACTATGAGCAAAACTATGTCCATCTACTCTAAATGGATTGACTGCACCCTGGGGAATTTAGAGAGACAAAGCAGTCAATCAGAACAAACTTACAGTCAAAAGGAGAACTCAATGAATTTTATAGATCAAGTGTGAAGTGACTGAATGGTATTTCCCAATGTTATGTTCCTAGAAAGACTGTAAAAGAATTCAACTAAAGTAAATATAAAAATGACAAAAAACCCAGCAGCTAAATTTGTAGGTATTGTGATATCAGGAGGAACCTGTGATCAGAGTTTTGGCATGTGTCTATCAATGAGTAAGACCAAGTGAGTCCTGCATGTGAGAACCACATTTGCTTGTTTCTAGTCTCACAAAGGGCAATTGACACGCTCAAAATGCCTGGAAATGCTGCACAAAACTACTCCTTTGTATGTCTGAATTCCCCACGGTGCAGGTTGAATGAATTCAGGCATAGGGTTTGAGATGAAACTACATCAGCCATGCTCCAGTAGCTGGTGGATTCTGTCCTGATGGAGGCCAGTGTATAGATTATATCCATATAATCACCAATATAGTGTTATTTAGCATTACATAGAGCATCATCTGTTTCCCCAATTACGTAAAGTCAGGTTAATAGTTAAGGCAGAGAAATGCTTCCTTTTTGGCCTTTCTTATAATATTTTTTGATTTGGTGATTCACCCATTTAATTGTTTTTGTGCTTTTTATTTCTGGATAAACTAATTAACTAATAAACTGCTTTGGGTTTCTTGGCTAATGCCCACATCAGATCAAAATATTTCTTTTTTCTGATGAAAACTGGATGAGTGGCAGGAAACAATGTCACAATATATTGAGAATTAAATATTGGTGAGAACCAGTTGTGAAAGAATCTACCCACATACATTCTAAACTTTTCACCCATAAAGGCATATATAAATGGGTTCACACAGCAGTGTGTGAAGGCTGAAGACTGTGTAATTTGGAGTGCCATTTGTAGACTATGTTTGTTTTCAATTTTATTCAAAATCTCCATTTCCAGCAAAGAATTGAGGAAAAGTACAATATTATACGGGATCCAACACAAAAAACACAATCATTACTGATTGTGGACTCCATTTTGTGGAATCCTGTAGGTCAGTGGTTAGAGCACTCGCTTTGCAAGCGAGAGACCTGAGTTCAATTCCAGGCAGGACGAAACCTTGGGCAAGTTTCCTTACTCCACACAGAGCCTAATAATAATCCCTCCAAAACCAAAACCAATAATAAATTGGTCATTTTCAATCTATGACTGTTTGTGGGACATTGCTGTGCGCAATTGGCTGCCGCGTTCGCCCACAAATATAGTCGATTCACTTTACAGTATATTCTGTGAAGCGCTTTGAGATGCCGAGAAGATGTGAAAAGCACTAGAACAACAAGATTGCATTTAGAGAGCGCCTTTCACGTCGGGAGGACATCCCAAGGCGCTGGACAGTTGGGTCAGGACCCGAGCAGGGGGGAAATGGTCAGGGTGAGGGGAGGGAAGGGAGGGAGCGAGGAGGGGGGAAATGGTCAGGGTGAGGGGAGGGAAGGGAGGGAGCGAGGAGGGGGAAATGGTCAGGGTGAGGGGAGGGAAGGGAGGGAGCGAGGAGGGGGTAGAGAGTCGAGAGGGGAGCTGAAGGCTCGGTCAAAGAGAAAGGTTTTGAGACCGGCCTTGAAGGAGGAAAGGGAGGAGGCGGCGAAGGCACTGGGGGATAGAGTTCCAGAGCCTCGGGGCTGAGAGGCTGAAGGCCCGACCACCGATGGTAGGGCGGTTGGGGCGGGGGATGTGGAGTAGACCGGAGCCAGAGGAACGGAGGGTACGGGCAGGTAGGTAGGGGGATAGTAGGTCGGAGAGGTAGGAGGGAGCAAGGCCGTGAATGGCCTTGTAGGTGAGGATGAGGATCTTGAATTCGAGCGCTATATCAAATGCAAGGATTATTACTATTATTATTATTATTATCATAGCTGTGAATATTATTTTCGCAGCCTGATGATTGTTTGGTGGCTTCGGTCTCCTGAGCCCAAGTTACAATTATTCTGGAGTGTAACAGAAAGCTCTGACAGTAAAAAAGGAAATAAAAAAAATTCCCCCCCAAAAAAATATCTACATGGAAGAAGCTCCTCCCCCCCACCCCCCAAAAAATATATTTTTTTGATATCGTTGATATTGTTGCGTTTTGGGGTAGAAAATGACTACATTCTGTTAATCCTGAAACTGCTTTAAATGTTGTAAAATATCGGTTGGGGCAGTGGACGCCATTAGCTGCGCGCGCACACACACAGCACGTGATCCCCTCACACTCAACACCCGCCGCTGATTCCCCCCCCCGTGACAGCGCATTACTGCGCGTGCGCGCGGGGCGGCGCGTCGGGGCGGAGCGGGTCACGTGGCGTCAGCCCCGACGGAAGAGCGGATGGAACTTGAGGCGCTCCTCCGGGCGCTCGCGGTCTGTGCCCTCCTGGCGGTGAGTGAGGGAGGCGTGGCCAGGGAGCCAGTGCAGCCAGGGAGCCAGTGACCCAGTGCAGCCAGTGTCCCAGTGCAGCCAGTGACCTAGTGACCCAGTGCAGCCAGTGTCCCAGTGCAGCCAGGGAGCCAGTGCAGCCAGTGACCTAGTGACCTAGTGCACCCAGTGTCCCAGTGTCCCAGTGCACCCAGTGTCCCAGTGACCTAGTGCACCCAGTGTCCCAGTGACCTAGTGCACCCAGTGTCCCAGTGACCTAGTGCAGCCAGTGTCCCAGTGACCTAGTGCACCCAGTGACCTAGTGCACCCAGTCACCTGGTGCACCCAGTGTCCCAGTGACCTAGTGCAGCCAGTGTCCCAGTGACCTAGTGCAGCCAGTGTCCCAGTGACCCAGTGCACCCAGTGTCCCAGTGACCTAGTGCAGCCAGTGTCCCAGTGACCTAGTGCAGCCAGTGTCCCAGTGACCTAGTGCAGCCAGTGTCCCAGTGACCCAGTGCAGCCAGTGTCCCAGTGTCCCAGTGCACCCAGTGTCCCAGTGACCTAGTGCAGCCAGTGTCCCAGTGACCTAGTGCAGCCAGTGTCCCAGTGACCTAGTGCAGCCAGTGTCCCAGTGACCTGGTGCAGCCAGTGTCCCAGTGACCTGGTGCAGCCAGTGTCCCAGTGACCTAGTGCAGCCAGTGTCCCAGTGACCTAGTGCAGCCAGTGTCCCAGTGTCCTAGTGCAGCCAGTGTCCCAGTGACCTAGTGCAGCCAGTGTCCCAGTGTCCTAGTGCAGCCAGTGTCCCAGTGACCTAGTGCAGCCAGTGTCCCAGTGACCTAGTGCAGCCAGTGTCCCAGTGTCCTAGTGCAGCCAGTGTCCCAGTGACCTAGTGCAGCCAGTGTCCCAGTGACCTAGTGCAGCCAGTGTCCCAGTGTCCCAGTGCACCCAGTGTCCCAGTGCAGCCAGTGTCCCAGTGACCTAGTGCAGCCAGTGTCCCAGTGACCCAGTGCAGCCAGTGTCCCAGTGACCTAGTGCAGCCAGTGTCCCAGTGACCTAGTGCAGCCAGTGTCCCAGTGACCCAGTGCAGCCAGTGTCCCAGTGACCTAGTGCACCCAGTGACCTAGTGCACCCAGTGTCCCAGTGACCTAGTGCACCCAGTGACCTGGTGCACCCAGTGTCCCAGTGACCTAGTGCACCCAGTGACCTAGTGCACCCAGTGTCCCAGTGACCTAGTGCACCCAGTGACCTAGTGCACCCAGTGTCCCAGTGCAGCCAGTGTCCCAGTGCAGCCAGTGTCCCAGTGACCTAGTGCAGCCAGTGTCCCAGTGACCTAGTGCAGCCAGTGTCCCAGTGACCTAGTGCAGCCAGTGCACCCAGTGTCCCAGTGCACCCAGTGTCCCAGTGCAGCCAGTGTCCCAGTGACCTAGTGCAGCCAGTGTCCCAGTGACCCAGTGCAGCCAGTGTCCCAGTGACCTAGTGCAGCCAGTGTCCCAGTGACCTAGTGCAGCCAGTGTCCCAGTGACCCAGTGCAGCCAGTGTCCCAGTGACCTAGTGCACCCAGTGACCTAGTGCACCCAGTGTCCCAGTGACCTAGTGCACCCAGTGACCTGGTGCACCCAGTGTCCCAGTGACCTAGTGCACCCAGTGACCTAGTGCACCCAGTGTCCCAGTGACCTAGTGCACCCAGTGACCTAGTGCACCCAGTGTCCCAGTGCAGCCAGTGTCCCAGTGCACCCAGTGTCCCAGTGACCTAGTGCACCCAGTGTCCCAGTGTCCCAGTGCAACCAGTGCAACCAGTGTCCCAGTGCAACCAGTGTCCCAGTGCAGCCAGTGTCCCAGTGACCTAGCCAGTGCACCCTGTGTCCCAGTGCACCCTGTGTCCCAGTGCAGTCAGTGTCCCAGTGACCGAGCCAGTGCACCCAGTATCCCAGTGCAGCCAAAGTCAGTAGACGACACATTATCAGTGGAGCACAACAGCCACACATCTTTTTTCTATGCACACAATATTTTAATGATCTCATATGCATTTCAAATGTATTGCATGAATCAAAAGAAAAAAACTCAGGCCTGTTGTATATTCATTGCCCCTTCCGCTCCTCCGTCAGTGGCCAGGCCTTCAGATCCTATGCCTTTTACTGGAACAAACACTCAAATCAAAATGCCCTGCCCCACCCTCACTTACTTTCTCATCCAGAAGCTCCCTGGCAGAGGTGGGCTAAATGTTACCGATCTGCAGCTTGACTGCATGTGTGAGAATGTTCCTTCATAAGTTGTGGAGATATATCAGTATGTGTTTGTTATAGAGTTCGTCCAGCAGAACATTTCAGATTGATTACGACAAGGATTGTTTCCTCAAGGATGGCGAACTGTTCCGCTATATTTCTGGGAGTATCCATTACTCTCGTATACCTCAATACTATTGGAAGGACCGGCTTTTGAAAATGTATATGGCAGGACTGAATGCCATTCAAACGTAAGTTTCAAATTCTCTAAACTGGAATTGCATTTACAATATTTACACTTAAACTTCTAGTATTTACACTCACTCACATTTACACTTTCAGTATTTACAATATTGTACTTCACATTTTCAGTACTAAATTTTACAGTATGCTTGCTGTATTTATTTACACTTTCATATATCACTCAGACACATTTTCCACCTCATATATCATAATAATAATCCTTGCATTTGATATAGCACTTTATCACATCTTCCAGACATTCAAAGCGCTTCACAGAATATATGTGGAGTCCTGTAGCTCAGTGGTTAGAGGACTCACCTTGCAAACGAGACACCTGGGTTCAATTCCAGGCAGAGGGCGAAACCTTGGGCAAGTTTCCTTACTCCACACAGAGCCTAATAATAATCCCTCCAAAACCAAAAACAATAATAAATTGGTCATTTTCAAGCCACGACTGTTTGTGGGACATTGCTGTGCGCAATTGGCTACTGCGTTTCACCCACAAATATACAGTCAATTCACTTTACAGTCTATTCTGTGAAGTGCTTTGAGATGTCCAGAAGAGGTGAAAAGTGCTATATCAAATGCAAGGATTATTATTACTATTATTATATCGTAATGTGAATTCACTGTATATTTTGTGCGTGAAAAGTGGCAGCCAATTGCGCACAGCAGTGTCCCACAAACAGTCATGGATTGAGTGAAGAATTAACTTTTATTGATTTTGAAGGAATAATTATTCCCCGGAAAAGTAATCTGCCAATCGACTAACAACCAGGTTTCTACTTACTGCTAGGTAAACAGGCGTGTGGAGTAAGGAAACTTGCCCAACAATTCGTCTTGCCAGGAATCAAACCCAGGTCCACAGGCACAATTCCCACCTCATATTATCACCCAGGCACATTTCGCACGTCGGAGTCCTGTAGTTTAGTGGTTAGAGTACTCACCTTGCAAGCGAGAAGATTCAGGTTCGATTCACAGGTAGGGCAAAACCTTAGGCAAGATTGCTTACTCCACACACCTCTGTTTAGCAGTAAGTAGGAACCTGATTGTTAGTCGATTATCGGATCGCGTTTCTGGGGGTAATAAGGACCTAGATGCAACAAGATCTGGTCTGGCTACAGGCTCTTAAAAGGACATTATCCCAGCAGTTCTTTTCCCCAAAATTGGCTGACTACCTATTTATTTCTGGAGATTGAACAACAAGCCTAGAATGTGGACGACCATTTTGAAGTTACAAAGACTACAGCACCAGACCCGCTCAGTCCAACCAGTCCGTGCCGCTGTTTAAACTTAGCTTTGAGCTCGTGATTTTCAGTTTCAACCAATAAAAACCCCGATACACTCCCCCCTGATACAACAAAAAGGAAATTGTTGTTTATTTAATAAAACTGGAAAAACTTGACCTGACATAACTCGGAGATTAGTTTTTCTCTCTCTCTTGTTTGTGCTTGGTGGCGTCTTGGTGTTCTGACTGTGGTTATGTTACTTTCCACCTCTTTCCTCCGTATGCACAGAGGTGGCTGGTGAAGGTTTAAAAGGAGGGAGGTATTGCGGGTGTGTGAGAGTGCCGCTCTCCCCTCCGTCTGTGCAAGTGCATCTTCTCAGTACAGTAATGAAAGCCCTGAAAAAAAAACAATTAATCCACACTCTAAAATTGCTAAAAACCCTATTTATACTCCACGTGAGTCTTCTCCACCCATTCCCTACTCCTTCCCATACCCTTCCATTCCTCTCTCCCTCACGTGAAGGTCTAGCTTCCTATTGAATGTATCTATAGTATGATTCAATCACTACTTCAGGCAGTGAGTTTCACAATCTTACTACCCTCTGTGTGAAGTAGTTACTCTTAAATTCTCTTTTGGATCCCCTAGTCATGATCTTAAACTTACATTCCCTGGTTACAACTCCCCAACCAGGCTTAACAGCCCCAGTTTGATATCATTTGCAGATTTCAACACCACATCTTCTATACCTGAATCCAAATCATTCATGTATACTGTGAACAGTAGTGGTTCTATCATGGATCTCTGCTGAACACCACTGCCTACCTCTTGCCAGCCTGAGAAGATGCCCTTAACTCTTATCCTTTGCTTTTGATTTCCTAACCATTCTGCTTCCTATCCCATGATTCCACATGCCCTGATTTTAGTCATGAGGCCTTCATGTGGCACTTTATAAAGAGTCTTCTGGAAATCCATATACTACATGGACGACATTTCCGTCTACTTTATCGGTCGCAGAGTTGAAAATCAAACATTCTCAGCCGTACCACATCAGGGAACTCTCCCATCGTGACTCCGAAATCTGTCACAGGTATCTGTAAAAATGTTATAAAATTTACTCTTACTATTTTAATTCCATAGTTATGTACCATGGAATTATCATGAACCTACACCAGGACATTATAACTTTACTGGAGACAAAAGTTTGGAGCACTTTTTACAATTGTGTAATGATACAGGATTGTTTGTCATCTTAAGAGCTGGACCCTATATCTGTGGAGAGTGGGACATGGTAAGTTGCAGTTAACTTTCTCCCAGTTTGTCCTAGCCAACAATGTCCTGGTCATTCAATTCATGGCTATTTGTGGGGCATTGCTGTGCAAATTGCCTGCTACGTTCTCCCATAAAAACACGCTGTATATCCTTTGGACTGCTTTGATTCTTCCTACTTTGAAAGGCATTATATCAAACCTAAAGATCATTATTGTAGCTCTGAAATTTGGTAGTCGGTGGTTGGAGGGTATTTAAAATCATATTTAAAGAGCATAATCTGTTTAGTATACTGTAATTTTGATTTACCTTGACCTGCAGTTTCCACATTATCTGCAGTAGATATTGATTTGTCCTCTGTTGTCATTCTCTACTTCATCTTGAAAGATGCACCTAGTTTTCCTTTCCACCACTGGGGGGCAATTTGCACACACACATACTCGCTCTTCGTCAAGTCTCTGAATACCCATCAATCATAATCATAACAACCAGAATGCCAAATTTATTCCTAATTCTCCTGTATAAACACTTTTGAAACATGCATTGCTTTGTTTCTTCTGATCTTTTATTTTATGCTGTCACTTCCTTTACAGTACTCCTGTTATATCAGTGTCTGGAATCGTGTTGCCATCCACCATCCCTTCCTCTGTTCTGTAACTTCTCTGTCGTCTATCCTTTCCAGTGCCTGTCTCGTTTCCACTATTCGGTAGCCTATAGTGTACCCCCAATATAGTCACAGATCCCTTATTATTTCTCAGTGCCATCCTCCTCGACCACCTCCTCCTTCCTCCACCTCGGTTGGACTGCTCTCTCCTGGTACTTTGACACACCACCACCATTTTGTCTCCTCCAATGGTTTCTCCTACTGTCCCAGCATGATCACATATTGAGACCTCAGTCCTACCAATGTTCTAACTGCCTACTTGTCTGACATCAAGACCTAGATGAGCACCAACTTTCTGAAACTGAACATAGGCAACGCAGAAGCCATCCTCCATGGCTCCATCAACACCTTCTCACTTGCAGTTCTGAACTCCTTCCCTGCATATCTCTTAGACACACCAAAAACCCATATATAAAATTGGCATCAGGTTTGATCTCCAGTTATCCTTCCTATCCCACATCCGGGCCTTGACCAGGACTGCCTTTCCACCTCTGGCATATCGCTTACCTTCAATCCTATCCTTCGTCACCTCCCACCTTGATTTTTCCAATGCACTCCTCGCTGGTCTCCCCAGTTCCACTTTAAACTACAATGTCCAAAGAATATAAAACTCTTCTAATCATGTCCTCAGCCCTACTAAGCTTTGCACCCGCATCACCCTTGTTCTTTCCAAGCTCCACTGGATCCCCATTGCAGAACAGATCCATTTCAAGATCCTCACACTTTCAGATCTCTTCACACCCTGGCACCTCCCTACCTCTCTGATCTGCCCACACCCCATTCCCACCGCCTTCACTCAGCTGACTCGGGTCTTCTGCATGTCCCTCGACCCTCCGCTCCACCATTGGCGGCCATGTTTTCATCCACTGTGCGCAGAATCTGTGGAACTCCCTGCCTCAATCCCTCTGTCTTGCCCCCTCGTGGCTCATCTTCAAATCACACCTGAAGACTTTCCTATTCGACCGTGCTTTTGGTCACCTCCCCTCTTTTTCAAGCTTGGTGTCAAACCACACCGTTGTTTAACACTTCAAAGTACTACCTGAGGGGCACTGTATAAATGCAGGTGGTTGTTATTGTTCAATTCTGCCCATAGGGATTCTGTGCCATCTTCTACCGTTTACCCTTCAATAATCCAATAGAATCCAACATTAATCTGCCTTCTTCCCTAATTGCTTTCCACATTGTCGCTTAAATGCTTGAATTTACAAAAAACGCGAGGGACGATTCTCCGATAACGTTACTGTTGACTCTGGTGGCTGAGTGAATTGGGTGCTCTGCTAAGATACTAATATGCTAATCGGCAGAAAATTTAAAGATAATTAAATTTACTGGGCACAAATAAATTTACTTGAACGGGCTACTCACTCCCTGAATGTTTTTCATTCTTTGAAGGGTGGTCTTCCTGCCTGGCTGCTACAGAAAAAGTCAATTGTTCTGAGGTCTTCAGATCCAGGTAAGAAGCACACATCACATCTTGGATTCAATCTGCACTCGTAAGGAGTTGTCAGACCGGTTAAATATGCAGCGCTCTCATTTCTGCGTTGGAAGGTTGTGGGTTCAAGCCCTATATCTCACAGGCTAGATTGATATTCTAATACTGTGCTGGGAGAGCGCTGGATGGTTGGACATGCTGTCTTTCAGATGAGGTGTTAAACTGAGTTCCCATTTGCTTGTTAAGTGGATTTTAAAGATCCCATAGTACTATTCCAAATAGAACAGAGTTTCTTCTGGTATCCTGGCCAACAACATTCGTTTTTGCCTGCAAATACACAGTGAAGACACTTTACAGTAAATGCTGCAAAGCTCTTTAGATGTTCCGATGATGTGATGAGGTCAAATATATCGCTCTATCAAATGCATGGGTTGGGAGGTATTCAGTCCGAAACATGTCGAATGTTAAAGACACGTTTCGATTGGACGTTTTGGTGATGTGACTATTATTATCCAGGATTACGATAATTATCGCCAATGTTGTACACCAATAACTACTATAGTTTATTAGATTGGAAAATGTACATCACATACATTAAAAAAAATTATATATCCCATCTTTTATCCCCAACATTCTCTTTGGGACCAGCAACTTGATTTGTCCATCGCCATGCAGCTTTACTGAACATTAGGGTTGTTCTGTATATTTGTCTAACATCAACTTTTGATTTGCAGATTATCTTGCATCTGTTGATAGATGGATGAGTGTTCTTCTGCCAAAAGTCAAACCGTTTCTGTATCAAAATAACGGACCAATTATTTCTGTGCAGGTAATGAATAACATTTTGTGACACTGATGAGTGAACTATTGCTAACATAGGCGAGTGATCCCTACTGGTGCAAATGGTATGCACCATGAAGTGCTATTTCTGGCCATAAAATTGAGAAGTGTTTATTGGTGAGAAGAAAGCGGCTGTTCTTTTTAATTAATACTTCATTAATGTAGGAATTTTGCTTCAGTCCTCAGTCAAAGTGAAATGCACTGACTTAAAAATTATTTTTTAAAGCCAAATATAAGAAGTGACTTAGCAACAGCAGGTACACTGTAGGAGAGTAATTATTTTTCTTTCACAAGTGTTAATAATAATCTTTGAGTTTGATAAAACACTTTTCATATAGAGAGGATGTGTCAAAGCATTTCACAGGATTTTGCCTTCAAAATAAACGGTCGCTGCAATTTACAGTGAAATCCTGAAATCCTCTCACATGAATGGCGCTATATCACATGCATGGATTATTATTATTTACTGCAAGATACAGTGACTATGCATTTTGTAACCGAACAAGGCAGTCAATTTTCTCACAATAGCATCTCTCAAGCAGCCGTGGATTGTTGGCCAGGCACAGAATGTTAAATTTGCAACCGCGTAAACTGTTTGTGTTACAGGTGGAGAATGAGTACGGGAGTTACTTTGCCTGTGACTACGACTACTTGCGCCATCTTGTGAAACTATTCCGGTATTATCTGGGAAACGATGTTGTTTTGTTCACAACAGATGGAGCAGGGAAAAGCTACCTCAAGTGTGGGACTCTCCAAGGGCTTTATGCTACTATAGACTTTGGACCAGGTATGTTAAACTATATATACATATTTACCGATCTATGGGAAATGAACTGGCAAGTGTTCAAGTTTTCAGTTTTTTCACTATCATGAAACAACATTAGGGTTAATAAAGTTACTCAAATGTCAGTAGCTGCTTTATTTTCAATTATACTGGATTAACTTGCCATCACACATACACACACATATATATATATATATATAGGTAACCTCTTAAAGTATATCCAAATTAATCATAAATTATTTAATTTATTTGTGCCCAAGATCATCAGTATTGGAATCAAAATTACAGTAGAGAGACCAGTATCTGCATTAATAGGGACCAGTCCCATTCTGGAAATGAAACAGTGTCGTGTCGTTCATCATGCACAATGGAATGTACAGTGCTAACAAAAACTATCAGGATTCACATCATCACTAATATCACTTGTGCTAACTCACCTCCTTCTCTCTACCCCTTTCTCTCATGTCTCCTTACTTAACGTCAGCACTTTTTGCTTCCAGGCATGCAGTATTTCTCCCTAAATCTCTGCCTCTCTTTCCCCCTCACTTTCTCTCTCTCATCACATACGTGACCTGCATGAGATCACTGAGTGAAAAAATAGATTACCCTGGCTGTTGGTTCAAACGTTCACGCTGGTAAAATTCCCCCTGCTAGTTACAATGCTTTGGAATGGGGAAAAGTGGATATCAGTACTTGATGTAGCACTGATTTCATGTTTCTTTACCAGATAATGGTCAAAAGATAATTCTAGAATATAAGTTAAAGAGTTTTTCTAGGGGCAAGAATTTATATATGAAAAATGTCACCTCGTTCAACAGCAAGGTGACTGTGAGATGGAGAAACTATTCCCTTGCAGGCGGGAGGCAGTGGAGGCGCGTGGGGGGGTGTTGGTGAATCTTTGGGCCTAAACTGTTGCTTAGTGTGGACAGAAGATCACATGGGAACTATTCCCGGCATTAAGTATCGCCCCAAAAGAGTTGTGAAACGCTGCAAATTTACTTCCATTGTCTAACTTCCTCATTCTCCATAGTTTTAAACTATCCTGTATACTGTTTGCTTTGAGTGTGATTATCAAATATTTTTTGGGGGATCTCACCACAATGTGCTGTGTATTGGCAGGTGGCAACGTGACACAATTATTTACAGTCCAAAGGCATGCTGAACCCCGAGGTCCTCTAGTAAGTATCCACTGCCCAAGACTTGGTTAGAATTTACTGCAGTGTTTTAAATAGTACATCAGTATCAACTATAACCATTGCCTGGCATCCATCTAACTGATATCATCCCCAAATAATACAACTCTCTCTTCCTGTTTGTCCAGGGTCTGATGCACATCACTCTCACTAACTTTTCTCCCTTTTACTGTCTTAAATCTAACCAAACAATAATAATCCGTACATTTGATACAGTGTCTCACATTGGGAGGATGTCTTACAGCCATTGCACAGGTTATACTGTAAAGCGTAATGACTTTGTGTTATGGGGGCGAATGCGGCAGCTAAATTGTGCACAACAATGTCTCACAAACAGACATGAAGTGAATGACCAATTTTATTTGGGGATTGTTAGACAGACACTCAGTCCTACCTGCAACATCCTTCCCACCAATAAATCATGTCAGTCTCCCCCTCCCGCCTTCTCTGTCTTCCTTCAAACACTCAGCTTGCAGACTAGACAGCTATTTGTAAGAGATTTAACAGTCCCTTGAGTCATTATGGGATCTCAGCCTATTTATGTCAAAAACCCAGAACTCATTTGTGCTGAATGTTAAATTTCATATTGTATGTGTCCTCCATGTTTTAACAGAAAACTTCAAAAATGTAGACAAGTAGACTCCAAAAAGTAATAATTTATTTGTTTCCTGTTTGTTTTCATTTTTAACTCCCTTTGTATCCTCTTGAGGTTTCACTTCCTGCTTTGGTTGTGACTTTGTTTAGTTTTTTCCACGTACTGCTTTGGTTGTGACTTTGTTTAGCTGTACAGCCTGCTTTAACTGTTTCATTACGTCAGTAATAATGCAGTATCTACAATTAAAGCACATTAAAGCAGGTTCTACAACTAAACAAAGTGCTTCAGGCTGTGGCGATGATTTTGATTTCCACCAAGTTTCATTACTGCTGTGAAAGTTTTATCTGAACAGTAAAATACCTCTGTCATCTTCTCCAGCTTCACTCCCGTGTTCTCACCCTCTGCTTCACAAACTCTGGTCTGCTGCTCGTCATTTGCCCCTCTCCCCTTCACCATTGGTGGCCAAACCTTCAGACACTGTCAGTTCCTATACTCTGGAACTCCCTCCCTAAATCCTTCCATATTCATCTCCTCTCTATCCGTCTTTAAAAACCTACTGAAAACCTACCCCTTCAACCGTAGCTACAGTCATCCACCCCCCCTGCTCACTCCTCTCTGCTTGTTGTCCATCACTATCTCTGTGCCCCATGTGAAAGATACAGTATAAATGTAAGTTATTGTAATATGGAAACATGCCTTATCGTTTTAGGTAAACTCTGAGTTTTATACAGGATGGTTAGATCACTGGGGTCAGAAACACTCCACCATTAATAAAGCATTTGTTGCTAAATCTCTGGATGAAATTCTTGCACTTGGAGCCAACGTCAATCTGTAAGTGTTCATTTATGATGATGCATAAGATTGTCAGCAACTGTACGTTGAGGTTTGTTATTTGAAGTTCTAATTTGCACTTTGATGTCTGCAGATACATGTTTGAAGGTGGAACAAATTTTGCCTATTGGAATGGTAAGACATTTCACCAATAGCTTCATTATTACCAGGTACATTGCTACATTTAATGTAGGTCAATACAGTGTATGAAAATTCATCGTAACCTAGACTAACGTAGTGCAACCGAGTGTAACTCTTGACCAAGAATTCAGCTACTAGATGAATGTTTGCAATTTGTGTCATGTAAAATTAAGCAGTAATGAGTAAAAATTAAGCTTTGAGTAATAAGTAACTCTTAAATTGATGCTCTCTAGTTATTGACTCAATGAAAATAATTTCTCTCTGACTGTCGAAACCTCTCATAATTTTAAAGACCTCTATCAGGTCACACCTCAACCTTCTTTTTTCCAGGGGAAAAAGTCTCAGTTCTTCCAGTGGCTCATATGCCAAACCACTTATTCCTGGTATCATCTGAGTAAATGTCTGCAGCCCTCTATGGCATTGATATCTTTCCTAAAGTGAGGTGACCAAAACTCAACACAATATTCTAACTAATTATTAATATAAGTTTAGCATTACCTCTTTGCTTTTATATTCTGTACCTTATTTATAAAACATAGGATTCCATTAGCTTTTGTAAAATTTTTTATAGAACTTATAATTTTTTTTGTAAATCTTTGGTTACAACTGGAATTTTTAAAAAATGTTTGCACATTATATTTATGGTGTACAAAACGTAAGATGAACTGTACATGAGGTGGCATGATTTGGCATGTAGAAAGTTGAGCCTTGCAAAGTGGCTTGTGGATGGCCCAAGAACTGGTTCAGTTGTGGTGCAAGATTATGACTCTTGGATCCACTGTAGCATGCGCCCAAGTGGCTGTTATATGGCAGCATTTTGTCACAGTTCTTTGGTTTGGACTGACATTCTTAGCTTCATGTTGAAGACTGGTTAGTTCCCCTGCTGTGCTGCCATGGGCTGTAAGTGTAACTCCCAGCGGTGAATAAGATGCGCTGCCTTGCAAAGTTTAGTGAATTTTGCCATGATGAAGGAATCATCCCTCAAATCTCTTCCGCTTGCTTTTTTTTTTGCTCATTTTGTACTTTTTGATGAACATAAAAACAAGATTAGGCTATTCCACCCATCAAAACAGCTCTGTTTTATTAAATCTTTGCCTGAAAGCCCATAGGTTCTCTTCCCACATTTCCATGTTCCTATGCATGACCAGTATGTTAGCCTGGTTCAGAGTTAGCGCTCTCGCCTCAGACTCAGAATATTCAAGCCCCGTGTCGGGACTTGGAACACATAGAATTTAAACTGATACTTTAATGAGGTGCTGGAGGTGTGGCATTTTGGAGGCCTTGGAGGGGGTGCAGAGGAGGTTTACGAGAATGGTTCTGGGATGATGGGGTACAGTTATGAGGAGTCATTCGAGAAGGTGGGATTGAAGCAACCTCTTTGCTCTGTTAGCCAGAACAGGCTTGATGGGCCGAATGGCCTACTTCTGCACTGTTGCTTTCTATGTTTCTGTCAAAATGAGAAGTGCTATACCAAATGCAATAATTATTACTATTATTATGTGTTACTTATGGAGGAGATCCTCATCAGAATGACTGTATTTTAGATGATTATAACTTTTCTAAGTACACAAAATCACTATGTGATAGTTTGGTTAAAGAGAATGAGCCTTTCATATTAGGGAAGTACAAAAGAGCCTGAGTCAAAATGTATACTATTTGATAGCTGAATGTATGCAGAAAAACATGTTACAATGTGCTCTTAATGAATTTTGTTCTTCCAAAGGAGCAAACTCTCCCTATTTGCCACAGGTAACAAGTTATGACTATGATGCTCCTCTGTCTGAAGCGGGAGACCCGACTGATAAGTACTTTGCCATCAGGGAGGTAATACGAAAGGTAAGACGTGGTCACATCTACTAGTCACAGACGTAAATTCGCTAGGCAGGCAATGATTTTATTTTGTTCAGAATATAAACAAGTACCTATAGTAATCCTTACATTTAATATAGTGCCTTATCACGTCATTGAGGTGTCTCAAAGCGTTTCACAGAATATACTGTAAAGTAGAGGGATTGTGTATTTTGTGGGGGAAACGCGGCAGCTAATTTCGCGCAGCAGTGTCCCACAAACAGTCATGGTTTGAGTGACTAATTTTTTTCTCTCTGGCAAGGTAGTGAAGCGTTTCACTCTAAGGGAGTCATTTAATCTATTGCTCATGTTTGTAATCTGTTGCAATTGAAGGATGAAAGGTGATTTACATTCTTATTTTCTTTAAATTAGTACAAAAAGGTACCAGCTGGCCCTGTCCTTCCAGCAACTCCTAAATTTGCATATGGGACTGTACTTGTTAAAAAGGTAATCCAATTTTATAACTTGATTTGTATAAAGTTGTGTTTTTTTTACTCAGGTGCTAGATATGATATGGCAAACAAGGAAGGAGTTTTAGCTTTCTTGTGAAACAGTGTACCGGGGAGAAAACACATGTGGTAAACTTCTACTAATTCCCAAAGGATACTTATTTTATTAGAACAGTATGGTCCTTATTGTAATGCAAATGCACTAACATTACAGTACTTATTAAATATAATTCCCCTGCCCTCTTCATATTATAATATTGAAATAAGTGATTTAGCTTTGCTTTGCATCTGCTGCCTTGTCCCATTCTAGTTCACTCTGTTGATCCCATCTTTTTTTTGCCTACTTTGGTAAAGATTTAAGACGGGCCTGATGGTTGCCCATTCTCGTCACCCTGCAATCTGCATATCTTCTTTTTTTTCTTTTAACTTTTAAAAAGGGAATCTATCTGATTCCTTTTTTAAATAATTGATGGACTTTGCCTCAAGAAAAGAGTTGTTTATCTCATTCACCCTTCCTCACCGAGTTCTGCTCCTTACATACCTGCCCTCTATTTCCCTCTCAGCTCAGAGACAATAGGTTAGTTAATGCTGCCAGAAGGTTATTTACCGGGCTCTGAGACGTTATCCTAAATGACGGGTGCTTTATAAATGCAAGTTGTTGTTGTTGTTGTTACTTTTCATAGATGTTTATATGAAATCTTGTAACTGGCCAATTGGCTTGAATGCACATGCCTTGTTACATGTTTGAAAGATTTTAACTTTATACATTTTGTCATGTTATGTAAGAAGATGCTTGTTTTGAATGAACTCTCCTAAGGTTGTAGTGTGAATCTTCACAATAAATTTGATGTTTGAAATGAAAAGGCAAAACGTACACTGTGTGAAGTACTGGATCACTAACCTGAACTATTTTACAGTTACAGAGTGTTACTGAATTGGTTGAATTGCTGTCCTTTTCTGGCCCAGTCAAGTCCCATTACCCATTGACCTTTGTTGAAATGCAGCAGGTGAGACCCTTTGGTAGTGTCCAGAAGTAGGGATGTGATAGCATTCTCACCTCAGAGTCAGAAGTTTGTGAGCTGAAGGCCCATGACAGTACTTTGAACTTGCATATTCTAAGCTTAAACTACAGTGCATTGCCGGGGATGTGCTGCATTGACAAAGGCGCTATCATTTCATTCTAGAAAGCTAAGTTATGTATCTCTTCATATTTTTAGACTATAACATAAATGCAAAATTTTATGCAACTGATTTTATTCTGCTTTTTCTTATTCAAAGTCTTTTGGCTTTATGCTTTACCGAAATGCACTGCCAAGAAACTGCAGTGATCCCTGCCCCCTCTCCTCACCATTGAATGGAGTCCATGACAGAGCATATGTGACGGTGGATCAGGTAAGATAATGAGAAAGCTTGTGTTACAGTGAATTGGGTGAGGTGATGATGAGTGTATGTGATGGTAGATCAGGTGAGGGTATGACAGAGGCTGTGTTACAGTAGATGGGGTGAGGGTATGACAGAGGTTGTGTCACTGTGGATTGGGGAAGAATGTAAATGTAAAATCTGGCTTTCGGGGTTACTTGATGGCAGAAGCAGCCAATTGGTACAGTCGATCACTCAGAACTGAGGTGATGTGCCTTTTGCAATTTTTCCTTTCTTTTCTGTAACTGTACAACAATACAACAGTAACCTACAATGCTATGGTGATATGACCATAAATGTCATGGATCAGCTTAGCTCAGCTGGTAGAATATTCATCTTTGGGTCTGAAGGTTGTGGCTTCACTTCAGGATTTTAAGACCCAGGTTTAGACTAACTCTCTAGCCTGACCCCGATCATTTGATGGTAGCACTGTTGCCTGTGGGTGAGAAGGTTCTGGGTGAAGCTCCACATTTTAGACAAGTCAGTTACAGATCGCCTGAAACCATTAACTTCAGCTTCCTTAGCTTAACATGAATGGTAGAAAGGTACAACTGTACGGTAGAAAAGGTAGCATAAGAGCATTGGTTTATTTTCTTTCCTTTGATTCATCTATCTCCATGCTAATGCATTGCACCCCCAAAAAATCACAAGTGAATAGGCAGATTTAGATTTATAGAGTCCACTGTGGACTTCTCTAGATGTCCACTATTCTGATTTGAATATCTTTTAATAAATAGTGCAGTTTCTCTGAATTTGTGACCCAACGCTTCCTCTGTTTAGATTGTATCTGATTTTGTCTTTGCTATTTTTAATGTGACACTAAACACTGAAATTAACAGTGGAAAGAGATGGGGGTGTGGGGGAGCAAGGGGAGGGCCAATGAACAGCCAAATAAGAAAACAAGCTTCCACTCGCTCAATGGAGTTGAAAGAAAGCATTGAAAGAGAAAGATCAATCTTTCTCAGAATTATAGAATATGAGCACAGAAAAAAAGTCTCTTCCAGACAAGTCTGAGATGAGCTCAGTTAAGACAGCGTTCTGCATCCTGTTCTGAAACACTGCAACCCTTTTGATGACGGACTCAAAGGTGCTGGGGGCAACTCAGTGTGGCTTTGAGCCCAACATTTACAATAATAATAATCCATGTATTTTGTGTGGTGCCTTATCATGCTGTTGAAACATCTCACAGGGTTTCGCAGGATTTAACTGCAAGGTGTAGGGACTGTATTTTGTAGGATAACCCAGCAACCAATTTGCACACAGCAATTTCCACAAAGGGCCACAAAGTGACTGACTAATTCTATTTGGAGGATTGTTGGCCAGCATTTTGGGAGACAGAAACTCTTCTCTTTTTGAATAGCATTGGGGAACCCCTGAACAGACAGACAGAACTTCAGTTTAGCCTATTAGTTTAGAGCTGGATGCCTCTTTGGGAAAACAAAACAGCCTGTTGATTTTTAGTTGCTGTAAGGTGTGCATTTTGAAATTGGTATAAGTAATATCACAGCTGCTGTTATTATTCTGTATAAATCTCCAACGTATTAGGAATATTTATTATTGGACTCTTCAATTTGTGTTGTGTCAAAAAGAATTTCTGTTTTTTTCCATTTTTGTATAATTAGGTTTTCCAAGGGATACTGGAGAGAAATAAAATCATCTCGATTAACATTACTGGCCGCGCCGGAGCACAGCTTGACCTATTGGTGGAAAACACGGGCAGGATTAATCATGGCAAAGACATCAATGATGCTAAGGTCAGCATCTATCAAGCATTTACAGGCTGGGATTTCTGGGATCCTGTATGGTATGTTAGGTGCTCTGGAAATCGTAGGATTCATTGGAGAGAATCCCAGGATTTCAGGATTGTATACAGGCCAAGCCCAGGGGGAAGGCGAAGGCGGGCCGCTTTCCGCACACTTTGCCATTAGGATGAACAGGTGCTTACCTCATCCAAGAGCCTGCAGTCATTCACTCCGTTAGTATGGAGAACCATCACAGGTGTCCTGGATAAGGTAAAATTTGTCATCCAGGGATTTGGGGATTTAATAATAATAATAATCCTTGCATTTTGATACAGTGCTTTTTACGTCTTCTCGACGTCTCAAAGCGCTTCACAGAATAGACTGTAAAGTGAATTGACCGTATATTTGTGGGCTAAACGCAAATCCTGGGATCGCAACGCCAAGTTGCTATCTGCTATTCTACGTGTTTATTCAAGAGTTCAAAACCCATCATATAGGAACAAAGATATTCAGTATGATGATCTCAGATGACAGTAGCTCAGTAATAATGTACAGCTCTATAGATGACAATAGCTCAGTAATAATGCACCCATTTCTGACAGATTATGGACATGAGTCTCTGTGTTATTTCTCCACAGGGTCTAGTAACAAACCTAACTCTGGCTTCTGATATTCTCACCGATTGGACTATCTTCTCCTTGAACATTGATGAAGTTGTGGCAACTGGCCATTTAAACAAACTCCAGAGGCCTCAGAGTCCCATGTATACACCAGCTACTACAGTGCCTTCCTTTTACGTGGGCGCCTTTCAAATTCCAAGTGGAATCCCTTACATGCCTCAAGACACGTATCTCAAATTTCAAGGATGGTCCAAGGTAGGCACAATTACAATCAAACATCAAAAGATTGTGCAAATGATCATTCAAGTAAACAGGGCTGAACAAGGTTTGATAAGTACTGCAATATAAATCATTTCAGGAGTCAGGAGTTGCTATTTACGATTCCTGCTGTATCACATCTTTGACTCTCTCCGCACCCCCCATCAAAAAAAATAATAATTTGGTCATTCAAACCGTGACTGTTTGTGTGACACTGCTGTGCGCAATTGGCTGCCACGTTTCACCCACAAAATACACAGTCAATCCACTTTACAATATATTCTGTGAAGCACTTTGAGATGTCTCAATGACATGATAAGTCATTATAACACAAGTAAGGATTATTATTATTCCTACTGGTAGAAGCCTATATTCCCAATTCTGTTCAATAAGTATACAGGTACTTTGTAAATGTTCAGCACATTCAGTTTGACGGTTAAAATGCCTGAAAGTTATACTGTGCAGTCCGTGTACCTATAAACCGATTATTATACCCCGTGACTTGGAGGACTATCTGTTTGATGTGTGCTATAGGAATTACTGTAACAGTAATTACTGTTGCTCCTCTGCATAGATAAATAAATAATTCTTGCAGTTGATACTGTGCTTTCACGTCTGGAGGATGTCTCAAAGTGCTTCACAGGATTTAATATGAAGCTCTCCAAGATACTACCCTGTGTGAAGGGTACTATGTCGGTAGAAGCTGTTAAAGTGTAATGAGTGTGTACTTTGTAGGTGAACGCAGCAGCCAATTTACACATGGCAATGCCCCACAAACAGCCAAGATGTGAATGACCAATTTTATCTCAAGGATTGTTGGCCAGGACACTGGGAGAAATTCCCTTCTAGGTGGTATCCTTCTCAACTCCATACAGATAAAGAAGTTGTTTGGGATCTCAGTGCTTCTGTTGACCCTTAAATCACACGTGCTGATAACAAGATAGTGACTAACAACAAATTGGTCTTAAATTGGGAAAAGTTCTACCTGGGTTTACATTTAATCTATGTAGCATTTTTAGAACATTCAAAATTTGTTAAATTCTTAAATACAGCCTTAATTTTGAAGATGGTTTTCTGTAAGGACTCCAAAGTTAAACCTGAAATTGGAATTCAACAATTTGGTCAATTCTGGATGCTCTGAGGTCTACATAAATAGGGTAAGTCCAGACCCAGGTGGAATTCCTCCTCAATAGAGTGCCACATTGACACTGTGGTACAGAAACAGCTACACTCCAACCATGTAGCTAGAGCATGGTGACAGTCAGTGGAGCATGGTGGTAGTCAGTGGAGCATGGTGATAGTCAGTAGAGCATGGTGTTAGTCAGTGGAGCATGGTGGTAGTCAGTGGAGCATTGCAGGGGAAGAGTGGATCTACGTTCACTGTGAAAAGGGTGTTGTCATTCTGATGAGATGTTAAACTGAGGTCTCATCTGCTTGTTCAGGTGGATATTGTAGGAAAAGTTGAAGGGAGTCGCTCTCTATACCGTGACCAGCAAGTCCCCAAATAAGATTGGTTACTCACTTCAAGACTGTTTGTAGGACATTGCTGTGTGCAAATTGGCTGCCACATTCGCCTACAGAATACCTACTCACTCCACTTTACAGGAAATCCTGTGAAGCACTTTGAGATAAAGTTCTGTACAAGGATTATTGTTACACTGACTAAAGTGCTTTGAGCGGTTTCAGCATTATAGGCACTATAAACGTTTTGCATAGTTGAAGCATGCGTTTGAGAGACCTAATGAAAACATGTTTTTCACAAATGTGAGTGACAATAAAGTAACGACCAGATCTCAGTCACGTTACTTCCTGAGTTGGTCACATCTCACACTGACAATGAGATGTAAAGATTCAAACAAATTAATAATTTAACAGTTGTAAGCCATTTTTAGATTTTCTGTCTTACAAGCAAGACAGTCTGTGTTTAAACATTTGGTTTATTTTTAAAAATAAATTGCTTTAGAAAATGAGTATTAACTTTTATCTAAGCAAGTATTTTGTGCCAACATCAGTTGGAAAACTTTTTAAACCAATAGATGTTATCGTAGGTACACCTTCAAGGTGTTATGATAAATAGAGGTTTTACTTATTCTCTTAGCTTTGATAAAAGTTGTGGCATTTAGTTAAGTAGTATCTGGAATAGATGTATTAGTCATGTTCTCTTCGCATCCTGCGTTGGCGGCTTTACATCTTTGTTATTGCATTCCTACTCGCTGCAAATGATATAAAAACAAATCTTGAGTCAAAAATTTGCCCCTGGATCAAAATTTTTTAGGTTTAAGCCCAGGTTAATACAGCCTCTCATGATCTATATCGTCTTGCCCCTTTAGAATCTGAAAGACAGCAATCATGTCGCCTCTCAATCTTCTCTTTTCCAGCGTGAACATGCCTGATTTACTTAGTTGCTCCTCATAGTCCAGTCCTTCCATTCCCTCAATCATTTTGGTTGCCTTCCTCTGTATCTTCCTGATTTCTCCAATATCCTTTAGGTACTGCGACAACCAGAAGTATGGTCTCACCAATGATTTATACAGTGGCAGGATTATCCCACTATTTCAGTTTGCTATTGATCTTTTGATACATCCCAACATCTGGTTTGCTTTTCTCACTGCCACAGAGCATTGTTAGGAGAGCTTCAATTTATTATCAATCAGGGCCCTCAGGTCCTTTTCATTTTCCATATATATTATTTTCCTTCCATTCAAATAATAGTTCCAGGATTTTTGTCCCCATGTGAAGTACTTTACATTTCTCCACGATGAATTTCATCTGACACTGATCTGCCCAATTCCCAAGTATGTTCAAATCCTCCTGTAACCTATCTTGTTCAGCTTTGCAATCTGAATTTAAAGATCCCATGGCACTATTTGAAAAGAATCCTAGCCTCCAGATAAATGTGTCACTTACTTCATTAATTGTTTGTGAGATCTTACTATGTGCAAAATAATAAGAATAGGCCTTTCATTTGATATAGTGCCTTATCACGTCTTTGAGACGTCTCAAAGTACTTCTCAGAATATACTGTAAAGTGAATTGACTGTAAAGTGAAATGCTGAAATGTGGCAGCCAATTCTAAAGTCTGATAGATGGTGGTGTATTTCTTACTAATCCATTGGAACTCAGTGCCTCGGTAAGGCTGTTTTTCAGGGAAACAAATTTATGTGAAAATGTAGAAAAAAACCAAGAATAATTAAATGCATAATTCTGAATGCATTTCCATTTTTAAAAAATAAGTTGTATTGCTGAAAGTACAGTATGAGATGTCTTGTTAAATACTTGTGTAAATTTTGTATTCTGAAATTAAATCTTGTAATCTTTGATACTTTGTTTTATTAGTTAGACATCTATTTTTGATAACCTTTCATGCTCAAGAAACATTTACAAATGTTTTTGCATTGATTATGTAAAACAAGAGCAAACATTGAGAGGCTTTTTAAAAAATATATAGGTTATTTACTTTTGTATGTGATCTTACCTCATGTCCTTAATCACATAACTTGCTGATTTACATTAGATGTTTACAGTGGGACCACGTACTTTGGTTAAGAGGAAGCTCTACACAGGGGAATGGTGGGATACTCTGATATTCAGGATAGATCAATTGAACCAACTTTGTATCCCACTGTTCTCCAGTACATTCTATTACTATAAGCGTTGGATAATTCTGCCTTTAATACAAATTTTAGTTTGAAATAGGTTATTTCAAAAATGCTTCTAATATCACGTTGTCATGTGAGCTGCCTGCTAGCTTCTCAGACTGCTACCTGCCATCTTGAACAAAAGCATTGAGCATTGTATTTGCAAGACTATGTGGTCCTAATTCTATATGGTTAAGTCACATAATACTTTCTTGAATTAGTTAAATAGGATGCGAATATTTGCACAAGATCAGATTATGTAAAAAGCAGTTCTTTTGTCAACAGAAAGATGTTATGTTTTTTCTTCGCAACTTGAAAATGTATCAAAAGAAACATTTGCGTATCCCAAACATTTTAGTTTCAGGAGTTTTTTGTATAAATCATCTTGCTGCTCATCAAGCTGAAGTATCTCAGTGCCTGATTATAGAATACTGTATAGTGGTGTTAGAAAATAAAATCAGCCAAATCTGTAAGGAAATAACACTAATTCCTCTAACCAGATATCAGACTGTTTTATTATTGGAGTCCTGTAGCTCAGTGGTTAGAGCACTCGCTTTGCAAGTGAGAGACCTGAGTTCAATTCCAGGCAGAGGGCGAAACCTTGGGCAAGTTTCCTTACTCCACACAGAGCCTAATAATAGTCCCTCCAAAACAAAACAATAATAAATTGGTCATTTTCAATCCACGACTGTTTGTGGGACATTGCTGTGCGCAATTGGCTGCCGCGTTCGCCCACAAATATACAGTCAATTCACTTTACAGTGTGTTCTGTGAAGCGCTTTGGGACGTCCTCCTGACATGAAAAGCGCTATATCAAATGCAAGGATTATTATTGTGGAGTCCTGTAGCTCAGTGGTTAGAGCACTCGCTTTGCAAGCGAGAGACCTGAGTTCAATTCCAGGCAGAGGGCGAAACCTTGGGCAAGTTTCCTTACTCCACACAGAGCCTAATAATAATCCCTCCAAAACCCAAAACAATAATAAATTGGTCATTTTCAATCTACGACTGTTTGTGGGACATTGCTGTGCGCAATTGGCTGCCGCGTTCGCCCACAAATATACAGTCAATTCACTTTACAGTGTGTTCTGTGAAGCGCTTTGGGACGTCCTCCCGACGTGAAAAGCGCTATATCAAATGCAAGGATTATTATTATTATTATTATTATTATTATTATTCGTTCGTTATTCCCCAATATCCCGATGGGTCAGACCAAAGGCCGGTACTATCAACAGATCTTATAACAGAATAACACCACTATAGATATCTCGAGTTCAAGAGTTCAACACTGTGTCTTTCCAGCACACAAGCTTGATTCTTCATGCTTTCAGTCTTCTTGCTTACAGCTTTCAATCTTCCATCTGATATCCTCAGTCTTAGTGTTTCCAGCTCTCAGTCTTCCATCTCCGTACCCTTGTCTCCACAGCCCGGGATGGCCCCATCTCCCGTACCCTTGTCTCCACAGCCCAAGACGGCTCCATCTCCTGTATCCTTGTCTCCGCAACCCGGGACGGCACCGTACACAAAGTTAACGGAACTCTTATACCAATCACCCGGTCGAAATCATGCTGGGTTCACGTGAACACCTCATGGGGTGTACGTGCCTCAGCGCACATACACATTGTCCTTAAGACCCCTGTTATCTGATGCTTGTTATTTTGTGGTGTGGGATCATTAGTACATTCCTTTTAAGTGACTGGTTATTTCTTATCAGTATCCCGGGATGGTACCAAGGCCCTCTAGTTTAAGTAACTTGCTCATTAATTGCTATTCTTGAGGGTTGCCTTCTGTTGCTTGGCAGTCCCTGTCAGAATCTAGCGACTTATTGCTCAGTCGAGATCCTGTGTCGACCGGTACCTTGGACCGTTACCTCTGTGGGCTTGTTGTCATTTACTGATAAGAGGTGACCCCCTGCCCCTGTCTGTTATTCTTTCAAAAACAGAGAAAACCAGATGTGTCCTATCCCATGACTGTCAGTCCAGTTGTCCCCCACACTTAACTTAAAAGTTAACCCATTCACAACATCTATTATAATTCTAGCAGTATACAAAAAGTGTAAATTCTAACAGTGGTGTAAATTGAGTAGCTCCTCAACAGATTAAATGTGTTAATACATTGAAATTCATGAAGAAACCTTTACTAATAATGATAATAAAAATAATAATAATCCTTGTACACGGCCATATTCCACAAACAGACCATTTTATTTGGGGGATTTTTGGCCAGGACACCAGGAGAAACACAGTTTTCAAATAGTGCCATAGGAACATTATCATTCACTTGAACAAGGAGTTGGGACCTTCATTTAATGTCTCATCCGGAGGATGGCACCTCCTACAATGGAGTGTTCCCCCAGCACTGTATTGAAGCCATCTCACTGTATAAGCTCAGCAGTTGGAAATCCCAACAACTATAGCAATAACCTGCATTTAAGCGGGTAGTATCTCAGAACTCTTAGATCCCACAGAGCTTGCAGGTTTGAACAGATTCAAGAGATATTTAGAAACTATTTGGTGAAGAATTCAGTCCAAGATTATGAGAGAGAGCGAGTAGTATAGTGTATTAGTTTAAAGTTATTTTTGAATTTCCTCTGTAGCAAGCCAATGCTCATTTCCAGCTTGTACATTTCTAAGTTCCTGTGTTAATTGCAATAGACAGTGTGAAATGAGTTCTGACCCAGAAAATAAAACAAGTAGAGATGAAAGAACACTACATCTAGAAAATATATTTGTCATCTCTGGGGATAAAAATCATTTTGAGAAAGAAGCTAACATATTAAAGCTTATTCTTGACACATAATGAATTACATGCACTCTTGATATCACCTGGAGTCAGCAGCTCTGGTACAGCAGCACCTGGAGTCAAGAGTATAGCTTCCTGTTATCCTCAGGTGACCGACATCAATTCATTTAATAATTGTTAATAGTAATATTTAGTTATCTGACCCAAATGGTGAAGAAATACACATTTGAATGCATGCGGGGCGGGGAGGGAGTTTTAGAAGGCAGCTTTGTTTAGTAGGTAATGTTATAATAATCCTTTCATTTGATACAGCGCCTTTCATGTCAAGAAGACAAATCAAAATAATAATAATAATAATAATCCTTGCATTTGATATAGCGCTTTTCACGTCTTCTAGATGTCTCAAAGCGCTTCACAGAATATACTGTAAAGTGAATTGACCATATATTCGTGGGCGAAACGCAGCAGACAATTGCGCACAGCAGTGCCCCACAAACAGTCGTTGATTGAAAATGACCAATTTATTATTGTTTTGTTTTGGAGGGATTATTATTAGGCGTGTGGAGTAAGGAAACTTGCCCAAGGTTTTGGACTGCCTGGAATTGAACCCAGGTATCTCGCTTGCAAGGCGAATGCTCTAACCACTGAGCTACAGTGCTTCAAAGTGCTTCACAGGGTATTCTACAAAGTGGAGTCAATGATTTTGCAGGCAAATATGTCAGCCAGCAATGCAATGTCCCAGAAACAGCCATAAAGTGAATGACCAAGTTTTATTTAGTTGGCCACGGCACCGGGAGAAACTCCCTTCTCTTTTCAAATAGTGCCATGGGATTGTTAACGTCCACCTGAACAGACAAAAAAAACACAATTTAAAGTCTCATCCAGTGGACTGCATCTCCCAACAATGCAGCGCATCCCCAGCATTGCATTGGGGTGTCAGCTTACACAAGATGAGTTCCAAGACAAGGGGCTTAAACTCACAACCTTCTAACTAGAGGCGAGACGGCTACCAACTGAGTCAGGCCATGATATTCCCTCAGTGTTTCTCTTGCAGTCAGACAGTGTTATTTGAGTGTTAAAGTTGAATCGGGCGAGCTCCAGTACATGAACGATATGAAAGAAGCCTTGTGAAGCTGTGGTAAATTCATTTGTGATGTTTGTGGTATAATGTTGAGTCCTCTACTGTGGTGCAGCCTAATCATTAGTCATACATTGAATACTTTAGTCACCTCATTTCCTTTCTTCTTCCAGGGTCAGGTGTGGATCAATGGGTTTAATTTGGGTCGCTACTGGCCAACCAAAGGCCCACAATTGACCTTGTACGTTCCTGCTCACATTCTTACGACATCTGTGCCGAACAACATCACGGTGCTCGAGCTGGAAAGAGCACCTTGTGGAGAAGAGCTGAACACACCTTGTGCTGTGGAATTTGTAGACACTCCAGTGCTGAATAGCACAACTACTGACAGAAACAAACTATTTCAAAAGGTTTCTTGGCTTGATAAATACCAAGGCATTGGTTTTTATTAAAATGTTCTGTTTTCTAATTATAAATTACCTTTGTGGGTCTATGGTATGAATTGTGCATGCTTAGGAAATGGGATTCTGCAATTCTTTTGTTTGGTGGCATAAGTAAGGGCACCTGTAAGTCCCTCTGCACTTTACATCAGTTTACAGTTTCTTTACACGACTTGCATAATAATGGGCTTAATTTATGAAACTCGCAAATTGGATGGATGGCATTAGTTGCATCTTTATGAAATTCACAACGGGTAAGTTTCAAATTGTAGGTTCCAAATGTTGAGTCCTGTGGCTCAGTGGTTAGAGCACTCGCCTCACAAGCGAGAGACCTGGGTTCGATTCCTGGCAGGACCAAACCTTGGGCAAATTTCCTTACTCCACAAGCCTGATAATAATCCCTCAAGAAAAAACACACAATAATAATTTGATCACTTCAATCAACAACAACAACAACAAGATTCCATTTATAAAGCGCCTTTCACGTCAGGAGGACGTCCCAAGGCGCTGCACAGTTGGGTCATGACCCGAGCAAGGGGGGAAATGGTCAGGGGAAGGGGAGGGGGAAGGAGGGGAGGGAGGGAGGGAGGGGAGGAGTAGAGAGTCGAGAGGGGAGCTGAAGGCTCGGTCAAAGAGAAAGGTTTTGAGACCGGCCTTGAAGGAGGAGAGGGAGGAGGCGGCGAAGGCACTGTGGGATAGAGTTCCAGAGCCTCGGGACTGAGAGGCTGAAGGCCCGACCACCGATGGTAGGGCGGTTGGGGCGGGGGACGTGGAGCAGACCGGAGCCGGAGGAACGGAGGGTACGGGCAGGTAGGTAGGGGGATAGTAGGTTGGAGAGGTAGGAGGGAGCAAGGCCGTGAATGGCCTTGTAGGTGAGGATGAGGATCTTGAAATCAAATCCACGACTGTTTGTGGGAAATTGCTGTGCACAATTGGCTGCCACATTTTGCCTGCAAATAAACAGTCAATTCCCTTTACAGTATATTCTGTGAAGCGCTTTGAGACATCTCGAAGACTTGAAAAAGCGCTATATCAAATGCAAGGATTATTATTATAAATTCTCAAAGACAGGAAAGTTCAAAAGAAAGGCCGGTAAGTAAAAGCACCGTCCATTTCCCAATGGCGTTCTGCTCACCAGCCTTTCTTCAGATTTTGCCAGCTTAGAATGTGACAACTGGGATTTTCGCAAAGCGAGTGTAAGGAAACTTTTACTGGCCATATAATAAAATAGTGTGCACACGATTTGCAGTGTTCCCCAGCACTGTATTGTAAATGTCAAACAATTGTTTCATTTATATGAGAATTCAGCAGTCAGTGATCATAAAAGTATTAACCACTATCACTAGACACAGCAATGGTGACAACCAGGTAGGGGGGAATAAAGCAGTCATTAGTTACCTATCCCTCGGGAGAGCAGCAAGCAGTTGTGAGGCGGTCTTCGTTGGATCTGCATCTCACTTTTACTGGCTAAAGCTCCCTCGATTATACCACAAAAGTCTAACTTTAGAGAGAGGCACGTAACAGAGAACTCATTGGTCCAACTGTCTAATTACGTCTGCATATGTATCAACAGTGGTCTCACCACAGTGACCCTCAGGTGTGGTGGAAGTAGCTCATGTCTTTGTTCCAGTTCTTATTTGCTGATCGATAACAAGATCTCAGTGGGGTGAGAAATTAAACCACAGGAAATAGTATTGGTGAAATAATAGAATTTGAATTTCCTGCTGGACTGTTATCTTACAGAAAAAGGAACTGGTTGCACACCCTTGACTGTCCAGACCCCTAGGAGTCCTCCCGACAAATAAGGCACTTTATAAATGCAATTTGTTGTTGTTGTTACAATCATAATTGACTCAAGGTCACCAGATGTCTTCAGGACTTTTCCATGTAGTTAGTATTTTTATTTTAACTCTTTCCTTACACGGGTGTTGCAATTAATGCGATAAATCTGGTTTACGAATTTTTAAAATGAGAGTCCCATACATACCAGTTTGCACATGATTGTCACATGGTTTGCATATCTCGCATAATAGATCTTTACAATTTGTTTTTCTATTTTTAATGAGAATAAATGAAATGAGAGTATGTTTTGCTTTAGTTTTTCAAGTTATTGCTAACTTGGCGAAGGTTTCATCAGCTTAACAACTATTTTAAAGAGCAGAAAATATTTTGACAGAATTATAACAGCCAAAAATCATATCAGGTTTAAATTAATGCTCTTTCTTTAAGTTAATGCTAGCTTTTTTTTCACGGAGGGCAAAAATATCAGGGAAGGGTTAGCGATGAATGTCGATGAAATAAGTTATACTTTGTCATTTGTACATTTTTTTATTTTTATGCTGCCATCTCTTTGTGATATCTAAATGAGAATAAAATGCTTGACTATCATTTGTATAACTGAATAACTGAAACATGGTAAGGCAGGTATGTAACTGGGAATTGTGAGGCAGCAATGCAGATAAACACCTGGCCAGTAAAAAGATTTGGGGATGTAGCAAAATAGCTGGAAGTGTGAATAACAAAAAAAGGAGGGTGATAAAGAAGTACAAGTTAGCAGTGGTACAGACACAGTGGGCCAAATGGCTTTCAGTTGTGCTGCAAATTTCTTAGCATTTGTCTTTCTTCATTCTCACCTCCTCTATACACTGTAGGATTGGGTCACCAAGATCTGTTGGGAATTTCCTGGGGAGAATTGTTGCAAACCTTTCCAGTATATATGGGCTATGAGAAATAACGAAGCCATCTACGGACGTAGGCTATGAGATACGACCTCAGAGCTGAGTGGAGTCCCAACACGGCACATATATTTATAGCTGACTGGCTAGCAAACGCATGTTGAAGAGAATTATAGAGCTTGAGAAGACCCATTCCGTCTCAATAACTCGGAAATGTACAACAATAGCAGTTTTATATTGATATGTAACTGACCGGGAGTTGGTGGGTGGGGGGGTGAAGGTGACCAAACAGAATCAAAGAAAGAGGTTTTGAGGAAGATTTTGAAGAGGGGAGAGACTACAGGATCGAGTTCCAGAGAGCAGGAATAGCCAAACGCTCACCCACTGGTAATGACCAGAGATAATGAGGGAACGTAAAACAGACTGGAGTTTGCTGAGGAAAAATTAAGGGTGTACAAATCATTGACATAGCCCTTGGGCTACTAACTACAAGTCTGCTCACTGTATCATAAAACACTTCTTGTTTTAGGAGGAGGTACAGGGAAGGGAACTCGATTGATAGAAAGAATGGAATTATAAGGAATATAGGAACAGGAGTAGGCCAATCAGCCCCTTGAGTCTGTTCCGCCATTCTGTTATATCATGGCTGATCTGTACCTCAACTCCAATTACCCATCTTTGCCCCATATCCTTGTGAGCTCCACAGCCCTGGAATGCTTCATGATTCATGCTTAGCCTTAAAACGGTTACAATATAAATTTACATTTATATAATGCCTTTCACATTGAGATTGTGAGTGTTCTCAATGGCAAGCTATGCAGTTTGAGTTGGACAGATTCCAGCAGTACCCCAACATGCACACTGGGATCCCCAAGCCTTGGCTCTTGCCAACCTGTGCCAAATGCTTTCAGGAAATAGGTAAGCAAGATGTTTTCCTCCAGGGAGAGAGTGCACATTCCAATTCTTTCTGGTATTTCCATGTGCAGGTAGGATAATAATAAGAGTAATAAAAATCCTTGCATTTGATATAGTGCCTTATCACGTCTTCAAGACGTCTCAAAGCGCTACAGAGAATATACTGTATTATCTTATGGGTGAAATGCAGCAGCCAATTGATTAACAACTGGGTTCCTACTTACTGCTAGGTAAACAGAGCTATGTGTAGTAAGGAAACTTGCCCAACATTTCGGCCTGCCTGGGACTCGGCTTGTGAGCTGAGTGCTCTAACCACTAAGCTACAGGATTCCACGATGTATGGAATTTTCAGTTTGATTTGGATACTCAAGCGTGGTGATGGGTTCCCGCATGAGTCAGACCCCGGCTGTCCAAAATAAACATTTGAGATGGGGTTGTATTAAAAAAAATTTTTCCCCCCATGTTCTTAAGGCTAACATTATGTGGAATTTCAGATTCTCTGTGTAATCTAGTGATGTTTGATCTGTATCATACCATTGAATCATGGACTACTTTTCAATGAGGATTGTTGATGTTTCCAGGAAAATTTGCGTCACACCTTTTCATATGAAGTAAGTCAGTTTCCAATTTCTGGTTTATGTTTTGGAGTGAATAAATAGATTTGCTCATTGTAAAATTTATATTTAGTAAAATTCATGCACCACTAATTCAAGGCATGGACAGAAATCAGTAAGTACGATTTAAAAAGAAGTGTTTCGCAGCATGATGAGTGGTATGTGGAAAATGAGTAAGCCTTTCACACTATTGCGAAATTTCACTGCCATGATTGAGGAGCAAGCAGCCAACTACAACAATAATAAAATTACATTTGTAAAGTGCCTTTTAAGTTGGGAGGACATCCCAAGATGCTGGACAGACAGAGTTATGGACCCGAGCTGGGGGTTGGGGTGGGGGAAGGTGGAGGGCAGGGGGGGGAAGCAGGGAGATTGAAAGCATGGTCGAAGAAGAGGGTCATCAGATGGGTGTTGAAGGTGCGAGGGAGGGGGTGAGGTGGAAAGACTGCGGGATAGAGTTCCAGAGGGTGGGCGCAGAGTGGCGATAGGCCTGCAAGATGGAGTGTGCAACCATGGATGGTGATGCTGTCAACGCCTGAGGTGAGGAGACGCTGACAGGAGCCAATCAGGAGGGCCTCGGTCTTGTTGGCGTTCAACTGAAGAAAGTTAGCTCTCATCCAGGACTTGATGTCTGACAGGCATGCCGTCAGGACAGCAGTGGTCCTGGAGTCAAGGGTGGAGGCAGAGAGGTAGATTTGGGGTCATCCACATACATGTGGAAGTTGATCCCATGATGTCACCCAGAGGGAGCATATTAAATATTAAAGAGAAGGGGACCAAGGACAGAGCTCTGAGGAACGCTGTACGAGACGGTGTGGGGGCTAGAGGAGAAGCCGTTTGTGGAGATGAAGTGAAAGCGGTGTGAGGTACGATCTGAACCAGTCAAGGATAGAGCTATTGAGGTGAGAGGAGAGGTGGTGGATGAGGATAGAGTGGTCAACAGTGTCAAAAGCAGCAGAGAGATCAAGGAGGACGAGGAGGCAGAGTGAACCCTGGTCGCAGATGGACAGAATGTCATTTGTCACTTTGACCAGGGCTGTTTCTGTGCTGTGGGCAGCATGGAAACCCGATTGGAGGGGTTCGAGAATGGAGTGGCGGGAGAGGAAGGAGCGAAGCTGAGAAGCAGCAACCCGATCCAGGACCTTAGAGAGGAAGGGGAGGTTGGAGATGGGGTGGTAGTTAGGGAGTAGAGAAGAGTCCAGGGAGGGGTTTTTAAGGATAGGAATGATGACAGCGTTTTTTAATGGGATGGGAACAGAACCAGGAGCGGGAGCTGTGAAGAAGGCTGACTGAGGAGGATAGGTAATTGCGGGAGGATGCCCAGAGGGTAAGGAGTTCAGATGAAGACAACCAAGTGGTGGTAGGGCGGGGCGGCCATATAAAGATGAGTACTGATCCAAATGCAGACACACAATGGCACTCTGTTATAATAATAATAATAATAATAATCCTTGCATTTGATATAGCGCTTTTCACGTCAGGAGGACGTCCCAAAGCGCTTCACAGAACACACTGTAAAGTGAATTGACTGTATATTTGTGGGCGAACGCGGCAGCCAATTGCGCACAGCAATGTCCCACAAACAGTCGTAGATTGAAAATGACCAATTTATTATTGTTTTTGGATTTGGAGGGATTATTATTAGTCGTGTGGAGTAAGGAAACTTGCCCAAGGTTTCGCCCTGTCTGGAATTGAACTCAGGTCTTTCATTATTTCATTGTGTTGCATGTAATTTATGTGATTTACTTCAGAGCAATTATACCATTCAGCCAGCATCAAATAAAAGCAAAGCAACAAGCAATCTCTCACAAAGAAATGCGGAGCTGTTTTTGATGCCACCTTAATTACTTACCGACATGTAATATGCTAACTGGCGCACAGACCCTTCTCACTGGACTTTGCATTTCACTTCTCCTGGGTGATGACATTGGAATCCTGGATTTATTCTGAACCAGTTAGACCACAGTCACATGCAGTGTGAATTACTCTAACCTTGGTGCTCTCTTTTTCACCATCTTTAGGCTCCCACCACTTGTAGACACGGAGTCCACTTCCCATGAATGACTCAACTCTCTGCCTCTAACCTCAACTCCAGGACCACTGCTGTTTTGACCAATTCCTTGTCAGACATCAATTTAAAGGGGGAAGTATTAAGCAGGGTGCCTCAGGGTCTGTACTGGGACCCTTCCTATTTCTCTTATATATTAATGACCTGGATTTGCAGACCAGAATAGTTAAATTTGCAGATACAACCAGCTGGGGAGAATTGTGGAGTTAGAGGAGACAGCAGTGGTCTTACAAAGATAGCTTGATAGGGTATGCACATGGGCTCATAACTAGCAGATAAAGTTTAATACAGATAAACGTAAAGATAAACAAAGTAAAGATAATGTGGAGTCCTGTAGCTCAGTGGTTAGAGCACTCGCTTTGCAAGCGAGAGACCCGAGTTCAATTCCAGGCAGAGGGCGAAACCTTGGGCAAGTTTCCTTACTCCACACAGAGCCTAATAATAATCCCTCCAAAACCCAAAACAATAATAAATTGGTCATTTTCAATCTACGACTGTTTGTGGGACATTGCTGTGCGCAATTGGCTGCTGTTTTCGCCCACAAATATACAGTCAATTCACTTTACAGTGTGTTCTGTGAAGCGCTTTGGGACGTCCTCCCGACGTGAAAAGCGCTATATCAAATGCAAGGATTATTATTATTATTATAAACAGCCATCACATGTAGAGAATGACCAATTTAGTTAGAAGATTATTGCCAAGTATACCCAGAGAGACTCCTCTTTCCCAATAGTTTGATGGATCTTTGTTTTCTGGTGTGAAAGCATGCCAGAAGGTGACAAAGAATGCACTTTACAAATTGAGCTATACAACTCCCTTAAGACACAGATGTCTTCTTCAATTCATTGACACCAGAATCAGACTCCACTCAACCTTCATGCTATTGGGTATAAATATTGTCACCATTCATGCACCAAACTCAAATTGTTGCCATTACCAAGCCAGACATAATGTCTGTATATTTCTTCAGGGAGAATCATCAAGCCCGACATCAGGAATTTGAACTCAAAGCTTCAATTCAGTGCTGGGGAACTATTGCATTGTCAGAGGTGCTGTTCTTTGGATGAGGCATTAAACTGCGGTCCCATCTGCCTATTCAAGTAGATGTTGAAGTTCCACTGGTACTATTCATGGCTGCTTGTAAGACATCGTTGTGTGCAAATTGGTTGTCACGATCGCCCACAAGATGCATACACTGAAATACACGATACTTACAGATTATGAAAAGCTTTGGAAGTGCTTTAGACATTTTTAGGTGTTGTATCATATGCAAAGATTATTATTAAGTCATTCTACCCTTACAGTCAAAAGACTTTTCGGGAACTTTAATGAGATTAAGTTATGCTGACAATTAACAGAAGCAGACCTAATCTCTTCTGAACTGCAATTGTTTCTTTTTTAGGTATCACACACTCTTTATAAGGTTAATACATATTCATTCGCAATATATTGTGACTATATTGTATGACTCAGTTTGTAAGGTGCATTCTTTGTCACCTTTTGGCATGCTTTCACACTGGAAAGCAAATATATATATATGTATATATATTCACAGTGTATAAAAAAAACCTTCCTCCCCCTTCCCCTGGCTTGGGCCCAGGATTCATTACTGTAAAGTGGTCTGAGACGCCGTCCGGCGTGGAGGGCGCTATATAAATCCAAAGTTGTTCTTATTGTTGTTATCTTCATCAGAAAACAGAAATATTTTGATCTGATGTAGGCATTAGCCAAGAAACTCAAATCCAGAAATAAAAAGCACAAATACAATGAAATGGGTGAATCACCAAGTCAAAAAATATTATAAGGTCAAAAAGGAAGCATTTCTCTGCCTTAACTATTAACCTGACTTTACGTAATTGGGGTAACAGATGATGCTCTATGTAATGCTAAATAACACTATATTGGTGATTATATGGATATAATCTATACACTGGCCTCCATCAGGATACAATCCACCAGCTACTGGAGCATGGCTGATGTAGTTTCATCTCAAACCCTATGCCTGAATTCATTCAACCTGCACCGTGGGGAATTCAGACATACAAAGGAGTAGTTTTGTGCAGCATTTCCAGGCATTTTGAGCGTGTCAATTACCCTTTGTGAGACTAGAAACAAGCAAATGTGGTTTTCACATGCAGGACTCACTTGGTCTTACTCATTGATAGACACCTGCCAAAACTCTGATCACAGGTTCCTCCTGATATCACAATACCTACAAATTTAGCTGCTGGGTTTTTTGTCATTTTTATACTTACTTTAGTTGAATTCTTTTACAGCCTTTCTAGGAACATAACATTGGGAAATACCATTCAGTCACTTCTTTCTGTACTTCTGTGGACCAACTGTGTCAAGACATTTGATCTATAAAATTCATTGAGTTCTCCTCTTGACTGTAAGTTTGTTCTGTTCTTGCCATGCCCAAATGATTGTCTCTCATGAGTTTTCCAGTTTAATGGGTCTGTAGTTGTCATCTTTCTAACAATATGAGAGCCGCATTTGTTTCTAGTCTCACAAATGGTAATTGACACTCAAAATGCCTACCAGTGCTGCACAAAACGACTGCCTCGTCTGTCTAAATTCCCCAGGGCGCAGTCAATCCACCCTAGAGTATTTACTGTTTTTCAGTCCTAAGAATTTAGCCTATTTAGGAGAATTATGTTGGGTATCAAATTTTTAGTGTTCTTACTTTGTCACTGAAAATCTTCCAAGAAGTAGTCATTTGATACATTTACGTTTATGGGTAGCCATTTCATATACAGATACTTCCTGTTTGTCTACTATTTATGCACCCCTTGAGTCTCTTTGCTAACATAAGATTTTAACTTCTTCCCTTACTATTCTCTTTTTGGAAGAATCTTTAGCATTATGTTTTGGATCCCTTTTGGATCCCTTTTCCAATTCTTTCTTGGCTAATTGTGTTCTGTGTGTTCTGTGAAGCGCTTTGGGACGTCCTCCCGACGTAAAAAGCGCTATATCAAATGCAAGGATTATTATTATTATAATTAATTTTTATCCTATATAGATTTGTACTCAGACCGTGGGCACCTTCTCCTTACAAAGTTTGTAAATTTTCCTATTCCATAAACTTTTAATTTTCATATTGATCCATTGGATCATTTTTGTTGTATTTGCCCTGCTGAACTTGGGTATGCTTTTATCCTTCAAACTCCACATAATGATTTTGAAGGATTCCCACTTATGCTCGACAGATTTATAATCTATTTTCTGCATATACAGAGTCAGCCTGGCTCAGTTGATAGTCCTCTGATCTCTGAGCTAGAAGATTGTGAGTTCAAGCCCCCACATCAGCACTTGTTGCTAATAGTTTAGGCTGAAATCACAAGCAACTATTGGATGAGACATTAAACCAAGATCTCACCAGCCTGGGTATGTGGACATCAAAGATCACATTCACAATTAGAAAGGAACTGTTCTTTCATTTTGTGACCATTTCTTGGAGATATGAATGCAGATTTGCATACAAATTCACAGGCTCTACATTGTACATAAAACTCGAAAAAGTGCTTTGAGATTTTTCAGTGAAAATTGGCACTAAATCAAATGCAACGTTTATCATTATGTATATATCTGCTAGTATGCCCCTTTGTTCTTTCATTTGATCATGTGGTTTTGCTCGACCCAGGACACTACGCTTTCCAATTACAGAAAACAGGAAATGTAGCATTTCCTCAGTTTCAAATTCTGTAAGATTTGATCTCCTATCAAACAAAGCCTCACGCTGCCTCAACTGGTCATCTATCTACTTGACAAGAATACCTGTGCCCTGCTGTGCAATAAAGTGTAAGTGATTATTCACACTTTTTTTTGTTTAAAAAATAATTAACATATTAAATATCTGTGAAATTGATCCACATTATTTGAAAGATTATTGAGTATAGAATGAATCCAGCACGGATTACTGTAATTTGCACTTTATTTAGGAGCAGCAATAATTATTGATGTCAGTGAGAGCTTCTCATTAACTGATTAACATTTGCAACTGTTGGCAGCACCGTATATCAGAAAACCGTGAAATGTTATAGCACAGAAATGTGACTACTCAACCCAACCCATCTGCGCTGCTGTTTATCACCTGATTCTCCCTTCGGGGAGGTAAGCGGGATCTCCTGGGAACTGAACTGGCTCCAATGTGAAATGATTGGTAATGGAATGTTGAAATCAGATCAACCCTCTGTTACTGTGTCGGAAATCCCTAACCCTGAGTCAGTACACTGCAGTACTCCAGGACACATCTGATAACAGCACTGCCAGGCTAGTTCAGGGATTCTTCCCACTCAGCTCCTATTAATCCTGCAAGTCAAAGCCCTAACAGGTCAGGTAGTCCCAGCTAGACAAGCAGTGTGAAGCTTGCCAGACAATCTTTCAATGGCAAGATATGCAGTTTTAGCTGGTTAGACTCCAAAATACATCAATGCAGATTGGGGTCCCTAAGCCGTGGCTCCTGCTAGCCTATATTCTCTGGAATTAGGTAAGGGAGATGGATCCCTCCAGGAAGAGAGTATGCATTCCATTCTAAAACATATGATTGTGTTGTCCATGTTATTCACAACCAGTGAGTCCTGGAGTCCAGGTTCAGTTCTGGAGTCCTGTAGCTCAGTGGTTAGAGCACTCGCCTTGCAAGCGAGACACCTGGGTTCAATTCCAGACAGGGCGAAACCTTGGGCAAGTTTCCTTACTCCACACGCCTAATAATAATTCCTCCAAAACAAAACAATAATAAGTTGGTCATTTTCAATCCACGACTATTTGTGGGACACTGCTTTGCGCAATTGGCTGCCGCGTTTTGCCCACAAATATACAGTCAATTCACTTTACAGCATATTCTGTGAAGTACTTTGAGACGTCTAGAAGATGTGAAAAGCGTTATATCTCATGCAAGGATTATTATTATTATTATAAAACAGAAGGAATTTCCATGTGTAGTTAGGATGCACAGAACGCTGTCTAATTTGAATACTTTTAAGTCTAGTGTTCGGTTTCCGTATGTGTCAGACCAAAATAAATGTTTCTCCACATGAGCCACCTAATCTAATCCCACTCTCAAGCCCCGTAATATTCTTTTCAAGCATCTATCCAATTCCTTTTTTGAAAAAAATTCAAGAATTTTTTTTCAGATTTTCACTACTCTTTGGGTCATTTTTGTTATCTTTCTCTTTCATTCCTTTTTGGAGATTCCTACATCATAAACTTGTGCCCTTGCTTGAGTGACTAGGCAACCAGTGGAAATCATCTATTACCGATTCGTCTTATCATAACCTATTCATATACTGAGGACACCTATCCGATCATTCCTTAAACTCTATTGATAAAGGTCTTAACTAATGAAGTCTCTCTCCATAATTCATCCCGGTGACCTCTTAGTCTTATAATTAATATATTTTCATGTCTTTAAATATTTTTCATGGGGTGCCCAAATTGCACACAACACTGCAATACGTAATGTTCTGCATGATGTTTTGAAACTGCAGTAGATTTGTTGAAAAGTATTTGGATCTTAACTCCTGGCTTACTGTTTGCTCCCAGCTTAATGCAATAGGAATTACATAATGTACACAACCAAAGATTCGACTTCCACGGCGGATTACGATTACTATCATGGTTTTCTACCAGAGGACATCAGGAGCGACAACACCTTCCAGGCAGTTCTTTACTCATTGGTGTTTGTGTTTGGTCTCCCGGGGAACATCCTTGTTCTGTGGGTTCTGATACAGTACAAAGGGCTGAAGAGTATGACAGACATCTATCTTCTGAATCTGACGATTTCTGATTTACTTTTTGTTGTGTCGATTCCATTCTGGTTGCATTACATGTTACACGAATGGGTGTTTGGGAATGTTTTGTGTAAGGTAATAAATGCTGGTTATCTGATCGGCTTCTACAGTGGAATACTCTTCATAATGCTCATGAGTATAGAACGCTACCTCGCAATTGTTCACCATGTGTTTGCTTTCAAGGTTAGAAAGGTGAGATACGGCATTATCTCAAGCGCAATAATATGGTTTGTAGCTATTTGCGCCTCACTTCCTGAATTGATATTTTACAACATTAAAACAGTTTCAGGAAAAACAGAATGTAGTATTTTCTACCCAAATACAACAATATCAACGTGGAAGGTTTTTGGCTTCTTTCAAGTTAATATTTTCGGATTTTTGATTCCTTTTTCTGTAATGACTTTCTGTTATTCCAGAATAATTATAACTTTGCTTGGAAACAAAGCGAGCAAAAAGCATCGGGCTGTAAAAATAATATTCACAGTAATGATTGTGTTTTTTGTGTTTTGGATCCCATATAATATTGTACTTTTCCTCAATTCTTTGCTGGAAATGGAAATTTTGAACAAAATTGGAAACGAAGGTAGGCTACAAATGGCACTCCAAATTACACAGTCTTTAGCCTTCACACACTGCTGTGTGAACCCATTTATATATGCCTTTATGGGTGAAAAGTTTAGAATGTATGTGGGTAGATTCTTTCGCAACTGGTTCTCACCAATACTTGTGTGTATGGGATGGTCCAATGTTCACTTCAACTTTCAAGACAATAATAGCTCTGTTCAGTCGCATTCTTCTGGTAGACATGATTTATCCACAGTTATGTAGATTTGTCAGCTTTGTGCAGTTAGTAATACTCTCGCTTGAGTCCAAAGTTTGTGGTTTCGAGTCTATGTTGCGGTTTGAGCTCACAGTCTTGCTGATGCACCCATGCAGTGCTACGAGAGTACTGCATTGAGGGAGGTGCCATCCTTCAGATGAAATGTTAAACTGAGATCCTGTCGACCTGGTCGGGTGGATGTTAAAGTTCCCATGACATTATTTCAATACAGAAGGGAGTTTCTCCCGGTGTTCTGACCAACAATCCTCTAGATAAAATTGATCATTGACTTCATGACTGCATGTGTAATATTGCTGTGTGAAAATTAGTTGCTATGATAACTTACAAATACACAGTCCCTGCAATTTACAGTAAACCATGTGAAGAACTTGGAGATGTTTCAATGATGTGATAACATGATATATCAAAATGCAAGAATTATTATTTGTGTTTAAGTGAATTTATAATATATGACATGCCTCCCAAAAATGATTGCTGTAACATATGTACATACAAATATTTGTTGCAAATTAAATAATCAAGTTTTCAGTTATGTCACAATATAAACTCGTGATCATTAATACTTGTGTTTGGCCTTTTATGCTGTGATATCCTGCAGTTACTTCTACAGATGCTTACCACTGACCTCAAGAATCACTCCAAAGCCATTGATAACGACTGACTGTTGGTTTGGTGTATGAGATAGTTTTCACCAGTACCAATATCACATGCTCCTCACCCCATCATCCACATTGTACTGCAACAATGGGACTTGGGCAGACATACAAGTTTTACTGTAATTATTCCCCAATTTGATGTAATCTGAAAATTTAACAATGGAGTCTGCAAATGCTGATTATTGATACAAACCCACAAAATTACATTTGTGTAGCGCCTTTCACATCAAGAGGAGGTCCCAACGTTCTGAATGTACACAAGGAACAGGCTTAATACCCCCCTTCCTCCATTTTGATCTCCCTCCCCCAACAATCTGGATTCCTGTAGCTTAGTACTTGCCTCGCAAGCGAGAGACCTGGGTTTGATTCCCGGCAGGGCAAAATGTTGTGCAAGTTTCCTTACTCCACACACCTCTGTTCACCTAGCAGTAAGTAGGAGTGTGGTTGTTAGTCGATTGGTGGATCGCTTTTCTGGGAGTAATAATTTCTTAAAAAAATAATAATAAATTGGTCACTTCAATCCACGACTGTTTGTGGGACACTGTGGTGCACAATTGGCTGCTGCATTTCGCCCACAAAATGTACAGTCAATTCACTTGTATACTCTGTGAGGCGCTTTGAGACAACTTTCAAAAGGGAATTAGATAGGTAACTGAAAAGAAAAAATTTGTAGAGGTATGGGGAAAGAGTGGGGAAGTGTGATTCTTCCAAAGAATCAGCACATGCACGATGGGCTGAATGACTTCCTTCTGTGCTGCAATATTCTATGATTCTATGAATTCAAAGAATACGATTACAAGATGAAGAAAGCCTTTTAGCCCATTTGATTTTATTCTTCCACATTATTCCATTAAGCATTCGATTTACCCACAATAACAACAACAACAACAACAAGATTACATTTGTATAGTGCCTTTCATGTCGGGAGGACATCCCAAGGCGCTGGACAGTGTACAACATTTCAGACCCGAGCTGGGTTGGGGGGGGTAAGGGAGGGGAGGGGAAGGGGAATGGCCGATGGCATGGTCGAAGAGGAGGGTCTTGAGGCGGGACTTGAAGGAGGCTAAGGAGGGGGCGAGGCGGAGTGACTGGGGGATAGAATTCCAGAGGTTGGGGACAGAGTGGCTGAAGGCTCTCCCACCAATGGTGGGGCGGGTGGGTCGGGGGACATGGAGCAGGCCAGAGCCGGCTGAGCGGAGGGAACTGGCGGGTTGGTAGGTTGCAGAGGTAGGGTGGGGCGAGGCCATGGAAGGCTTTGTACGTGAAGACCAGGATCTTGAACTGGATCCTCTGAAGGATAGGGAGCCAGTGGAGTCGGGCGAGAGTGGGAGAGATGGGGTCACGGATTCTGGTGCGGAAGAGGACATGGGCTGCGGAGTTCTGGATTATCTGCAGCCTGTGGAGGGAGGAGTTGGGAAGGCCGATAAGCAGGGCATTTGCATAGTCGAGCCTGGAGGTGATGAAGGCATGAACAAGAGCTTCATTGGCCTGAGGAATGAGGTAGTAGCGGAGTCGGGCGATGTTACGGAGGTGAGAGAACAGAGCTGGTCATGGCCTGAATGTGGGGGAGAAAAGACAGTTGAGGGTCAAACAAGACACCGAGGTTCCTGACTGGCTGGTGAGTTGTAGTGAGCAACCATGGAGGTTGATGTTGCCAGAGCCTGATGTGCTGAGGCGCTGGCACGAGCCAATCAGGAGAGCCTCAGTCTTGTTCACATTCAACTGTAGTAAGTTTGCCCTCATCCAGGACTTGATGTCCGACAGGCAGTGTGTCAGGACAGCAATGGTCCTGGAGTTGAGGGTGGAGGCAGAAAGATAGAGTTGGGTGTCATCCGCACACATGTGGAAGTTGACCCCATGTCTGTGGATGATGTCACCAAGGGGGAGCATGTAGATATTAAAGAGGAGAGGGCCAAGGACAGAGCCCTGGGGGACGCCAGATGTGACAGTGTGGAGGCTGGAGGAGAAACTGTTAGAGGCAACAAAGTGGAGACAGTAAGAGATAGGAATCGAACCAGGCAAGAGCAGGTCCATGAAGACTGAGTAAAGCGGAGAGGCAGTGTATGAGGATGGAGTGATCGACAGTGTCGAAGGCAGCAGAGAGGTCGAGGAGGACAAGGAGGCAGAGGGAGCCCTGATGACAGATGTTCAGAAAGTCATTAGTGACTTTGACCAGAGCTGTTTCCGTGCTGTGGGCAGCGCGGAAGTCAGATTGGAGGTGTTCAGAGAGGGAATGGCGAGAGAGAAAGGAGCGGAGCTGGGACACAACGACTCGTTCCAGGACCTTGGAGAGGAATGGGAGGTTAGAGATGGGGCGGTAGCTGGAGAGGAGGAATGGATCCAGGGAAGGTTTTTTCAGGATGTGGGTGATGATGGCTGTTTTTAGGGGGTTGGGAACTGAACCGGTGGACAGGGAGAGGTTTGATGACATCGGACAGTAGAGGGGCCAGAAGGTGGAGCTGGGAGACGAGGAGAGAGGTGGGGATGGGATCGAGGGAGCAGATGGTGGGTTTGGGGACAGTCGTGGTGAGGGAGGAGGGAGAGATAGGGTCGAAGGAGTATGGGGGGGGTGGTGGGTGGGGGGGGTTCATGAGGGAGAGGTGATGTGAGGGTAGCTGTGGACAGGGCTGAGGTGGCTGAACGTATCCCCTCGATTTTAGATTCGAGGAAGTCCAGCATCTCCTCACAGTTGGAGTTTGGGGAGAGGATGAACAAAGTTACCTCAGTTTAAGGTATAGCCCGTGAAGCATTTCAAGATGTCTCTTTATCTCTTCGCTTTGTTTCAACCATATTCATGCTGCTTTATCAGGTGTAAATCAGTACAGATAAAAATGCCTCAACACCTCATGCTCATACTGAAGGTGTGAGGACTATATTCTGAGAAAAGAGCAAAGCAATTGCTGCAATTAGATTATAAGCAGGATAAGAAATGACAGCAAAATGTCAAGAAGTAGTGGTCTTTGTCATGTTAGGAACCTTTCCCCTCATCCCCCACACCGCACTCCCAAAAAACACATGAGCTGACACTGAGTCTCAGACAGTTATCTGTAACAGATAACATTGAAATGACTCAATTTATAGCAGAGAGAAGCCATTCCCAAAAGTCAAAGCAATCCCCGAAATGATCTGTGTGATCTTACAGAACAGTACTTAGAGATACACCCCAAACGCATACACCTGATATTGATAATAATAATAATAATAATAATCCTTCAAGAAAAAACAACCAATAACAATTTGGTCACTCAATTCACAACTGTTTGTGGGACACTGCTGTGCCAATTGGCTGCCGCATTTCGCCCACAAACACAAATATACAGTCAATTCACTTTACAGTATATTCTGTGAAGCGCTTTGAGACATCTAGAAGAAGTGAAAAGTGCTATATCAAATGCAAGGATTATTATTATTTATGGACTTTGTGGAGGGGGAGGTAGATGAAAGTTACCGACCATATATTTTTAAAAGCCTGACTGCACATTAACTATAGGCCACACACCAGAAACAGGGGTGAGGGTAGAAGCACTTTTTTCAATCAGAGAATTGTTGGCTTTTGAGGCTGGATCAAAGGAATTGAAAGGAAACGGAATAAACATCTCCCCAATGCTGCCCCAGCACTGTATTAGAGTGTCAGCCTCGACTATATGAGTTTGGAGTGTAATGTGAGGTTTCACCCCGCAACCTTTTGCCGAGAGTACTACCTCCTGAGCCAGGCTGATACATCTACACAGTTCTCAGATTGTGTGCATGTAATTTAGTGCTTCAGTGTCTATGTGCAGATTTAAAAGAAACAGAAATCTGTAGATCTCAGCAAATAATTACAGGTACCGAGACTGAAAATGTTAAGCATGAATACCACAACTTTCACTCGCCAAAATAGTATCATTTAGTAAAAGTGTGATAGGTTTCCAGGCTTGTGAAGAGCACACCAGGTACACACTGTACACATGTAAGGTGTCCCAGAGTGCTCATCAGTGGAGTAGCACGAACCTGAGTCAGGGGAAGGGTAGGTGACCGTAGGCACGGTTGAAGAGGAAGGTCTTCAGGCGTGACCTGAAGATGAGGAAGGAAGGGGCAAGGCAGAGGGATAGAGGAAGAGTGTTCCAGAGTTTTGGGGCGTAGTTGCTGAAAGCGCGGCCACCAATGATGGAACGGAGGGCACGAGGGATATGCAGGAGGCCGTAGTCAGTTGAGCGGAGGTAATGGGTAGTGGGTTGGGGAGTAAGCAGGTTGGAAAGGTAGGGATGTGGCCAGGACATGAAGGGATTTGAAAGCAAGTGTGAGGATCTTGAAATCGATCCATTCGACATAGGGAGCCAGTGGAGCCTGGCTGGAACTGGTCTGATGTGGGTACGAAGTTACTGTACACATGTAAAGGGCATGCATATAATGTACCTATGTCTAAAGCTATGCTTTACAGCATTTTGAGTACAAAGTCAGAAATACATTTTCAAAACAAAGTAACACGTTACAGGACGTTCCAGAGCAATGTTGTTGTGACTTTCTAT